GCCCTCTATAAACAGATGGTCACCAGGAATGTCATCAAGTTCATCTGCTTGTTCGTTTGGGTAATATATCTTTTACCATGGGCTTTAGAAACTTGTTTATTTTATGATGTAAATTTTAAATCTTACTAAAAATAAAGCGAGACGATATATATAAGTTTATATATTCGAACAATTTTACTGACACCACGGCATCAACTTTAACACGACTTTCCGCAAAACCGTAAATGATATACAACTTAAACTTTTTTGACTGGTTCAAATGCTTTAATGGCCTTTAAATCAGCATGAAACAATAAAACATTGGCCAAAGAATAAGAATTTTAGTGCCCAAAATTTGGACTCCCAAGTGGTGTCAAAAACGCGAATTAAATAGATAATAAATATTTTAGTCTCTTGAGTCTTGACACCACTATAGGGTTAAACGGGTTCCTGCTAGTAATAATAGTTAACAAAGCCATGTCTATATTTTATGACATGTGTGATTTCAACGAGAGTTTTTGTTTTACTTTTTGCCTGAAACCATAATACGCGCATCAATCATCATTACAACCGCTCTTTCAGTTATTCTCTGCAGTAGGATTCCTGTACCCAATCAGACGTCTGATGTCTGCTATGTACTATGAACCTGTTCATGCCTGTCTCCTGATACCAAAACAACCGTCCTTCATTGGGGAGGGTATCTCTAAAGAACAGGCTGAAAAGGAAAGGTAGAAATAGTGTTATTTATCTAAAATATAATTATATCTAATCACATCAGGTTTATGATAGATTACTATTTAACATTTGTTTTCAGTTCATTGTGTATCACTCAAATGATTTGAAAATGATTTAAAATGATTGTGATAGTAAGTAGTAGTAAGTAGTAAATCTTTCAAAGTACGAAAAATCTCTTTAAAAGAGCATCCTAGGCACCTTATAGATATCAAAACGCATAAAAAAGAAAACAAAAACATCAACCATCTTCTAACTTCTTCCATTCCTCCCTATCTAAAGCCAAAAATCTAAGGTCTTCGAAATCAGTCAAATTCTTAAGTCTAATATCAAGATTTCTACTAGTCAAGTCTTTTCTAATAACATCTAATAAGTTTAAACATGGTCTACCCCGTCTCCCTTCCATAAAAATATCAGAATTTATAGCAAATAACATAGAGGTGTATGCTGGTGAGTCTTCCTGTCCTCTTAAGATATGTCCTAACATTCTCCATCGAAACTTAGAGACTCTCACAGACAAGGGAGTGACATAACAACGAGCATAGAGTGCCTCATTAGAAATAACCCCAGTAGGCCATCTGATGTTGAGGATTCTTCGGAGGTGTTTGCGATGAGCAATATCAAGTTCATTCAACGAAGCTAGTGGTGCAGCCCAGGAGTTGCAGTTGTAGAGTAGAATAGAGACTACTTGTGCCTCGTAGATTTTGATCTTCCTTTGGACTGAAATCTTGCTCTTCATCCAAACTTTCTGAAATTTACTAAAGGCAACATTACCAAGGAATATTCGATTCTTGATATCCTTAACAGTGCACATCAACGATCCTAAAGTTTTGTTAGAGCGCCACTCTTCATCACCTCTATACACTTTTCCAACAATCACCTTGCGTTTAACAGTGGGTTTAGGATCTGCTAAATAAAAATGGACAAATTCAGTCTTGGAAGAATTGATATGAAGGTCCCACTGCTCGAATATATCTTTAGCGATAGGAAGCATTTCTTTGAGTGGAGCAAGTTCAGTGTTATTAAAGTCAATATCATCAGAGTATCCTGTTTCGAGTGGCATGAATTCTTCTGAGATAGGAGGATTAGGGATTGGATGATTCACTGGGTAAGGTGTTGATGATACTTGGGAGAGTACAGATCTGAGGTGAATAAGTGCAGCGGCTTCAACAACAGTAAATAGATTACCTGATAGTGCATCTCCTTGAAATGCTCCAGTTGTGCTTTGGAACTCAATTGATACAGTATTATTGACTTTTACTTTCAACACTGTGTTTGATAGTAGGAGCCGTACCATCCTAATTTCATCACTAGTACAGCCAGCATCTTCAAGAACATTGAGTACTGTTTCTCTGCTGATGGTGTCAAAGGCACTTGACATGTCTATACTCATTCTGTGGTAGCTCCAATGCTTTCTAAGTACCACTGAGGTTAGCATACGTTGAGACCAAATTATATCGCCACAACTTCTACCTCTCTTGTAAGCACTTTGTGTAGGACCAGTGTACTGATCTAGCTTGCCTTGGATACGTTTTAGGGTAATCATTGACAGTAATTTTCTGGAGCAGTTTGAGAGGGTGAGAGGTCTGATGTTTGCTGCTGGACCAAGTGGTTTCTTAGGCTTTTGGAGTGGAGTAATGTTGCCTTTTCCAATAGATGTTATGGTGGTGTTTGTTTCAAATGCGGTATTTATACAGTCTGCATATTTCTGAAATACACTTCTGTTTGCATACTTAATCAATTCACTTGGGATATCATCAGGCCCAGTGGCTCTACCATTCTTCAAAGCTTTGATTGTGATAAGATTTAAAAAAGTATAGTAAAATAAAAGCACAGAAATGATACCATATTCCAGGAGCATCCTCTATGGGGTTACAATCGGCTACAAGCTCCTCATACTCCTACTCATGTTTATGAAAGATCACTATTAATTAATTAATTAACCTTATCAATTAAAATACCATATTCCAGGAGCATCCTTTACGGGGTTACAATCGGTTACAAGCTCCTCATACTCCTGCTCATGTCCTTCAGTTACTGTCTCATATTCATTAAACTGTCAAGAGGCGAACACAGGGAAAGAATACGTAAAAAAAGGTATAAAATATCTATTTTTATTCAAAAAGAGCACTGATTGTGGTATGCTTTCAGTCAAGATTAAGAGCATGCCCAAAATGTTTACCTACTACGCTTTTTTAGTGTTTACTTTGACCAATTAGATTGTTATTATAGAATATAGAGGCCCAATGTCCATGAGATACTTTCATAATCAGATTATATAGCTGCTTTGAAGCAATAACAATTATTTCATGTAACTTATTCATAACAGAAGTAAACGTTTTATAGTATATAATCTGATAATTTTCCAGTTGTCTGAAAGTGCTGATAAGCGATAAAACCACAAAATCTGCTTTTATAATGCTGGCGGTAATTGCCGTCTTCGTCTACAGCTGGACACCTGACTTTGTTGTCCAGGTTCATTTAATTAATTATGTTAATTAATTGTGTTAATTAATTATGTTGATTTATTCGATTATAAGCTATAGAAATTGAATTTGACCACCACCAACTTCATCCACTATATATTTAAAAACTAGTTTGTCGTTGGAAGATTCCTTAAAGTAAACAAACGGATTTAAAGTTTTCGACATGATTTTCAGATTCTACACATGACCAAATCATTACCGAAAACTTGGCACGAAAATGTGTGGGCAATTAGGTTCACCATCTACAACTATTACATAAGCCCGGTTAGTCATCAACATATTTAATTAATTAACATATTTAATTAATCAACATATTTAATTAATGTATTTTACCGTAAAAATATACTACTAAATTGCTATACTACTATACAACTATATTATAGCAGTACATTTGATAAACTTTCGTGTCAGGTATTGAACCCAGCTATTTACTCATTCGGATACAAGCATGTTCGGCAACAAATGATCAGTTCTTTAAAAAGATCGAACAAATCAAAATTTGTTTCTCTGGAAGATGGTCCCCCGCTTCTTTATGTACGTATTCTATTTTTACTGTTTGGTCGTCTGGTAGCTAAAAATTAGATTTAATCTAAACAAATAAATCAAATTGCTCACTTTTCACTTTTGCTTGTAAAGTATGCGGTTACTCGACGAAATACCTGGCTTCAGAAATAAAATATAATTAACCGATATGACGTTATCAAACATTAATCCTAATTTATCTCAGAGAACAACCTCGCAGGTAGAGCAAACAGAACTGTTCTACCAGAAAGTAGATGCAATGAGAAAAAAAGAGTCGCCAAGTGTTGCAAGTGTGGAATCAGACCGCGCCAGTGATTTCTCAGCAAGGCCTGGCAGTGTGAGGACATTCAGTGCACGTGGGGCTAGTTTCAGTGCACGTGGAGCTAGCTTTAGTGCACGTGGAGCCAACATGCTACCTTCATATGCTACAAGTACAGCTCAACAGCGTCCACTGTCTGAACCACTGAAGGATCCCTCTGGAGAGTGGATCTATCCGGAAAAGGGCCAGTCAACCCCACTTCAGGACACTTCAGAGGTTTCTAAAATATCGGTGGATTCTGGACACCCTGGAAAATTACAGACGCCTGACAAACAAATTACTGGAGAAGACCTGAGCAGATGTGGCTCGTTTTCAAGTGAAGAATTACCTTCTGACTGTTTCGAACTATCCGAAGACTCGAGTATAAACGAACTTAGTTTTGATTGATTATCTACATGACAGTGTCCAAGCGCTATCAGATTACCATTTGATAGCGGTAATTTACTCTCGAAAATTTGGTTTTTACCAAGTTTTATCGTTATCAGCAACCAACAAACATATTTCTATATTACATGCAAAAAAAATGATGTTAGATACGGATCCTTTCAGTTGAAAGTAATTTTAAATTAATAAGCATTAACTAAATCATTTAACGTTTATTAATTTATTAACTTTAGATGACTCATTAATTGTCTTAAATCAAAAGGTAAGATAAACAACCTTTATGTTCGGTTTTTTGAGAAAATAAATTAAGTGATAATTCTTTAGCAAGCACAATTATAACAATCAAATAAAAATCTTAAGTTAAACTATCACATAGTTAAGTAAACTATTAACTAATGTATTAGTAGATTCAGAGGACTACTGAAAATTGAATTAAAAAATGAAAATATATTAATCAAATATTTGATATGAAAATTGTATTTTTTTAATGTGGGCAATTTTGAAACGATCTGTCAAAACAGCAAAACTCTACAAATCATTAAAAATGTCTAAAATCTACTGTTAATGCAAAAATAAAATCATCAGATAATCAATTTCAAAATCAGACAATCAATTGAAGCTCATGAATGGTCAATTATGGTCATTGGTCATTTGTTTTTGTATGTTACCAATCGCTTCCTCATCATTCCAGATTCTCATCTAACACTCATTCATATCTCACTCCTTTCTGTCAAGTTTTTTAAATTTTACATGCAGACTGCTTAGTCTGACGCACTCTGATACTTTCACAGTTTTATTCACATGAGTGGTGATCACATGCTGGTCACATGTCCTGTTGGTCACATGCTGGTCACATGTTGGTCACATGAGCGGTGGTCCTTGGTGCTCCAATCCCTCAGTCTCTCCTGGGATGGGACTGCGACTCTGAGAACAACAAATTTGTGAGATTGTAAAGTTAAAGACCGTTTACAAATGAATAAAATTTTACCATGTCTCAGATTAGCTCAGACAGGAATCACGAATGAGCGAAATCGGTGAAACTAAAGTTTGATAAATGGTGCTTACACAAATTTCAACTTAAAATTGAATCTTCCAAAAATAATAGATCATTCTTTTCCGCGTTTCATTTGTGATGCAATATAAAAAAAGGATAGCAAGGGGGTATCGGGTAAATCATGTTAAAAAGATAATTTACAAGAGTTAAAATGGATGATCCTCGCCAAGTTTCAAAATAATGTAAAAAGCGCGTCAGTAACATTAACAAAGCGGTAGCAAATGTCCGATTTGAAAAATGGTGAAAGAAATTGCTATTAATAGATAGATGATTACCCAAAAAAATGCACATTTAGAAAATTAAAAGACACACTCTGTACTCAGATCAATAGCTTAATAGCAGATTTGTTATATTTCAACCTAATTTAATATAAGGCACACACAGGAAGTAATTTAGCAACTAAGATAAAAGCAAACATGTGAGATAACAGATCGGATAAAAGCACACGTGTCAGATAAAAAAGCACACGCGTGACGTGTCAGATATAAAAGTACATGTGTTAGATATAAAAGCACACGTGTGACGTGTTAGATATAAAAGCACACGTGTCAGATATAAAAGCACACGTGTCAGATAAAAAGCACACGTGTCAGATAAAAAAAGCACACGTTTCTCTCACCACTTCCCCAGCAACCCCGTATGTCCTTGTGCCAGCCACGAATTTTACAACTCGGGGCGAAGATGGTGGTGGTCCCTACCGAGAAAGAAAATTCATGGTGCGTTTAGGAAAACAAACTTTGTAAAAGATTTAATTTAATTAAATTTAATCAATTCGTGGCCTCCACATTGGTGACTATTATCTCCATTCTGATACGATTAAATACTTTTTGTATTATAGTCGAGGTACATGAACCACTAGTAATTATTAACATGACGAAACTGATAAAATTAAACCAACTTACGAGAGTGTCTGCGTTCGTTCCATCGTGTTCCCTAAACAGTATTTTGTAAGTACATAATGACATAATTACATAATTAAATAATTACATAATTACATAATTACATAATTACATGATTACATAATTACATAATTGCAAGTACATAATCTTTGTTTATTTATAAATAATGATCTCAAAAGTAAAATTAGCCACACACGTGTTTTATTCATTAGTTCCAAAATTATTATTATTAGCACTATGACTATTAATTATTATTGTGAATCTTTTGTGCCATTACATTGTTTCGGTAGAAAATAATATAAATTGTATCGTCGTTATCAAAGATTGATGGTTTACCTGGTTTTTATTGCATTAAGATGTGAATATGTATTATCCTTTTGTCGATGTTCGGTGACAATGCTGAAATTCATGCTTTAAAATCAAAACATGCGTGCACGGAAAAACATGCTAACATACTATTACTAACATGCTAATTGCTAACGCGAACGCTGCATTTATATTATATTTTTAAATGGTCTAGATTAAGTCATTATTAATTTACAATTACCAGATAAAATCAAATTTACTTTATTTTAGAAATTCAAAATCAAATTTTCGATTGAAAATTTTGTGGGATTTAAGTTTATGATCTTACTAATAGTTAGGAACTTTAGCAGAAACTAAATAGTTTAAACTATTTAGTTTCTGCTAAAGTTCCTAACTATTAGTAAATCATAAACTTAAACTTGTAAACACACGGATTCCGAATATTTAAATAATTTTATTTATTTAATTTTTAATAATCTAACCTGCTTTCGTGAAGCTCATTGTAAAGAGAAGTATCTTGATAAAGGGATTTGTCTCCAGCTGCTCCAGTAGCGACACTGTTTAATGTGCTGAAGTATTGGCTTGTTATCTGACAATTATATACTCTCGTAAGTTCGTGCATTTAAGCTTGCTGTAATTAAGCCTAATTACGCCTAATTAAACCTAATTAAGCACAATTAAGCCTGATTTAGCCTAACTACTAAGCCTAATTAAGTTAATATGGTGGGGCAATATATGTATAGCCCTGCTCTAATTATTCGTATTTAAACTTTAAAGTCAGTATATTTAACATTGTGAAACTTGAACAATGAAGTCTGCGTACACATACTATTACTCTCTTATCAAATTTGAAACAACTCTATATAAGCCGATATAAAAAGCGTACGATGCTCAGCACAGCATAAATGTTCATTGTTCATAACGATATAATTTATAAATATACAGTAAATTATGATCCGAACATTCCGCAGAATTTTTATTTGATTTTACGATTTCTGTAGATTTATGTATCAGTCACTATCAAGTAACCGAGGTAAATATTTTTTATATTGGCCATACTTCCGATTCATTGCCTTCTTGCATTCTGATCAGCAGTCTGCAGTGAACTAATGATAAATCCAATTTTAACGGCCGAAAAGCTTAAACCCCGATTATTGAAAAAAGCTAAATCCCATAACAGCTTGATCGACTACATTTGGTACTTCAATTTGGTTGCTATCAAAGTTCCGCGACTAAGTAGTAGATTCATCTTCTCTTAATTGTATGTTTATTGTCCAATCTAACTTCAGCGTTTTTCAGAGCGAGCTAAAAGTGCTAAAAGTGGGTACAAAAGTGAAAAGATTAACAATCTATGGGGATTTCTAGGAATATTAGTGTGAAAACCTATATTCAGCATTGTAAAGAGTTATAAAAGTTGCTTTCAGCATGTTAACGGATAGTCTGATTTATAAAACCCAGTGGCCAAGCCAGCTGCAGATGCTGGCAGCCTGACAGCCTGACAGCTTGACAGCCTGGCAGCCTGCTGCAGAGACCCACACCTCTTAAAGTTGATATGCTCGACTCTAGACCGGTAAGTACCGGTGCTACCCTCTCCTTCACTCTCCTCCATACACACGGACTCATCCTCGTAGTATGTCGCTCTTGGAACGCCGCAAAGTTATTCAATTTTCAACTTGGAGCGCCGCAAGATTATTTAATTTTCAACTTGAAACGCCGCAAGGTTATTCTATTTTCAACTTGAAACGCCGTTATTTCATGTTTTCATATAATCACCAGATGGGTCTTACGGGTAACAGTTCTGAGATTGATACTGTGATTTAAAGTAAATACTTACAGGTTATTGGAGTAACATTTGTCGTTATTAGCATTGCTGTTTCGTGCTGTCCCCTGCGAAATTACAGGCGAATAACAACAACGAAGAAATAAAAGATAAAAGGTATAAAATACGAATATCTGAAGTTAATTAAAATTAGGATGTAACACCAATTTAAAGCACTAAAGAGGTTACGGAGTTTTAAAATTATTTCACGAATATGATTAAATAAATTGATTGAAGGTGAGACATGGTTTATTCTCGGGCTGGGTGCTTACCCAGTTGGTTCACATGTTGAAGATGAAATGTTTTGAATGTTGAATGTTGAAATGTTTTGAATGTTGAAATGTTTTGAATGTTGAAGATGAAATGTTTTGAATGTTGAAGATGAAATGTTTTGAATGTTGAATGTTGAAATGTTTTGAATGTTGAAGATGAAATGTTTTGAATGTTGAATGTTGAAATGTTTTGAATGTTGAAGATGAAATGTTTTGAATGTTGAATGTTGAAATGTTTTGAATGTTGAAATGTTTTGAATGTTGAAGATGAAATGTTTTGAATGTTGAAGATGAAATGTTTTGAATGTTGAATGTTGAAATGTTTTGAATGTTGAATGTTGAAATGTTTTGAATGTTGAATGTTGAAATGTGTTGAATGTTGAATGTTGAAATGTTTTGAATGTTGAAATGTTTTGAATGTTGAATGTTGAAATGTTTTGAATGTTGAATGTTGAAATGTTTTAAATGTTGAAATGTTTTGAATGTTGAATGTTGAAGATGAAATGTTTTGAATGTTGAATGTTGAAATGTTTTGAATGTTGAAGATGAAATGTTTTGAATGCTGAATGTTGAAATGTTTTGAATGTTGAATGTTGAAATGTGTTGAATGTTGAATGTTGAAATGTTTTGAATATTGAAGATGAAATGTTTTGAATGTTGAAGATGAAATGTTTTGAATGTTGAATGTTAAAATGTTTTGAATGTTGAAATGTTTTGAATGTTGAAGATGAAATGTTTTGAATGTTGAAGATGAAATGTTTTGAATGTTGAATGTTGAAATGAGCTTACCAGCGAAGTCTCTCCCGTCTGACTATTAGGAGTACGTCTCTGTTTGGACGGCACCACACTCAGGAAGATAAGGGGAGGCTGCACGTTCAGCAGTCCACACAGGTTCTTCAGCACCTCCTCTTGGAACAGGACGTTGAAGACAAACAGTCCTACACCCTGGTGTTTTAGCTTTTAAGAGGAGCTGTCATGAATATGATATGTTCACATACGTCCATTTGATCAATGAAATAAAATCATAACAGCAAAGTTATAGCAAAGAAATTTAGAAGCATTAACTTACTTGAAGACCGAAAGTAATCAGGAACAAGTACTGGAATACTTCTGCTGTACTTTCTGAAGGTATAGCACCAGGCACAGAGAGGGCTATCCAGGGTAGACCCTGAGTAAATGCCAGAGCGAACCCAGCTTTTACCACCCGCTGAAACATTTGTTTTAAGTTTACTTTTCTTCACGTACAGAGCTTTTGTAATATATCTATCGAACATTCCAAGGTTGAAAACATTTACTTCATGAATTATAGAAAAAAAAAAAGAAGTTATGAATGATAACTTACCCTTTCGCTACCACCATCACTAGACCTCCTGGCATTACTAACAACTCCCATTATTTTGATATTAATCACGATGTTTATGATGAAGAACACATAAATAGGGAAGAGGATGAGCGAGTAGAGCCATACATCTTCATACCAGCACTCCAGTTCTCTGATATAGTGTACATCAGGTGACTGCGGAGAACAGATTTATAGATTGATGTAATTTTACTTATCGCTCTACTTATTATTTTTGAAATAAACTTTCTTCCGAATAATCCACATTTCTAAATATTCCCCAGAATAATCCACATTTCTAAATATTCCCCAGAATAATCCACATTTCTAAATATTCCCCAGAATAATCCAAATTTCCTGAATTTTGAAATACAACTGAGAGTAGCAGCCACGAACTCATGACATATTCACACCATTGTGTTACCGTAAAAGGAACCAGATAGTGGATCTATTTTTAGCATTAAGGGAACAGTGAGATCAGGGCAAAAGTTACACTTTTTTTTCTTTTTTTTACAAATTTATTATACTGACACCGCTCTACGTTATCTACTCACTACTCTTATCTATATATAGCTGACCTATGAGCTGTAAGACAAGAAGTGTTACACAAGACATCTTTATATGCACTGTTATACTCGTCAAATGGGGAAGATGTAAACAATTCGGTGGTAAGTCATTGACTTATCCTTAGCATCTTATTGGCAATAATTTTAAAAAGTCCTCATATTTCGTCGCTGAAAAATCAAATTAATGTCTAAGTCTCTCGTTTAAACATCTGAATAAGACTGTGAAACTTACATTCTCTTCATGAGAAAGTCCATAAGTATAGCCAAGGAAGGAATGAGAAGAGGGAACCCGTACCCGAACAGTACGCATTTCTTAACTAGGTTCTTGTTCTTCTTTCCGAAGCTCTTCACTGCGTCCACTATCTAAGGACAAATTACAAATTACGATGAGTAATTCAATTAAAGAGTCGCTGCCGAGCAGTGGCAATTATTTTATTCTTTTCATAGTAAGATATTTTAAAATGAATGCAATTCCGTGTGGAGATATATTTAAAATAAAGATTCTACCTAGTTCGGAAGTTCCGAAGTCTTCGCATGGCTACAACGATAATTGGAAACTCTCGCAACTGTCAGTTCTGTTTGTATGAGAAGTTAATGGTTAATTAATTAACCATTAATTAACCACTGATTAATTTAAAATGGTCGAGTACCTGACTCTTAAGCGTCAAAGAACAGCAGAAAATCCAGGAGAAATTAGCCATCAGGAAGTACTGTGCGATGAAGGCTAGAACTTTACATTTCATATTTTCATAAGCCGGCTTTTCCTTTGATAATTCTGTGGAATGTTAATTTGAAACAGATTTGTGGCGAATTTTGATCATACTCAAAGAAGACAATGTTATCATGAAATGTGGAATATGAACGAATACGATCATGAATTGTCACTTCGATACTTCAATAAGATTAAACTTTTAGATTAATCAGGTTTTATTGAAATCAATAATACAACAGCTTCTTACTTACAAAGGTAAGCATGTGCTCCTTCATAAATTTACACATTGTATAAAAAACTTACTAAGGTCCTGCATGATGAACCACGTGACACAAAGAAGAAGAAGAGACAGGATGGAGTGAGACTGTATGATTGTCATCTTCCGGACTCGGAACGTCCTGAATTAGTTACTGTTATTTATTCTGGCGTATAGGTGGATACAGTTCGTTAGTGTTCTCCTTGGTCATTTCATGTTTAATTCCCAGACTATTATATTTGCTCATAAATATTAGATAACTAGTATTATGGATACCAACACAATATTGGAAAACTAAAGTATTACAAAAACCATACTAACTACAACTCTTGATTGGAACCTGAATGGCAGAGTGCAGAGGAGTGTCAGGAGGCAGAAGGTAATGTTTATACCCAGAACCAGGTTACTCAGCCACATTGGGCTTTTGTTCTCCTCGACGCTCTGAGGAGAAATAATTGTTAATAATTGTTAATAAAAACGACGATTGATTTCTCAAAAGTTGGGGTCTTTAAATTGAATGTTTTAATATTTCTCGTCAGTGGTTTGTCAACGGCCCTACTAACATTTTTTGGTCAAATTTGCACAAAAATACCCAAATTTCGAAATAAATGTATTTAGTATAGTGACACTGCCGCATAATGGGGTCAGTGGGGTCCTTTGTTTCATGATATAATAGATACGATATCAAACCTGAATTTTAGATAGATAAAGAACCTCTACAACTCACCAAGATAACAGCGAAACTGGTCATGTGATCACACTCACACTCGACAGACCCGTCCTCTGTTACTTTAGTAGTACATCCCGTGTCAGACCAGGTGTTATTTTCTGGTACGTAGTACTTGCACCGTTTTAACACCTGTAGTTAATAACAAAACTTTACATTTGGTTACAAATTGTAGAATCAAGTTATAAAAGCAAATTGATTCATGGAAGTTGCCTTAATTTCTACTAAACGGCCTCAAAAATCGAATTTGTAAAAATTGAACTTATGTCTCATGTTACTTCTATTTTGTTTCTATTTTATGTTGATTCTATGTTCATATCGATTTCAATGTGAAATATTTTTTAAATCTCTTACCTTTTGTCTGGATTTCCTCTTTGGGCTGTTCAGATCCTGTACGTCATACTTCATTTTGAAGGAAATGCTATTGTCTAGAGTATCTACATCGCGTTTTGTGTGCTTCAACCCTACAACTTTTCCTGCTATAGAAGAAGTACCTCCTGCAGAATAAATGAAAACTATAATTTATATTCTTGTAATTTATTAAATTACAAAAAAGAATAGTTACAACTCATTGAATATTCAAAAGTGAAATGTGCATAGTTCTATAAGTAAAACTAACTGGTTGGATTTGGTGGTGGCTTGAAAGCAGAGTTGTCCTTGTAAATGAGAGCTGCTAGGTTCTTTATATTGCTACCCTGGTTAACGTTTATATGAATCATGGAATCTCCGATGGTTGTATTGGTATCAGCTGCGTTTTGTACCAAGTATACGTCTGTTGTGTCCTGCGGAAAATTATGCTTAAGATAAATAATACGAATGTTTTAACTATATATATATAATATCATTCATGACACGGAGTCTATACTATCCTGCAGCGCAGAAAATTATGCATTAAAAAGTGTTTAATTTGTATCTTATAACTAACTGTGGCGAAAGTAACTGAATTTTCTCCAATCTTCATATGTTCCAAGGACAGCATGGCTATGCGTTCAAAGCAATTCACGATGTTGTTCTTTAGTTTTTGTTCAGTTGGCGAGGCTTTACTAGCGGCCATCATATTGGAAACAACTGTCATACTGTTCGTTGCTAGTTCTTCAATTTTATCACCCTGTTCACCGGTAAATTGTTACATTTTGGAAAAAATCTGTTGAAAATAACAGTTACAAATCATACTTTCAGCAGACAATGAAAAGGTCAGACTGAGTACTAATGAACGCATACTATTATTAAGTTACAACGTAACAACTTACAGTGTCGCTGCTAAAGACAGTGTCGACTTTTTCATCTGTCATCTTCTTAACAACTGTTTCGATATCCTTTGGAGCAACATCTTCTGTTTTCATGGTTTGTTCATTCAGTTTTTCTATGCCGGCCTTAGTTTCAACGTCAATCTGAACATATGTTATTCACCATAAATCCTAATCCACAAAGCTTATTTAATAAGCATTTGGTATAAATTTGGCGGGGTCACGATCACAGATCAAACGTAAATAAGCTTTTACAATCTAATGGGTATTATGTGTTAATCTATTTCCATAGTAAAGTTCAACGGTGGTTAAGCATCCATTTTTTCTAAAGAGCAACACACCTTTTTAATCTCCCCTGACTGTTTGGATTCACATGCGCTCAGGTCTGGTCGCTCCCACTGACCCTCCACATTGCATAATCTGACAGCTGCACTGTCATTGTTGTGAAAACATTGTCCTCTACTTTCCTGACCTGGACAAGGCTTGGTTAATTTTTACTCCCAACACAGAAAATGTTAGACCTGTTTTTGTATGAAATTTTGATAAATATAATGACTGTTGATCGATTTCAGTAGTCTCAAAAAATTTGGAAATATTTTTCATGTCAATATCAATCATAGCATGACTGTTTTATTTGATGGCAATCTGAGATGTTAAACCTAACTTTACCTGCTTGCACCGAAGGAAAAGATATAACTCCAACTGCAGGAGTGGAAAACTGGTCGTCTTTTGGGCAGAACTTTCCCTTTACTAAAAATAAGCTCGGTCAGTGATGGGGGTTTTAAAAGTTTACAAAATAAAAACTTTCAAAGTTGGACACCTTTAAATTACATTTTCATCTGTTTACATTTATAAATAACTGCTTTCTCTAATATTTGTACCACTTTGTGAATACGAATAGTTAAGGGGATTGGAAAGCTCAAAAATGCGTTATAAAAACTAGCAGGAACCCGTCAAACCTTTAAGACTGGTGTCAAGGCTCTTTGGTGGCCGGATCAGTTTCCTACCCTAAAGTCCCCCGGTGAAAATAATTATTACCTATTTAATTCGCGTTTTTGACACCACTTGGGGGTCCAAATTTTGGGTACTAAAATTCTTATTCCTTGGCCAATTTTCGATTTTTTCATGCTGATTTGAAGGCCATTAAAGCATTTGAATCAGTTAAAAAAAGTTTCAGTTTTATATCTTGTACGGTTTTTGCGGAAACCCGTGTTAAAGTTGATGCTGTGGTGTCAGTAAAATGGTGCAGATAAATAAATATATATATATATCGTCTCGCTTTATATATAGTAAGATGATCCCTCTTGTGGGGAGGCGCGTATTAAAACGTTTAAATTTATTCATGTTAGCATATTATAAATAAGTGCTGAAAGTAAAAAGAGAAAGTAATTTAAATTTAATGGTCATGTAGGTCTCTGAATCGTGTATAATCTCACCGATAGTAACGTTGCATTGAGTTTGACCGTGCAGGTTGGTGGTAAGCTCATCACCCTCACATGGTTTACATCTACTATCTTGAGGCTTGTCGTTGTAGTGTCCTGGAGGACACGCACTACACCCAATTTGATCACCTGAGAAATACAATAGTCACCAGTTGTTAAAACTAATGTTGTAAAAGAGTTCGTCATCTACTAATTAGTCGAATTCTATAAATTTATATTCCTATGATAATTGCCATGTTCCGCGTTTCAAAGTGAAAGAATATACAGTTTTGGTAAGTGGTGACTGACAACGCTTCGGCAGTCGCTGAAACTAAAACTGCACATGATCTAAAACTAAAAATAAAATTATCTACCTGTGACTTCATATCCAGCTTGACAGAAGTAACATTTACTGAAACCAGCCAACGAGTACATGTAGCTCTCACAGTCCCTGCATTCCGCATCAGTTTCGTTAAAGTAGTTTCCAGCACCACACTCATCACATGTCCCCCCATCAATATTGGCTTTTTTTCCTAGGAAATAATCGTTTTAACCAAAAATAAAGGTTGATCTGTTGATAATCAAATTAGTAGAATGTTATTGTATAAGAATTGTGCAATTTGTAAGATTTTTACTAACAATATATACACCTAGGTTATCTACAATGTCTATGTTAGTACCTGGAGGACAAGGAGTACAGGTCCGCTTATCATCATCAACATGTCCATTATCACAGGAGTAACACGCAGTACTACCTCTGTTTGGTGCGTACTGAAACGTTTTAACTTTGAATAGATGTTAATGATTAGTTACAGTTAAAATGGGATTCCAATAAACAGGTTATGGATTCTAACTGTAACCTAGTTATGGAATTTTAGTTGATTTCAACGATTTTTGGAAACCTTATCTAAGTATCTTAGCCTCATTCATTGTATTACTTTTAATTTCACTAACCAGAGAATTTTCACTCTCACATGATATACATTCTGAGCCCGATCCATTTCCACGATACTTCCCTATTGCACATAATTCACACGCTCCATTGTCTTTATTGAGCTGTGAACCAGGGGCGCATTCTGTAAAGTGTACGTGTAAGACTATAAAATTTGAACATATTTCTAGTAAATAAAAGTCAATTTTTTTTGCAAATAGTGAAAAATATAACAGATATGTACCAAAGTACCGAGCTCCTTGCAACACTACAAAATAAATAAACCTGGCATATAATGATCTGTAGATATTTAATTGAGTTCGTATTACCATAAAACGTGATGTCTTTACGCTGGATACCGAAACTTATACTTTGTAGTAAGTTTTCTGTCATCTCAAATTTGCAGCTGGCTGTTGACATTTCTTCGTCATGAATCTGATGTGGGAATGATTTTGATAAACGAGCTATAAAATATAATTCAAGACTTAACATAGTAGAACAGTTATAATGTTTTATTTTGATTCACAAGAAATAATTCTAAGAATTGCTGAATGAATAATTATAGAATATAGATCTTACATCTTCGCACTTCTCCTGAAGAGCTTGAGAATCCGATGTATCATCACCACCGCATCCTATTTGAGCTGATTTGAAAACGGATCCCTGGGATATGTAAATGGATGAGAACACCGATGCTAAGTTTCCACTAGCTATTTATATTAGAAAACGTTATAATTCCGTACTTACAAAATTTCACTGCTCAAGACCTTAAGAATTAAGTTGATTTTATCGAGTAAAGATTGTGAACCTGTACTATGCAGTTGAATTCGTCTCTCATGATCTGATAATCTTCAGACGAGTGGTCTGCAACGCTTGTTCCCACCAATGATAGTCCTGAGAAGTTATAAATAAGATAACCAGATCACAGAATTCCAATGTCATTCCTTAGATTTGAACCAATTACTAACGTATCAACAGTTCTGAGTTCTATGAGCAGAAAGATTCAAACCTTGTAAAACGTGACTCTCTCTCCTGATCAACTATCAACATAGTTCTCATTCACTAAGGTGACTAGATAGAAGACTTAAAGCAGTAAAGTTAACTTACCAAATTCTTTTTTGCTGAGATACTGCGAATCTATAACTGTGGGCTCTCCTGAAATTAGCTCGGAGAATTTGCAGGTGAGAGGACTATTATCAGTTATAGAAGCAGTGATAGTAAGTGTTCCTGTGGGACTGTCATCGTCAGTGTATGAGTAACAGACTTTGTAGGTGCCGGTATCAGGACTACACAATTCTCCTGAAATTGAATTTATTAACAAGGAAAGAAACAAGAGTCTCGACGAAGAGACAAATATGCAGTCAAACCCAAATATACCTGAGTTGTCCGGGAAAGGAAAGTGACCCAGTAATTACACTGAATACATGTAAATTCCCACTTTTGTGGATCACCTGTTCGGTATATTGGGGCACGGTAAATCGGAGTTTTACTGTAGAGAATAGAGATGGACTACCTATTTACAATTATTTTATTATAAGAAGTTAATGATCAAGGTTTACTGATAACAGCACATGAAAATTGTACCTGCGGTATCACTAATTCTTAGATTTTTCTCTCCTAGCTCGACTTTTCGAAGGTCACCTTCCTTATTTGGTGTCAGTTTTATGGAGATATTTACACTGACTCCTTCCAGGGTCATCTTATACACAGTGTCATCTTGTTTACTCGCCAGGATATCTTCTACATCGTCCAGTTGACAAACAGCAAGTGATGGCACTGGACTCCCTTTGCCAAGCATCAGATCCATCCGAGAACTTTATCCCAGCTTCAAATGCAGGTACAAAGGCATTCTGAGTTTTCAGTTCTGAATATTAGTGTTAGGTTAGTGTGTTTTGCAGTTAACCTACCACTAATACCTCCTACACTACCACCCTAAATTAATACTGGTGTGAGTTTAGCCCGGGCCTACACGTGTCCTGATACCTCTCTAGTACGATACCGTTCGTGGGAAGAACCGTATCGAACTATGGCTGTGTCAACTCTCCATAAAATGGGTTTTATTAAATTTATAAGATGTTTCCTTGTGTTTGAGAGAGCACAGCATGAGATTCAGGGAGCACGAGGCCCGGTTACCGTCCATGGGTGTGAGATGAACTCACGGACCCAACACACCAGTCCTGGTCAGCACATCAACATCTTCACAGTTTCAAGGCCAAGAAGTGGAATGTTTATAATTATCTCAGCTTTTTAGGTCTGTGAATTAAAGGAACAAACTAAAATGTGAAGATGCTGATGTTTTAGTCGCTTCACTGGAAATGGACATCTTTTATCTGTCAATATTTTGATCAGTTAACTAGGTTAACAATCAATGATAACTGTTAAAGTTTGGTATCTACATTTTAGAAAAAAAAACTGTTCTTGTAGATTAGAAAAGACTCCAGTTCTTTGCTTCACTGGTGCTACGACAGACCCACATAAATCCTATAAACTACAAATCACTAACGACTCTTTTTCTCAGACAGCACATCTTCAGTCCACTAGAACGCTGCCTACTAGTATACTATAGTACCTGGGTAAGGGCTCTGATTGAACGTCTGGAATCAATACTAACTTTATCGCTAAGGACTATTTTATCTGTAGTCAGACACAGCTGCACGGCTTAATATAATCACAAGGTGATTTGTACGGCTGGGTAATACATTTTTAAAACCGGTATTTAAATAAAAATCACCAGCAACACATGAGTAATCACGTTTCTGTCCCTCTGTTTCGAGAAAAATACAAGAAAATCCTAAAGGTTGAAAATCATCAACAACAAAACAGCCAGCTGCAAATGATTTAAAGATTTCTCAATACAACGCGCCTCATGAGTAACGGTAACAACGTAGTAGTGCGTAACAACACAATGCGTAATAACAGACGAGATTTGTGGGACCGAGAGTTAGAAGAGGCTGCTAATACTGAGAACAAGGTTGTCAGCTGTAATAACTTAATGAGAGGACCGGCTGGTTCCATGTGATGGTAACAAGGCCGGGGCATGTCATCTAACAGGACTCATCTCTCTCTCTCTCTCTCTCTCTCTCTCTCTCTCTCTCTCTCTCTCTCTCTCTCTCTCTCTCTCTCTCTCTCTCTCTCTCTCTCTCTCTCTCTCTCTCTCTCTCTCTCTCTCTCTCTCTCTCTCTCTCTCTCTCTCTCTCTCTCTCTCTCTCTCTCTCTCTCTCTCTCTCTCTCTCTCTCTCTCTCTCTCTCTCTCTCTCTCTCTCTCTCTCTCTCTCTCTCTCTCTCTCTCTCTCTCTCTCTCTCTCTCTCTCTCTCTCTCTCTCTCTCTCTCTCTCTCTCTCTCTCTCTCTCTCTCTCTCTCTCTCTCTCTCTCTCTCTCTCTCTCTCTCTCTCTCTCTCTCTCTCTCTCTCTCTCTCTCTCTCTCTCTCTCTCTCTCTCTCTCTCTCTCTCTCTTTCTCTATATCTCTCTCTATCTCTCTCTCTCTCTCTCTCTCTTTAGAACCTACTAGTGTCTACGATAATCACTGCCAAACAGGTTGTAGTAACTGGAGAGTAGAGAGGCTGGCGAGAGAGGGGCTGGTGAGGCAGCTGGGATTTGTTGTGCACTTTAGATGTGAGGGAGATTTAGAATTACCTGAGTTTTAATGCCCATGTGGTACAGGTGTTGTTGTAATTATGCGTAATAACGGTCGTGGGACGTGTTATTGTGTGGATTTAGGAGTTAGGTTGTGTATGTTGTATGAGGGTAATGAATTTGAGAGCTAGAGAGGATTCTGGAAATTATAGCTTTTAAAGCTTATAACCTGTTAGAATTGAAATAAATTCTTGTGGATTCCACATAACCTACTGAAATTCAACGATCATGATAATAAAGGTTATTATAAGTATAACTAAATTTATACTTTTAACGCTTTAAAACTGGAATGTGTTTAGATGTAACGGAACTTCTGTAAACCCTATCACTGTAATAACAAACTTGTTCAAGATGCACCAAGTTGTATTTTAGATTGAGATGATTGTGCAGTGTGCACATATAAACTTATAAAGAGTATTCCTGTGAAACACATGTAAACATACTGTGTGATATTGATCTTCCGGTATATTCGCGATGTGTGCATTATCAGCTAATATAATCCCACCATTACATAAAATCAATCAGCAAACTTGAGCCTTTTTAGCCTTTTGATAACCTACATGATGGTTACCGGAAATCATTTCAAAACAATTAGTGATACAAAAATAAATGAAAGGTGTCAAATGAAGGTCTATTAATAAAGTTTATTAAACGTCGTCACTGATTTGGTATGACACTTTGTGAGAAAACTTTGTTCTTAAAACCGAATTAAATAGTGAATATTATAACGACCTGTTAAAACTTCCTAAAATAATACTATAAAATGGATGATTGATGCAGCAATTAATATTTCTATACAGTTTTGAGGATCTACATTTGTTTATTATAACTTGACGCTGATAGAAAAACTTGTCAAGATAATGATTCTGAAAAAAAGGAAAAATTATGATTTTTGATTGTGTCAAAATTGAACGTGTGATTTTAAATGTTATTTTGTGTATCCACATCTATACAATACATTACTCTTTATTACCTGACCACTAACCAGCATTTACTTTTTATTTCAGATTTAGGTCCATTCAAATTGCCAGCCCCTACTCTGTAAAATGTTCAGTAAATTAAAGTGTTGTGCTACTTATTGTAGTCCCTGCACATGAAGTGGGCAGTCACGTATACCCAGTCTAAAATAGCACCATTACTAAACATAATGTAAGCGATGCACCGTTGACTTGCAATAAAAACAAACAAATATCACGTGATCAAACATGATTGTCACGTGGTCGGGTCTGCTGTTTTTATTGGCACTCAAGATTTGTGTTTTCCGCCCATACTGTCATGTTTTGCCGATAATCAATTGGTTACTAAGTATGATTTGTACAGTCACACCGGTTTTACCTTACGATGGTTTGTTTAAGCGTTGGTTTGAGAAGAAAATGTTATTTTGCATAATTGTTCTTTCTGTGGTTCAAGGTGTTTTTTCTAATCCTATGTACAAATGACAGTCTTTAAAATTTGGGCAATTCTTTTCTCTTAAAATAATGTTAATAATGCACTGTTTCCATAAAATTATTGTATAATTTTCAATTTCTGAGAAAAGTGTATATTTTGAGTTAACATTTTTCTGCGAAACGGAAAGAGTCCCGACTTTCACACAGCCAATTTATTTGTGGTTGATAACATTTCGGCAAATTACTATAGAACGCATACGTTAAAAAAACCTTTTTGAATTGGACCATTTATTTTAGTTGATATGGGAAGAAAATTGCCGCACTACGCGTAATAAAATTTAGTCGGAAGCAGCATAACCGGCTGTCTACTAATTGGGTTTTCTGGGTTAAAAAAACTTTTCATTGGCTTTCAGAGCAAACTATTTACTTCAGAAGAATGCTTGTATGGTTGGTATGGTAACCACGTTATAGGGTCACGTGATTGGGTGAATATACTATTGGCTATTGCAGTATTCATCACTGTCGTGGTGTTTAATCTGACTTGTCATGTTAAGTGTTTTACTTTTTTTGAAAATGTCAGTCTGTCAGACAAAATCCGCCTGATTATTTTCCATATTTCTTTATTTAACTGTAATTTTAATACATTTACGGCCATTTAAATACAGTTAGTCTCGGTGGTGTGGTAAAAACGGGTTTAAATAGTTTTGAAACGATATGTTTGTGTATTTTTCGGTATATGCATACTTCATGTGTGTAAAATCATATTTGAAAATCCAATAGTTGCAAAAATCATTGCAAGACCTCCAAGATTACAAGACATATTTTTAGGGTCGTTTGTCACCGCATTTAACAGGCAGTTTCTAAAATATCCATTATTCAGTTTCTAAAACATACTTCAGTCAGGATGAAAGTTTTTGTGTTGGCTGCTTTATTAGCGGTTTCATTCGCTCAGCAGCTGGAGGAATGTAGTTCAGGTAAAAAAATTGTTTTATTTAATTTAATAAAACTTAGTTTAATATTAAGTTGATTTATCTGATTTTTGTGTTTTTACGTCGGTTTGATTTTTTATGCGCCTGCTTATTTATTGTGCGTCAGTCTAAATGTTAAGTTGTGTTTCTGTACCGCACGATTTAGTTTTCGTAGTGGTCAGTTATATAACCAATAAGGAATAGAGTTTGAATCATCAACATATAAAAAGACTTTATATCTTGCTCATTGCAACTGAGTTTTGCCACTAATTCACCTCTTAACTCACCTCTTAACTCACCTCTTAACTCACCTCTTAACTCACCTCTTTACTCACCTCTTAACTCACCACTAACTCACCTGTACAGGAGGACCGGAGTTCTGGTGTGCGAGTTGTCAGAACGCTGAGGCTTGTTCCGCTCTGATACCCGGCCTGGTGGAGTATTGTCAGCAGATCGGTATCTTCACAGCTGGACAGTGCTCTGGTGGTGGTGATAGCGGTGGAGATTCTGGTAACTACCTTATCGTTATTTTACCGGAAATTTTGTGAACGGACATAATTTTGAACGGACATTAAAATGAACACTCATTTAATATATTTAATGTAAATATCTTGTCGGACTTTATTTGAACGGACATTAAATTGAACGCTAAGGCCCCCAGCGTCCGACTAATGTCCGTTCAAATAAAGTCCGATAAGGTAACATATCTAACTAAAATATCTAACCAACTAAATATCCTATCTTTTAACACAAGCTAATAAATAAACCTAAATACCCAGGCCCGATATTACAACTACATCCACATTTTCAGACCCAGTCACTCTTCCTGTTACCTTCCCTCCCACGGAGATCACACCTACCAATGCTGACGGAGAGGATGGAGCTCTGCCTATCAGTAAGTTTCGTAAAGTATTTAACATTTATATAATAATAATTAACATGATAGAGTGAAACTGTTTATGGTTTTCGCCTCGACAGCAGTACGTTTATAGTACATAATTATCTAAATTGCGATAAATGTTTAAAATGGGCAAATCTAAGCGAATTAAAAATTGTTAACAAGTTTTACCACTATAACACTGGGTAAGCAACTTTACACAATAAGACCTGGATAGAACTGACCCATACTCTTTTAACGCAAAACAAGAGATAGTTGTGAGAACAGAATATTAGTACAAAACTATTGACAGTGTTTGCCGTCTATTCCTGTCAAAATTCATTTGTTACTTTCTCTAAAGCTCTAACGACTGACTCAAATTTCAGACACAATACTTTTTAAAATATTTAAGAGGACTTGTCAAAGTATTTAAACAAAGATCCAGGATGATCTTAACAAATGATCTAAGTGTAATTATGTTTTCTCAGACAATGAAGATGACGACTTGCTGGGTAGGAACGAGTTTGAATTTGTTCTAGAACATACTCACTACACGTGTACACAATACATATTATGTACTAATTATGCTCATAACCATGGTTGTGACATGGTTATGCCGTCGGGATTCTAGTATACGACCCTAGTTATAAGCCATATTATGTCAAAACTATTGTCAGGAAAAGTCATTCTAAGCCGAAATAATATCATTGAGACAATATGGGCTGAATTCCCTTACATGTATTATTACGATGGGATTTGTAATCACTGAATTATGTTTCCACTTGAAAAGGAAGCTAACTTAGAAAGGTGAGATGCTATCAGAGGTTCCTTCCGAAATCTTTAAGGAAACTGTTGCTTTTGAAAGCTGCTGAGAAGAACCTGCGTGTCAAACCATATTATCAGGGGTGTTATATTTGGTAATTAAAATACATTTCAGGGTGTGATTCTCTCAAACAATTTGAGGGATTCATACAGCTGGTCAGTTTGAACAAAATTAAGCATTCAATAGTAACAGACCCTCCAGATTAAAGAACTAGAAGTAGAAAAAAATGCTAGAAATCCCTTTAGAAGTCAAGGTCCCAGGGTTCCATATAATAAATGCTATGCTTCAGATATCGTGCCGATTCAGAACCCTCCCTCCAGAGATGACCTGCCCTTCGCAGAGGACCCCCCTCTCATCCCTCCTTTCATCAACATCAAACCTGTCAACATCACTGTTCCTCCTGGTGCCACTGCTCAGTTTAAGTTAGTTCTCATAGGTTCTTGAAGGTGTAACCACTTAGTTCCATTAAGCGTCTTACTCAATTGAAAGCACTCTCAATCATCGATATTTAATAAATGGCAGAACCAGGAAAGATACCTAGTTTGCTGGATAATTTATTGGTATATTACTTGATGGCAAGATATTGAAAACAAAGTTAACAAATCCCGAACAGGTGTGCTGCATCCGGAGCCCCAGCCCCTACAATAACTATCATGGCACAAGAAGAAGCAATGACCTCCTACAGTCCACCGTCTCTCGAAGAAAGAGAAGCAGCTAAAGCCAGTGATCCGGATAGTAGCAACGTGAATATTATTCAGGAGATAGAAGATGTGACTAAGGATCATGAGGGATGGTATACTTGCATGGCTGGCAATGTTCAGGGTACGTGAAAATAGAATCCTGTGGTTAATTTCACTTTATATTTTGTGTTCAGGTATAAATTTTGGACGTATTCCTATCCAGAGTTTCCTACACTGGTCCTAAAAACTTGTCTGGTCCTAAAAAAAACTAGTCTGCACGATAAGACTGAACTGATAGGGATTTAGATATTTTATATTACTTAACACACCCATATGTAATAAACTTGGTTTTCAGTACCCCCTATTTCTTTAATCTCACTAACCTGCTATCTGCAGGAGCGGTATTCCATGACGCCTATCTCCGAGTACTGGATCTCTGTGCCACCATCACTTGTGACCCCCCTAAAACTTGTGAACCCGACTATATCGCCGGGACTGCTACCTGCGTTTGTCCGGAGTGTGACACTACTTTTGATGTGGTGTGCGGTAAGTTTCCGTTTTTAATTATTATGATATCTGGACTAGTTTAAGTTATCTGGACTAGTTACGAAAAAAGTGAGCGCAAAATATAGCTGATTGCTCCACAATTAATTCTTTTACGGGTGTTTGAAATCGTACCAATGTTTCGTGAATAGCCTGTACAGTGTACATTGGTTTTAGCAAATTTATTATTTCTATTCTAAAGACGAAAAATGATTGAGATTTAGGACCAACTACCAATTTGAATTCGCGGATCTGGTCGAAAGGGTGATTTATTTGATCATACCATCGAAAGTGAGTTCTTTGCAGGACTTTATCCAATTATCCGTTGCGAGGTTGAATGAAAATAACTTAACAACTGATGAACCAACATTTAACTGCGAGTCAAATGGCGGAACAAATCGCACCAGGCGATACAAATTGTAAAAATAAGATTGGTCTGTCACCCATGCAGCATACGGAACAGAATTGTGAGGTGCCGCATAAGTGCTCCATCCTAGATACAGCGTGAAGCTGACACCACGTGACACAAAACGCAGGCTGAGACTGGTCTAAATTACATTTGATCCCCTCTATTGGCTGGAAATATATTACCCGTGTCACATGTGGCAGGAGAGCCACCGCGTAGTGCATTATACGTATCGCTGATGTTTGTTGTAAATATTGCGTTTGAGTACACCTGGATCACAATTGCAGTGGTCACCTGGGCCTCGGTACCATGGTAACGGTTTAGTCACGTGATCGGTAGTTGAGATCACGTGATCTATCCTCGTATAAGATTACCTTGTTCTTGCGTCAACCTGTGGTTAGAGATGATCGATACAGCACCTGCGATACCACCAGCTCCGATCCTTGATCCTGGAATATTTCTCATTGGCTGGCAAGAATAAGGCAGAGCTAATGAAGCTCTTTCATTGGCTGGAAGGTCTACTTGGCAGTTGTTACTGGTTTTTGATTGGTAGAGAAGCTGATATACCACTGTGATTATGAGAAAATATGAGCAGTTGGGACAGACTAGGAACGCTTGCGGAGGAACGCTTGCGGGGAAACAGTGGTTTGAGTAGGCGGGCAGGTGATGGTAACTACAATTCCCTGGAACTATTGTTTTCTTGTGTCTCACTAAGTAAGGCTTGAATAATCTTATTTCTGTGGAGCTCGATCATACTGTGCAGGAACATCTGTCCTAATATTAGTCGTAGAGAGGATGATAAAGTTACAATTTTAGAAACAGAAAGTTACAGCTATGGCGAACAGAAGGTGACTATACAAAATGTGTGACAACGATTGGCAGGATCCCTATAAAGTCGACATATTACGACGTATATAGATTGAGAAATTTAGTGTTTACTCTGTGAAAGTGTCACGACGGAGTTTGTAAAATTTTCGAAGAGGTTACATTTTTAGACTAATCAAACGTGTAATGTTTGTCGCTCCGTTCGATTCACTGTATCGAGCTTTATATTAAGACACACATTTTCTCAAGTAGTTTCTAGGATAATAAAGCCAAATTTGAATGTTTAAAAAAATAATAAACCAGTAAAATCCGATATATTTTGATATATAATTCATTCGATGAGAAATATCCTACATACCTTATCGGACCTTATTTGGACGGACATTACTTGAACGGACATAATCATGAACGGACATTAATATGAACGCTAGAAGGCAATCAAAACCATCAAAAATCCGAATTTTTTTTCATCCTTTTTTTGACGTTTTTTAATTTTAGCAAATGATTTTTAAATGCATTGTTAAAATTTTATAATGCCTTGTTTTTATTGATTCAACGATATATCGTTGAATCAATAAAAACTATATATAGTTTAGTTTAATGATAGCTATTGAAATTGACTGAAATTAATAATAATACATTGTCATATGCTGGACAAAAAGTTCGAAATGGAAAAATTCTTGAAAAAATTTCAACGGACTTTAACTTGGACGGACATTAATTGAACGGACTTAATTTGAACGGACATTAAGATGAACGCTAGGGCCTCCAGCGTTCAAGTAATGTCCGTCCAAATAAGGTCCGATAAGGTATTCAAATCTAAGAATTGTGGCATACAAATAACAAAGCTATTATGGTGGGTCTGTCATCTATATAAATTACTTCGACTGAACTGTAAGGTCGAAGAAGGCCTTGCGTATTTCGATAGGGTTTTGATCTGTATAACACTTATTTCAACCCCTTCAAACTACAGGTTTTGACTGTAACACGTATTTCAACCCGTGTCAACTGGAACAACTGGAGTGTCAACAAGGGACTGATATCGGTATCTGGACACAAGGAATGTGCCCTGCTGTTGAGAGGCCAGTCATCACCGACACCATCTTCAAAAAGGTAGCAAATTGGTAGCTTATCTTCAAACACAATGAAAGATCCTGTGTTACAGTGTTACTTTCAAATAACGATTTCTCTGAAAAGTAGTGTTTCAACAAATATCGCGTCATCATGTTGATAGGTTTAGACTTTATAGAGGCTTTATCCCCAAACTTTTTGTCTCTTTTTAAAATTATCACTTTTTTAAATTATCACTTTTTAAAATTGAAACTTTTTAAAATTGTGACTCTTTTTGCATTGTCACTCTTTTTAAAATTGCCACTCTTTAAAATTGCCACTCCAGGGACAGACCAGCGGAGGTATGAGTCTCAAGTCCAGCCCGACCAGTATCCACATCGTCTCGGAGGGAGATAGTTTTACTCTCACATGCGAGGTAAGCGTTAAGATCAATCGAATTTTTATAAATGAGATAAATATAACTGAGTCACCCAAAACTGAAAGCGTATAACATCCCTTTTGCATTCAACAATTGCCCTTCCCTGTCACAATCCGTTGAAAGTGCAACGAAATGAACGAGTAGTGTTAGAAGCAAGATTATAACGCTACAAAACGTTTTTTATGGGGAACACCTGTGAGTAGGTCCTATAGAATTAAAGAAAATCATTAATCATCAATCACAGCTGGCTGAGTGGCCGTGGCATCAACGGTTTATCCTGCATTTCAGATTATTATGATTGATCTTCGTCACAGTATTTCGTGTCAAATGACCGATCTTTTCTTTCCTACGATATAAATGATTATTTTACGTTTTTTCTCACGAGTTATGAATTTTATAAATATAATGTATATTTTCGATTACAGTTGATCCCAGGCACAATTATCAATATCTTTATATTATAAAGATATGGTATTTATTATAAATTAAATTAAATTAAATTAAATTAAATACCATATCCATTCTCCATGTGGTCGTGGCAATATTCCTTAATTCAGCTTATTTGTAAATTTCAGTTACACTACAGTTGAGTCCATGAGACATTCTCATATATTTTGGTTTGGTTTTGGTTTATAGAGCTAAACGCCACTTATGTCCAATGAAGGACTTCTAGGCAATGTGCTTGGTTGTGGGACACACTCAACTATATTTAGTAATTAATTCTATTTCATCACCCAAAACGTTTTCAACTTGTTAGGGTTTGTTATAATAGTTGATCCCAAAGTTAATTTGTGTCATGTGTGATCTTTGCACTCGTGAGGTGCGGTGACAACGTTATCTAATATTTCATTTCATTGATACCTGTGAAAATGCGGCATGAATATTTTGCTAGGGTTACCATGAATTATAAATGTGGTAAAATTACGTAACTTCAGTAGTTATCCACAGTGCACTGAAAAATATCGAATAACATTGAAAATTGACTTTGAGTATGGTTCTGGATGGTGCTGTTTAACTTTAAACCATATACTGAATACTCATATAAGTGATACTCGACCTCTGCCTGATCCAGAGGATTTCACCATTTTACCTTCACACAGACATCGAACGCTGTAAGAAGATGACGATCAGACTTCGTTATTGATACGCGAAATGTTTAAAAATTATTGTTAGAATACTTGAGTAAATCGTCTTCAGCTTTGGATATGTTATTTCTTGAAAGGGTGGACACGAGGGCGAATAACAATAACATGGAATAACGGTTTTTTTTATGACCTCAACAGTCTGGAATTGCTAGGTAAAGCTTATTGGATCTACTCAGGTGTAAATTTGAAACAAAACATAGTGGATCACTTTGTTTTGTGATGTGATAATGTGATGAGGCAAATAATAACCCAGATTTAAACGACCTAAATATTAAAAGATTTTCCTTACTCAATAGCAGATTTTGGGTTTGGTAACGTGCTTAGACCAATCAAACACTGCCTAGATGTGACAAACTTGGCTTTCAAAATATCGCAGTCACTGACGCTACAGATACCTGGGTTTAGATCAGGGGTAGCACGTACCAAAACAGGTATTTGCTATTTACTTGGGGAAAAACGAATTTCACTGAGGTGTGTTCACTCAATTTCAAACCATCAATCCTCTCAGTTAAAACCATCATTTAGGGCGGTTTTGTTCTACCTTCGTGTCCATACTAAAATGAATCATGTGATTGGGGGTCCAATAGCATAAAATGGCATAAAATTGCATAAAATTGCATAAAATTGCATAAAATGGAAACTTTTTCTATGGAGAAAATGGAAAAAACCTTGGGTAATTCTCCATTTTATGCCATGAATTTTGATCACCCTCTATATAGATCTCACAGACCTTCGGGAACCGAGTAACCACTTTTAGAGGTGGGGCCTGGAGAAAAATTGACCGGAGAAAAATTGCTCTAAAAATTCAGTGCATTGAAAAAGATCAAATAACACTGAAAATCAACTTTGAGTATGGTTCTGGATGGCGCTGTTTAAACCATATAAGTGATACGAAATGTATACAAATATTTGTGTAAATCGTCTTCAGCTTTGAGTATGGTATGTGGTTATCAACGAATCCGAATCGCTGGTTGTATTGACGACACCTGAAAATATTTATGTGTCTCATTTATTTGATTAAATTTATCATCCTAACTGTGCCCCCTGTGCAACATACAGATTACAGAGCACAGACCATTTCTACTTTGTTTGATAATTTATATTACATCACAGCTGCACGGTAAATATAATCTCCATTTTCATGGGTCTATGAATTTTATTTCACCTCGAGTTTTGGTTTCGTTAACGTATTTGTTGTATTGTTTTCACTCTTTTATTTTATTATCGGCTAATAATCACAAATGTCTCGAATTCACTTATATGTTCTGAAATAAACTTTTAGAGTATCATTTTCTACTGTCAATTTTAAACCAAATGCAGTCTCAGATCAAGTAAAGAAGTAAAAGTTTAAAATGATTGAACCGACTCTCAGTCCCGCACACACATATTCAAGCTCCAACATGAGTCCTATTACACCTGAGGAACAGCTCAACCCATCTACTGTCATCACAGCTGGCAGTATTATCCTACCTCTAAGCGTAATCTTCGCAGCAATAAACTCCTACTTCCTCTACTCAATCTACCGTACTGAGGCAAATAAAAGATTCGCTCTACACACACTCCTACCTACTCTGCATAATGCTGACCATATCTGATCTCTCTTCTGCCTGCTTGTTGGTTTCCCGGCTGGACTCCACATGGCATTCCCCGCACACTTCCACGGCCATTCCACAATGGAGTTCTACACAAAGTTCATCCTATTCTTCCTTCTAGAATACCTGTTCTTTCTCAGGGTGATAATTGTAGCGGTTCTAGCTGCGGACAAATGTTTACATCTGACAATGCCACTGCGATACACCTTCTTTATGGATACACAGAAGGTGGTAAGGTTGGGTGTGATAATGGTGATCTTACCAATCGTAGCCAGGGTTATCCCTAATGGAGTTGATGTTTACTATAGCAGCCCGACTAACAACCCGGGAGGAAACACCCCAAAAATGATCTGCTTAAAGGCAGCTGACCGGTACATCGTGCCTTTGACCTGTGAAGTGGAACTGTCCAGTGCAGGAGATCATGAAGTTGATCCGATCTCCTTGGCCAAAAGAGATCTCGCTATACTAATCTCCCTGGTTACCCTAGGATTCCTGACTATTCTTATCTGTGACGTCATCATATTCACCTACCTACTCCTCAACATCTCCACAATCAAGACAATGACACACGGAACGAGCACCCGCTCTGGAAACTTCATCATCAGAACTCTCTACACGTTGAGTGTCTCCATCATCTTCGCTCTGACCAACTTCCCTTATGCTGTGATACGACTACAACAGTACCGTCATCAGATACTCCACCAAGATACTTGGATTGAGAACACTCCCAAGTTTCTCCTCTACTTGATGATGTTTATATCACTTATCTTTAACCCGTGGGTGTACCTTCTGAAGATGAAGTCGCTCCGAAACCTGGCGTTATGCGGGCCTTGTAGCAAGAGGAAGAGAATCCAGCCTACCAGACGAATCACTAGAAATACTGAGTGCACTATACCAGACTTGACAGAGCTGCAATTAATGTGAGGTGTATTACACGTGACATAATACTAGAGACCAGAGCTGCAATTAATGTGAGGTGCATTACACGTGACATTACACGTGACATTACACGTGACATAATACTAGACCAGAGCTGAATCTGAACTATACAAACAATTACTTTTACAACATGACATTAATAATTCCATCAGTCACAAATTGACTATACAATCAAATTTTTGGTAGAAAACATAAAACGTATGAAGACAATTTCATTGATTTAAATTTTCATTGATTCAATTTTGTTAATTACTAATGATTACAACAACCGTATGAACTATTAAATTTCTAATCCGTCTCAAGATACGGTGTCTCACTTAAATAACATCAAATCTTCGTGATACTGCTTTAACTAAACCAACGTGTCCTTTTTAAAAACCATCATCAAATTGCAAAAAATAAATTAAGCACATCAAATACTCAAAAAATAATAAAAACGCACACCACTGAAAGCATCTCCACTTATCTTATCACCTCTTATCTCCCCTTATCAGGCAACAGGAAGTCCTCCCCCCATGATGAGCTGGTGGAAGGACGGTGATAAAGTGCACGAGGGTGCTGTCTACGCTGTGTCTGGAGCTGCTCCTGGAGATGATGGTGGGTGGATCTGATTTATTATCATGTTGTTTTTATAAGATGCATTATCATGTTGTTTTTATAAGATGCAGAACTTTATTGTCATGTTGTTTTTATAAGATGCAGAACTTTATTATCATGTTGTTTTTATAAGATGCAGAACTTTATTGTTTGCGGAGATGATGGTGAGTGGATCTGATTTATTATCATGTTGTTTTTATAAGATACAGAACTTTATTGTTTGCGGAGATGATGGTGAGTGGATCTGATTTATTATCATGTTGTTTTTATAAGATACAGAACTTTATTGTTTGCGGAGATGATGGTGAGTGGATCTGATTTATTATCATGTTGTTTTTATAAGATGCAGAACTTTATTGTTTGCGGAGATGATGGTGAGTGGATCTGATTTATTATCATGTTGTTTTTATAAGATGCAGAACTTTATTGTTTGCGGAGATGATGGTGAGTGGATCTGATTTATTATCATGTTGTTTTTATAAGATGCAGAACTTTATTGTTTGCGGAGATGATGGTGAGTGGATCTGATTTATTATCATGTTGTTTTTATAAGATGCAGAACTTTATTGTTTGCGGAGATGATGGTGAGTGGATCTGATTTATTATCATGTTGTTTTTATAAGATGCAGAACTTTATTGTTTTTGGATTTGTACTTCTTTTAGGCACTGCTTATTAAGAGGTCAATGTAAGTGAGAAAGTTTCAATTTTTCTACAATTTAGTTTAGTTTAAGTAGCTGCAAGTTGATGTTAATATTGCAAAGTGGATTTAAAGCGTAATTAAGGTGCTATAATTAAATGGGGAGTTGATAAAAATACTTTTCAGGAGTATACACATGTCAAGCAATGAATTGTATTTACGGAGGTGACAAGGAAATGATCCAGGAGAGCGAATCTATTCAGGTTATTTACATTAATTATTTATTAAGATCTCAGAATCAGTACACATCAGGTGTAGCAATGGTCAATTTCTTAGACTGATCACCAAAGAATAAGAACAAGGATTCAGTTTTACCTCTATACTTCCACTTCTAATCCAAATTCCGAGCTTGCAGGTGAACGTTGAGGAGATCGAGAGTACTGGAGAAGCATTAGGAACACCCTGCCAAGTATTCGGAGATCCCCATATCGTTACCTACGATAACAAGCTATACGACTACATGGGAGACTGCAACTACGTGCTGTCCATGGATTGCGATTGGGGAGAGTGGGTCGTATATGGTCAGTGAAACATTTAAAACATGACCTTCAAATGTTATTTGTAACACATGATACAACATAACCTTTAGGTGTTTTCTTACGATCATTAGTTTAGTACAAAAATCATTTTGGAACGTTACTGGGTACAACTCCAAGTAAGGGCGATAGCTGGTCTATTATGGTACCCTTATGATTATCATTAACAATAACATAAGAGCATAAATGGATATTCCTCCACAGGCAACTTCAAACAGTGTGGACCTAAAGACCTGGGGTATCCTGCTTCGTGTTTAATTGATGTCACCGTGTTCTGGAACAGTATCGGTCTTAACCTCCAAAGAGGATGGATTGTCGTCTACAGAGGAGAAAAGGTGACATGTTTTGTACATGCAAATAATTCAAACGCGCTAAATCACTAAGACAATTGGATAATAGTAATACACAAGGTGCACAAACTATGATGAGATGATTAAAATGTTTGATTGTTTTATAATAAGCAATTTTTGTCGTGATAAAATTGTGATATTATGCTTGTTTCCTAAATTATCCTCCCAGGTTCCTTTAAAATACAAAGGAGAAGTGGAGGTAGAGGGTATTAAGATCCAGTATGATGGTCTTTACATCACAGTCATTCTTCCTAACGGCATCATGGTCACATGGGACGGTATCATATCTACTCAGGTTCGTTTATTGCTTGTTGATCCTGATCGTATTGATTGAATCGAAAATACATACGAAGATTTTGATTTGCAAATTTTACGGCCAGGTTAGCGCAGTTGGTTAAAACGCCAGCTTTGCAATCGTGAGGTTGCGGGTTCAAATCCCACTGTCTGCCTGGTCGTGGGGTGAGCGTCGTTGACGTTCAGCTAAGGATCCTGAGTGGTCTATGCTAATGCAGCCCCCCGGTCTACTCAGCCGAATACTCGAGAAATCGGGTGTGAGGGTTAAATGAGGAGCTGCACATTGCATCAAAGTCTCGGGCGAAGAAAGTATGGTACACACTACCTTAACCGTCACTGGCCAAATAAATCCTTCGGCTTCCTGTAATTGGCTGGTTGCACTTGTGTAACAATGTGGCTGTTGGAATACACCGAAGTAAAATAAGTGTCTTAATAAAAAAAAGGTCTGAAATTCAGAATTTGAATATAACAAATGTAAAGGAATAAAAATCAAAGCCACTGAGTTTGTAAGCTAAAATTAAAACTACCAGGTTATATTGAAGAAGGACTCAGCTCGCAACACATGTGGTCTCTGTGGTAACAACAACAAGGATCCTAATGACGAGTTCTTTGCCAGATTCCAAAACGACAGTCCAGTCAGCAGTTTGAACGCTTTTGGAAACAGGTTTTTCAGACACTTCTAGTTGTTTAATTTTTGTGGTGATAAGATCATGGTCATGGTTCAAAATCATTATTTGTTCAAAAGAAGCTCATAAGAATATTCCGGGTGAATATTTCTCATATAGTCATAGTCCTCGAAATATTTAGAACGATGATTAATCACAACGTTTTCCAGTTGGGAGATTGATAGAATGGACGTATGTGATGAGTTGGGACAGGAGGTTCTAGCACAAGAATTTTGTGATATGTACCCAGAGAGAGCCGCTGAAGGAGAAGTCAGGTAAATTAGCTTGTGATACACATCTTCCAAATTCCTCTTGTTTTCTAATTATACCAAACTTAATATTTCCTTGTGTTGAAGTTTCATTTTAAGACTTTCAGTCTCTAAAAAAAAATCTCCTCCAGATGTCCGGAAGTTTTCAACAATGCAGTGTTTGACGAGTGCCGACCCTTCCTCTCAACTGACGGCTACGAGGAGAAGTGCCGTTACGATTTCTGTGCTCTGGACGAGATGAGAGAGATTCTTCTGGCTGATTGTGGAGTTGCTGCTGCTTACGTCCAACAGTGCAAGGTTAATACTTTTACTACTACTACTATGTCGGAGCTAAGTCCGATCTACGCCAGAAAACCCCCTCCATATATCCCTGTCCCGCATCAGGGTTCGCAGTTCCTCTTTAGAGTTTGTCCCAACTTCCTTCAGTAACATAGACAAGTAGCTTTGTCTTGGACGGCCTTACTGTGCTCTACCATGCGTAGGTTCCCATAAGACTAAATCACTGGCAAGTAGCTCAGGATGTCGGATGCAGTGTCCCGCCATTTTTAATCTCCTGCTCCGTAACTTGTTTGACAGCCTTGGTAGGCTACCATACAAAGTTATATTGCTGACCTTGTCCTTCCATGAGATACCCAGCACCATACGCAACATCTTTGTGTATGTCCCGTCCAACCTTTTCTCTTGAGCCTCTTCAGGTTTCTGATCCGTAGAGCAGTACTGATAGCAGTATACTGAATACTTTTATTGTGCTTAATTCTCAAATCAATCTCTTATTTTAATTCATATAATGTCGACATTCGAATTAATATTGTTACCATCCCAACATTTTTTGATAATTCTAAACCCCCCTCCTCACCCAGGCCGTATCAGGAGTTTATATAAGCGCAGCTAAATGGAGGGCAGCAGTAAACTGCCCTACCGTAGCAGAACATCAGAACGCTACTGTCGCAGAGGGATGTCCCCAAGAAGAGCTTCCTTGGACTTTGGTTTAAGCAGCTCCTTATATGGGCATCACGTGGTTTAAGCAGCTGCGGTACGAGCAAGTTCATGATTCATAACGTCAGTGATGGCAAAATGGCAATACACAGTGGATATGGAGCTTCGTTTTGTATTATTATTTGCTAATAGTGGTTAATTAGGTGTATTTGTCCCGTTTTAAGGACCCTTAATTCGGTTCTGTGATAATTGTCAAATTTGGGATTTCTAGGAATATGGCGTGAAATTTCAATGGGTAGAATTAATAGAAACTGAGTAGTGAGTAAATGGGTGAAGCTTATACAATTGTTTTCTGTTTATTTATGCATTTCTGTATATTTCGCACATAACGACATGATTTTTTATGAATTTTAACGAATATTTCTCTTGTAGTCCTCAAAATTTGTAGGATGATGATTAACCAGTACTCTTCGGTCCCGGTCACTTGACTTAGTGCACAATGTAGCACAATGTAGCACAATGTAGCATAAGGAGTGATTTAGAACGCTCTTGGCCAATAAGCCTCAGTAGTAACAATGTATTTAGTTCCTCTGAATCTAACTCCTCTATAATGCAAGGGGGTGTAAGGCAATTGACACAAGTCCTGTGCATGTTTATCAATTAAATGGGCAATCCTCTATATATTAGCAAATCAGTTTAATCGATGTAATCAAAAACGGAGACGCGCGCGCACGTATAAATAAATACGTGCGCGCGAAAATAATTTGGCTTTTCATGATAATTTGACGACGTTACCATGGTTACAAGTAGACCCTTTTAAAATTAAGGGGTATTTCTGTTTGGCATTTTTGAGTTTAATTGTTTTAAATATTCATGGCAACGAAAACTCGTCAGTTTCATAACAAACAACTATCGTTATTATATTATACGCAAAACAAATTTTACAATTATCAAATTATATACACTTCAAAGTAAAAATCGGGGGTGGGCCCTAAATAGCACTCGATTCAATAACGAAACTTTCACCATCACACGACCCAGCCAAGTAATAGTTTGAAAAATACCAATAAGGAGTTACTTGCCAGCGGGTGCTTTTGGAAGAGCCATACTATGACGATTAAGGCCAGGTCTAGGCATTCTATCACTATACAGTACATCAACTGTGGACTGCTGGGTAACTTGGTCCTCGATGGACACTTTTAGTCGTCTGAACCTCGACGACATAACTTTGCCAGCAGCGGGAGGGGTCGGCAATGCTCTCATCTCTGGACGAGAAGAGTCCCCAGATGTAGGTCTGTAAATGGCATTTAGAGGGCTGCGTGGGTTACTTAGTAACTCTGTCGGACTGCGTGGATTACTTAGTAACTCTGTGGGGCTGCGTGGATTACTTAGTAACTCTGGGTCCAGACTAACGCTGCCTTTCGTTCTTTCAACTGATTTTCTTCGTCTTGGTAGTTCTGAACTGCTTGACACAGAGTTCATTTTTCGATAGTCTCTCCTTACCTTTGGAGCGATCAATGCTACGTCGATCAAGAGAACCGCTACGCCGATCCTGTGAACCACTACGACGATCCTGTGAACCACTACGCTGTTCCCGTGATCCACTCCCAACGCGCTGCTCACGTGCAGATTTTTTGGGCACATGATTGTCACGTGCAACTCTTTTATCCGCACGTTCCTCAACATCAACACTCTCATCGTAAAATGTAGGAGTCCTTGATTTGCCGGATTTTGGTACCGGAGATGGGTTTGTTGGTGATTTGCGCGCTGCGCTGGTGGGACGAGAGAGTTTCCGGGAAGAGCTGGGACGACTTGTTTCACGCAGTGCTGCTTCGTAGTTTGCCTGGAATGAGAAGATAACTTGTTGAGACAATTAGCAAACATGTTACCTGTTAGCCCATATATTTCAAACCGTGCAACTAACTTCATGATTAACCAAACCTTGGTTCCTGTAAACAACATGTTCACTATTAAGCTTATAAACCGTGTTTCAAATCTATTAATTATGCTGAATTATTGACGTAAAGACATTGTTTGCGTTGCTAAATTTGTATTATATAGGTACCATCATTGTGAGTAAAAGATTCGTATTACTTGAATAGTTTTGCTACATTTTGCGTGTAGCTGACGAGAAGACTATTTACAGAATGTTAACCTGGCAACCTGGCAACCTGGCAACCTGGTAACCTGGTAACCTGACGAGAAGACTATTTACAGAATGTTGCTACAGGAATTGCACAAATAATACCTACATGTAACACACTATTGTAAAACAGAGCGTGCTCATGCATGATATTGACATTATTATAATTTATATATGTAGTCATGTTACACTAACATTATTCTGTAGAAACAGCATGTAAAGAGATGACGAGTATCACGTGATCAAAGCCCACACACACAAGCTAATCCACTTGACAATAAGCCACCAGGGGTCACGCAATTCTCCGTAACTACAAGTTGGCATGCAATGTAGTAAAGTTACAGGTTGGCATGCAATGTAATCTAGTTTTTATGAAGTATGGAGCTTGCGATGTGCATAATGTGTCAAAAATAAAAAGGGTCCAGCTTTTAATGGAGAGGAATTTAAGGGAATTAGTATTTCTATTAATTGTGTTCTTTGGGTTTGAGGTGGAATGTTTCCGGGCTAAATAGATGCGGATAAAAGAAATTCAGAGACTGATCATAATTTAGAAATAGAAATTCAGCAACAAAAAATGGTACGAGAAACAGGAGTATGGTATTTAAAGAATATTTGAATAGATATTAGACTGAAGAATGATTGAGATAACAATTGACTAACCCTTTTCTCAGATTTAGTATTCTCTTCGTTAACACTGTCAATAGTAAGCTCTCTAGATAACCAGTCTCTGCTGGTTTTCCACTCTTGTAACATTTCATCAGGATCTTCACTCCACGCTCCCACCGGTGTCGGAGGTGCACTCTGGGATATGCCAATCAGTGTGGACCAACGACCAATATGATTTGTAAATAGGGGTAAATACTAAATATCCTTCAATTTTTCAAAACATCGTGGTTTATATAATACAAATCTTAAACCTTGGATTGTGAATTACACCAAATTAACAATCGAATCAAATATGCTTCAAGATTCAACCAGCAACCTTATTAAAACGGAAGAAAAAATGCTCTTATCTTGCAAGTTTCTACCCGATGAACTGAAATCACTAAAACTACACAGAAGATTTGAAATGGATGCTTTAGATGGAGGAGTAACATCACAACGATCATACTTACTTTTTCCAGAATGTCAGAGTAGATATTCTACAATGTAATAAACTATGTAAATGACACTGGTGGCATGTTTCAAAAAATTAAGCTTTTAATAATTCAGAGGTCCAAGATTTTCAAATCGAATAAGAAAAACCAGTAAACCGACCTCTTTAACGTTTTTAGTGAGTTTAGTTCGGAGTTTACTTGGAGGACCACATATCACAGCTCCTTGTGTCAGTCCTGAACTGTGATCCGGGGGTATACCTGGGGTTAATGAGTGTGATCCGGGGGTATACCTGGGGTTAATGAGTGTGATCCGGGGTATACCTGGGGTTAATGAGTGTGATCCGGGGGTATACCTGGGGTTAAAGAGTGTGATCCAGGGGTATACCTGGGGTTAATGGGTGTGATCCGGGGGTATACCTGGGGTTAATGAGTGTGATCCGGGGGTATACCTGGGGTTAAAGAGTGTGATCCAGGGGTATACCTGGGGTTAATGAGTGTGATCCGGGGGTATACCTGGGGTTAATGGGTGTGATCCGGGGGTATACCTGGGGTTAATGAGTATGACCCGGGGGTATACCTGGGGTTAATGAGTGTGATCCGGGGGTATACCTGGGGTTAATGAGTGTGATCCGGGGGTATACCTGGGGTTAATGGGTGTGATCCGGGGGTATACCTGGGGTTAATAAGTGTGATCCGGGGGTATACATGGGGTTAATGTGTGTGATCCGGGGGTATACTTGGGGTTAATGTGTGTGATCCGGGGGTATACCTGGGGTTAATGAGTGTGATCCGGGGGTATACATGGGGTTAATGTGTGTGATCCGGGGGTATACCTGGGGTTAATGAGTGTGATCCGGGGTATACCTGGGGTTAATAAGTGTGATCCGGGGGTATACCTGGGGTTAATGTGTGTGATCCGGGGGTATACCTGGGGTTAATGAGTGTGATCCGGGGGTATACCTGGGGTTAATGTGTGTGATCCGGGGGTATACATGGGGTTAATGTGTGTGATCCGGGGGTATACCTGGGGTTAATGAGTGTGATCCGGGGTATACCTGGGGTTAATGAGTGTGATCCGGGGGTATACCTGGGGTTAATGTGTGTGATCCGGGGGTATACATGGGGTTAATGTGTGTGATCCGGGGGTATACATGGGGTTAATGAGTGTGATCCGGGCCGGGGGTATACCTGGGGTTAATGAGTGTGATGCGGGGTATACCTGGGGTTAATGAGTGTGATCCGGGGGTATACCTGGGGTTAATGACTGTGATCCAGGGGTATACCTGGGGTTAATGAGTGTGATCCAGGGGTAAACCTGGGGTTAATGAGTGTGATGCGGGGTATACCTTGGGTTAATGAGTGTGATCCGGGGGTATACCTGGGGTTAATGAGTGTGATCCGGGGGTATACCTGGGGTTAATGAGTGTGATCCGGGGGTATACCTGGGGTCAATTAGTGTGATCCGGGGATATACCTGGGGTTAATGTGTGTGATCCGGGGGTATACCTGGGGTTAATGTGTGTGATCCGGGGGAATACATGGGGTTAATGTGTGTGATCCGGGGGTATACCTGGGGTTAATGACTGTGATCCAGGGGTATACCTGGGGTTAATGAGTGTGATCCGGGGGTATACCTGGGGTCAATGAGTGTGATCCGGGGGTATACCTGGGGTTAATGTGTGTGATCCGGGGGAATACCTGGGGTTAATGAGTGTGATCCGGGGGTATACCTGGGGTTAATGTGTGTGATCCGTGGGTATACATGGGGTTAATGTGTGTAATCCGGGGGTATACCTGGGGTTAATGAGTGTGGTCCGGGGGTATACCTGGGGTTAATGAGTGTGATCCGGGGGTATACATGGGGTTAATGTGTGTGATCCGGGGGTATACCTGGGGTTAATGTGTGTGATCATGTAGTGTAAAGTGTATAGTGTAGTGTATTGTGTGTTGTGCAGTGTAATGTACAGTTCTTTCGTGTGATAAATACGGTATGCAAATTAATAATTAACACGCAAAAATAATACAATTCGAAATTTCATTAAAATCAAAAAGTGAGATCCAAGATTTCTCAAAACATGGTAACCAGACACCAGAACATGATAATTGAAAAGGTGACAATAATAATACTCGATACTATTCGTGGTGGGTACGTCCAGTCACATACTTCAAATAACTGAAATATTTAGGTTGCATACCTGGAGAGGGAGTAGGAGAGGGAATGGATGAAGAGGTATCTTCTCTTTCTGAAAACAAACACAAGTTACATTAAAAGTAACTGGGTAATATTGACTAGTGAAAAGTAAAGACCACTGCCCCCTACGAAGAAGAAGACTAGTGAACCTGTGAAATCTAAACTTCCACAATAAATCAGAAACATTGAAGCAAGACTGGTGGAAGCAGCTTTAATATTGGCCTATAAATTTACCTAATTTAGCAGATTTACCTAATTTAGCAGATTTAGGACGTCTCTGAGCCTCTGACATGGTGTCTTTTAAAGAAGTATTAACCACCTGAGGAGGAATGTGATAAACTGTGAATTAATAAGAGATAAAAATTGAGGTATTTCAAGAACCTGGTAACCTGGTAACCTGCAACGTACCAGGAGCACGTGACACTAACCAACCAATCAGTACAGAGAAGCCACGCTTAACTTAGAAACAATTAAAAACAGTGAATCAATTACTTATAACACAAATTTAACTCAGATCTAATCATATTATAACATTACAACACACCGATATCTCAGACTGTAAATTCCCCGTATTTCCCAGGAGCGGATGTGAAGAAGTAGTAAGTGATCCGCCGGATAACTGCCCCTTCAGTAGCTGGTCATCTAGATATCTCAGCTCGGGTAACAACACACATATCTTCTTCCTCAGCTCAACAGGACTCATGAGCGAGGTAACTGGGTTACCCTCTATGTTCAGGGTTGATAGGTTGGGACACATGCAGAGGAATTCTATCTGAAAGAGATAAGAGATTAGATACACGAGATATCATGTTAAGTTGTACAACGTTCTGAGGCTACACGACCATTCCCGCTCATCCAGATCGAGTAAATGCTGATTATTTTATTTTCAACCATTGTGTACATGTTGAACCATCTTGTTATAACAGTTCAGTTATCTTATAAAGGAACACCTGCACACTTTGACGTAGATTGTGAAGATTCTTGTAAAAGTTCTAATTCAGCAACATGTCAAATATTAAAGTCCAGCTCTCATGTAAACAATACACCTATCAACTATCTGTATCACATAGGTGTGTGAAATCTAGCAACCTAACAAGATCTGTCAATATGAAAAGTTCTAGAAAACTAGAAGACTGTTCTTCATCACAACCGGTCCACTATTTCCAACTATTCCCCACTATTTCTCAGTTGTCTTGGTAACAGCGCTCTCTCATACTCTAGTTCAACATGTTACTTTACACCACAGTGTTTCTAGTACTACTCTCCCTAACAGAAGCAGGTCCTATCACAGAACAGGAACCAGCTCCACTTGATGCACTACACAGTCTAGATGGAGTTTTATCCGCTCTACCTCACAAACTACAGGGTAAAGCGGTAGTACATCATGAAGGTATGGATGCGCTGCATGCACTAGATGAACAGATTGCACGTGATGCGTTGCATTTACAGGGAGCAGGTGGGATGTTCTTGCAATCAGGCCCTAAAGATACAGCTGGACTTGGGGTGGAGATGCCTGGTGTTATGATGTCCGCTACAGGGGATATGTAACGTGGACACAAGAACTGGATAAGTTTATAAGTTTTTTGGATCTTATTGCAGTAAACTTATTGTTTTATTGTGGAAAAAGTTTTTAAAACTCATATTACTTCGATAAACTTAATTTATTGCTGTACTCTATAAAATATGAAAAGTATTAAATACAAAATATATACATACAGACCTGGTCTAAGGAGTCAACGTTGTTGCTTTCAATATCAACAAGCTCCAAAGTATCGACCATACTGAGAGGGCTCACGTCACTGATCTCATTGTAGGATAGATACAGCTCCTAAAATACAAGACAATTATTAATTAACACGCAATTATTAATTAACACTATTCTAGGCTTGTAATGATTCCTTGAATAAGTTAATTTTTAATAAAACTATTAAACAAAAGTTTAAAATTTATTAGTACATTATTGCATGAGTACTTGCAGTGCTAACTTATAAGCTTCATGAAAATCTGAAAAAAAAACCCTGAAGAAAATCTGAAGAAAATCTGAAAAAAAGTAGAAACTAGCTTACTGACCCTGAGTGTTCCAATAGAACCTATACCATCCAAGTCCTGGAGACCACATCTACTCATCCACAATACTTGTAGGGAACGTAGTGTCGTCCCTAGATCTCTTACTGAGGAAATCCTACTTCCTGACAACCTGTAATTAAATGTTGGTAATTATTAATTAAATGTTAATTAAATGTTTGGTTGTTAATCTGTATTCTGTAGGCATCACACTGAATATTGTGGCAATAAAATGTTACTCTTTTGACCAATAGAACTTACCTAAGTTCCCTAATGTTGGGCAGGTAGTTGCCAAGGGACCCAAGACTGCTTTCAGAGGTATCCACAATAAGATCCAGAGATATCACGTGACTCAAATCCGAGTATCCTGACAGCTGCCTCTGAAAATGTTGCTGAATGTCAAAAACAAGACAAAAACAATCTATATCAGTAGCAACACCAACAAATATTGAGTGCATAAAATTAATAATAATTTATTTAATAGATTGCTTTAAAACATGGTATCTTTGTCTGTGTAAGTGATAAACATTAAACATGCTCCATTTGAAATCTGAATGTGTAGTGTACAACATAAATAATAATAATAAATTGAAGTTTAATGAAACCACTATTAAGATAAACTTATACTCAGCAGTGTTTACTCTAAACATCCCAGAAATGTACTTGAATAATAGGTAAAGATCCACTGGTAACGTATGCTTGAAAATATGAGCACAAGACATAGTTATAAAGAACACATCATTCACCATATGAAAAAGAGGAATATCGCCACACAAATAGTTATAAAGAACACATCATTCACCATATGAAAAAGAGGAATATCGCCACACAAATAGTTATAAAGAACACATCATTCACCATATGAAAAAGAGGAATATCGCCACACAAATAACAAGACATAGTTAAGAACACATCATTCACCATATGAAAAAGAGGAATATCGCCACACAAATAAAACATAGTTAAGAACACATCATTCACCATATGAAAAAGAGGAATTTCGCCACACAAATAACCGTCCAGCTCGTCCTGAAGGTCCTGGCCCGATGGTATGACTGGAATGTATTCACCCGTGACACCCTGCAAATGTATAGTTGTGTGAGGGTAGGGTGTCACCAGGTGCGGTCTAGTCGCAGTCATACCACCATCCGCATCCTAGACAGATTGTTGAGATATTGTTTTATAACTAAAACTTAATTCACAGGTTTATTCTCGTTCAAAGAATAAACCTGTAATATCGTGTAGCTGACATTTCTCATCGTATTGCAGTTAAATGCATCGTGCTATTATAAAGCAACACCAAACACCACAGATAAATTATTGAAGAATGTGCTTCACAATTTAACATAAATCACAGTTTCTAATTAAATCATGCTCAGTGCTTACAGTATAAATATTTAATTATAAACCAGTTTTTTAGGTGAGAGTACATCCTCGAACAACACCTCCTCTTCTTCAAAGGCATCAGAGAAAGTGGGGGATGGATTGACGGCAGGTGTTGAGACTATGCGGAAGGAGGGTGTTCCAGGTCTAACAGGGTCACTGTGCATCACACTCCTGGAGGTGATTAATCAGTTAATTAATTAGTTAATTAATTAGTTAATTAATTTGTTAATTAATTAGTAATTAATTATGTTACTGTAGATATCATTTATGATTTAAAATTTTATTTTATTTTTTATTTCGTTGTGAATTCATTAACCTCACCTAATGCCATTGCTATGAGATGAACATTGTGGCATATGCTGCAGTGACGCCATCTCAAACCATTCCCTATGTCGAAGACCTGATAAGTATAACTTGGTTAAACTGACCACAATTTGTAAGTAAACAAATCAATTAAAAAAGAACCACATCATGGGTGCTTTAATCTCCTGATACATACGCGGCCAAGAGGGCTAGATGAAAATAATACCTAAGATCTATCAAACATACAGAATTTCAATTAATTGGGCTTTCTGTATGATTCCCAATTCCCATAATCAATTCAAAAAGAACCGAAAGCATTGATTTTATAACCAAATTTTGAAATGGACTAATATTGCATATCTCCTGATACATACGAGGCCAAGAGGGATAGATGAAAACAATAACTACGATTCATCAAACTTTTCAATGTTTAAGAATCACAGACATAGGTAAAATGATATCATATAGCATACTTTACAGAACCGTACAATAACAGGACTTTTTTCATTGAATCCTCAATAACAGATTTCATTATCATTCGGCTGATTTGACCTCAGGAGATTTCATCCATATAGTTAAGAATGATCTCTTGTCTTCGATAATAATAAGATCAAAGGTAGCACAATCATAATCTGGACAAAAGTAACAATAATTAGTTAATGTTGTTTCAGGTGAAGGTTACCCTTAATAAATTCCAGATCATTTGGCAAAGTTTCTCCTCATTCAACGAAAACAGAGGGATAAATTAATTGCAAATGAGAAGGGACCCTACACTGCCGAAAGATCTGGTTTCTTGTAAGGGTACCCTTCAGAATAGATGTACTGCACTGTAGACCTAAAGACTTTTACTTCAGTGAAACCCTAAAAGCGCCATACAGACAAAAACACTACATAGTCATAGTGATAGTAACCATAACTTATTAAGAAAAATGCATGGTAGCGCTCGATTTTTCTTACGAATTTTAATGTCATAGTGCGCGGCACCAAGAAAATATTTCAATTTCAATGAAACAAGAAATTTCAATGAAACAAGAAATTTAATTTTAGCACATTTTACAGAATAAAAAGATGTAAAACAATTCATAAAATATAATGCCCATTTGGTGTATGACTTTTTGTCCTTGACTGCTAGTTTGGGTTTGGAAGGACAGGTAACTAACGGGGCAAGGAATGCGCGTGCCTGAGAGCTTTTGCACACACCGAAACGCTAGTTCAGTTAATTGCTTTCAAAACTTATTCATTGTTTTTATTGTGTTTAACTGCAACACTGCTTCTTTCTAAAGATAACGTTGCATTCGTTTTTTATTTCTTCGTTTATAATGGTTGATCTAACAGCTTTTCCCATTTTTACATTCACTTGTTAAAATATCATGGATCTTGTCAATTAAACAAATAATCAATTAAACAAATAATCAAAGTTTTAGCACATTTTACAGCATAAAATTTAAACAAATGAAAACATATAATGCTCTTAGTGGTAAATGGCCGTTTGTTCTGAGCTGTATGGTTTTTTGACTATCAACTAGCGGGGCAAGGAATGTACTGGCTGGTAGCTTTTGTGCACACCAGAACGCTAGTCTGGTTGATTAGTGACCAAATTAGAGGCGTTGATAGGAAGGCATTATAATTTGTGGGTGTAAGAGGGAATATTTGGCATGCATTATTCTAGCAGCTATTTTGTAACAAATGGTCTTTACGATTATTAAGGACGGTAAGTATTTTGGGTGTTCAATACTAAATCATGGCTAAATGTCTAAGTGTGGGCCGGGGTTTAAATTTAGGGGAGAAAAAGAAATGAATATTGGGTTATATATATATAATAATATTAAATTGGGTTATAATATTAAGAAGCCAGCTTTTTAATACAAATGTGAGGGAAACATTAGTCAAATATTCATATATCAAATAATTTAAGGCTGATGAGTTAGAAAACCTGCTAACGTACCAGTAACCTCTCTTGGATATTTTCTAGTTAGGTGCATTTGCCTTATTTAGCCAGGATTAAAAATTTGCAGTTATTAACTTGATTTCCTATTAGTTTCACCCCCGTCCTAAATAGGCAAGATGCACAATCTCCAATGTCAATTAGGTATCATTTACATGTCTGAGCATATAAGGGGTAAATTTTAATTATTTAACCTTTTGGTGCTGTAAAAAAAAAATTTATTTATTGTTATTATCATTATTTTATGTTAAATTTGAGTGTCAAATTGCGAATTATGATTATTTATGTTGAGTAACTGTATCTGACTCTTCTTGCACAAATAGTTAACATTTAAAGGCCAAACACCATTACGGAGCAACATAGACAGTGGTGTAACGTTTCCTTTTTGACCCCCTGCTGCCTACTACTTTTTGTACCCCTAATATTTTTTGTGTCGACCAAACGTTATATTAAAGTAAACTGAGAGTCTAACCAGTGTACTCCTGTCTGTCCGACATTTTTTGAAGACATAGGGACATCGTTACTTTGTGCCGCCCCCATGCTGATTGAAATTTGCCGCCCCTATCGGGAGCTTTTTTTGGCACCCCCTACAACTTTTTGCCGCCCCCTGAAGCAAAAATGGTACCCCAAATATTTTGTTACGTCGACCGAACGCTAAATTCGACAGGGCAGCACACCAATAAGGCGCTTTTTCCGTGAAATCAGACCTACAATCCAGGAAAATGCCGCCCCCCTAAGGTGCCGCCCCTCTGCTAGCAGGGGTAGCGGGGGCGGTCGTTACGCCACTGTACATACACACGATAAGTGAGCTTCTGTACTACGCCCTTCCTTGCTGGACTGGTCTAAGGCCTTCTACAGAGATTGTCATCTACAGTAACCCTCAAACAACCAAATAAAATAAACATTATATGTCACACCACACAAGATATAATATTCCAACAAATGAGATATTTGTATAGTTATATTGCATAACTATTATGTCACACCAGGCAAGACATAATAGAAGCATAGTAATAAACAAGATCTTGCAAGATCTTGCAAGACCGAAATATACAAAAATGCTACACCACTGCTTAGAACCAACCAACAAGCCTACAGAGCCCCATTGGAGCTTTGCACAAATTTCAAGCAGACCAAGTATGTGTAAAAGCATTAAAAACTACCTTAATGTCACACAACTTTGCTGCCCCATGGAGATTTTTGAACGCCCACATATCTTTCATGACAACCCAACGTTAAGATTGCCAGGATATGGTAAATTTTCGTAAAAAAGACCTAAAATTCGGGGGAAATGGATAGCATCATAATGATGACTCTAGAACGATTTTGGAAAAATTTACTAAAATGGATTGCTTCACTTTACCAAAAAGTTCGTGAGGATGTAGATTGTACAGGTTATTAATAACTCTTATTCTAGATCAATTGAAGTCTATGCGTGAAGTCCAATTTATGTGATATCATTGCTTCAATTCCATAACTATGTTTCATTTTATATGTCTGTCTAAATTACATTTCACTTCTCCCAAAATTATAATTTATAATATGGGGTCGTTCACATATTACGTAATCAATATTTTAGTAATTTTTACCCCCCTCCCCCATTCCGTAATCAACCGTAATTAAGACCCAACCCCCCCCCTCCTGACAGCAATATTACGAAATCATGGCCTGACCCCCCCCCCCCCCCCCCCCCCCCCTTGACTTTTTTCCTAGAAAACACTTTTCTCTACGTTTCATGCTACCCTGATCATGCTATCATGATGAGCCGAAATCATTGTTATGATATCCGGCCAAGCACCTTCTAAACTACTTACTATTATAGCCGGATATTCGATCAATTTCTAAATTTTATCACTATCAGAGTGAAATTGAGTGGAATTTGAATTAAAATATTGTCAAATTGTTATTATTGTAGAGGGTAAAAAAGAAAATTTTGATTACGTAATCAACGGCCGAAACCCCCCCCCCCCCCCCCCCCCGTAATCAACCGTTAGCATTTGGAACCCCCCCCCCCCCTCCCCCCTCGGCTGATTACGTAATATGTGAACGACCCCTATATAACAATCTGTTTTCGCTCTTTTGAGTGGGTCGATCATATAATTGATGTTTTGGGGCAAAGTGAGAGTCTCCACCCAGTTTTTCAAACAAATAGTTGTCTACGTTTCAGCCCATGCCTTTGACATGGACGAGACGTTACAATTACGTTACATAGCTCAATAAATGTAATAGATTTGTAGTGTTGTAAAGTGAGACTCTCACTTTGTCCCAAAACATCAATTATATTTATAATATATCAGAAAACTTAGTCTGCAAAGAATTAATGAAAACATTTTGCTTCTTTCCTTAATGTTTCTGTATTCTTTAATTGCTGCAATAATATATAATATATATATGTGTGTTTTTTATGTATGACATATTAATATCATTCAGATGGCAATGGCAGAAATGGAAAAACACCCTGACTCATACATGAATGATGGTCCGTTTATCAACAAGCTACTTATTCCAGTGAGTATTAATGCTGTATTTTTATATCAATGTAAGTATAGCTTTGTATCAGTGATGGTTCTAGAATGATTTTCAATGCTAAGTGTAGTCATGATAGCTTCTACCATAAGTAGCTTTCTAATTTACTGATTTATATAAAACTTGATTCGCCTTAACCTGATGTACAAATAAGGTCATTGCATTAATAATGATATAAAATACTGCACGTTGCATGTAGCCTTTTTGTTAACAGAGTACAGAGTAAATTTTATTTTGAAGAATTGTCATCAATAACTTAAGTAATGGTACTAGGATTTACCTCGTGTAATTGTGGAATTAATTTAACTTTTAAATCAAATAATCCTGTAATGGTATTACACAAAGTTGAATTAACATACATTACTGTATCATAACTGTAACATGTACAAAGAGACAAACTTCCCCTGCATGTGATCAAATAAACAGACATGTAATGAGCTAACATGCAATACAGGCTGCTATGTGATTCATACAGTGTGTGCGTGTGTTAAAGATTAAATCTGTTTTTGCGTGTATTCGTCAGCATGAAGAGGTCTCCTCGGCATGGACCTGTAAATAGAGTAGTATGATAGCTGTCGAGATATGGCTCTATCAAATGAATCATGTATAGACGATATACATTTTATTTCGTGGTTTTTCACTGCTGAGTGCAGTACAGTAGAATCCCAAAGAGAGGCTTTGTAGATGTAATGATAAAAGAAGTTCACGAAGATTGTATCTTGCGGTATGATGCTATAACCTTATGGAATTTAATGGGTAACTACGTACATATATTATATTAAGCTTTCATATACTTTGAAAGAAAATTTAGCGAAATTTAAAATCATTGTGGTCAACTCTTCAGAACGGTAACTTGACTTACGAACAAGTAGCAACACAAACAATCTCTGTCGAAGAAAAGAAGATTATCAATGATTTTGTCTACTTGTTGGAGAAAAGCAAACAACTTTTTCAACAGCTAAGGTTAGAAAGCATGATTGTATTTATTTATATTATTAAAGAAGCTTTAAAAATTGTAGGACTTCATTGATTTAGGCCCATTCGGTCATTTTTGCCTGTTTGAAACTGATAGATGTTGTCATTTATGTTTTTGAGGTAGAACTAGAAGTTCTCTTGCCGCCCTTTCTTGTACGTCAATTTCTATAATCAACCCAAAATTACGTCACCTTTTTGTGCTTTCTAAATAGTCTATCAGAATTGGTAGTTTCAATTCCACTTCAGTCTACATAAATAAAATATTGATTTTAGATTGACATTATTCAAATTAAAGTGTATAAGATTTTGAGACTTCAGTGTTGGTTAAGTCGAACACTTACAGTATTGAACAATATTCTACTTCCAACTGTATTAACACGCCTAAATACATTTATCCCAGAATATTTCAATTCCTAAATATCGTTCCTCAGTGTTTATTGTTCAGAGGTTTCCTCAGTGTTTATTGTTCAGAGGTTTCCTCAGTGTTTATTGTTCAGAGGTTTCCTCAGTGTTTATTGTTCAGAGGTTTCCTCAGTGTTTATTGTTCAGAGGTTTCCTCAGTGTTTATTGTTCAGAGGTTTCCTCGGTGTTTATTGTTCAGAAGTTTCCTCAGTGGAATATTGTTCAGAAGTTTCCTCAGTGGAGTAATGTGGAACGCCCAGTTTCATGCTCTCAAGCCTCAAGTATTAGTAACAATCACGGAATCCAGTCGAACTAGAAGTGCCTGTCCTTTATTTGATCGTCAGTTTCTAAAAATAGCCCAAATCACGTCGAACTAGAAGTGCCTGTCCTTTATTTGATCGTCAGTTTCTAAAAATAGCCCAAATCACGTCACATTTGTTGTGGTTTTGGTTATTATCGCAACTGGATACCCGAAGAGGTAGTTCCACTACCACTCCAGGGACAACATGCTCAAGTGTCGCCGGCCCACCCTACAAACACCTGAAACTGGGACTTCTTATCTCATTCACATCTAATTCTAGGGAAAGTAACAAGTAATCAAGTTAGTGGTGATATGTGGTCACTGGTCAGTAACAGGTAATTCAAGTGTCGTCTGCTCCACACAAGGATAATTCCCACCTAATTCCCACGCCACCTAGTTGCATGTTGCTTGAAAATCGTGGCCGCGCGACTTTTAAAAACAAGAAAATATGGCATGTTTTCTATTAGAAGTGGAGAAGTAGATTAAGTCATCTGTCGCGAACTCACTTGTCATTTTGATATTGAAGTCACTGAGTAAACTTATAATGTTGAGGACTTAGTAGCTAACCCGATCAAGTTAGAAATATGATAGTGCACCATCATGTTCATCTTAATCGTCATGGTTCATTAATAAAACATTAGTTTAAAACATTTCGGTAGGTTCAGGTCTGTTCAAGGACAAACAAAATGCTCTTGAATGTTTTGCAATAAGACACTAGTTCTTTCTACCATAATCTCAACACTTATTTTACTTCGGACATTCCAACAGCCACATTGTTACACAAGTGTGTAACCAGCCAATTACAGGAAGCCGAAGGATTCAATTATACATTAGGCCAGTGACGGTTAAGGTAGTGTATCATACAGAATAAGATAATAAAATACTGTTTTATAATATATATACATGATAATTATTTTACATTCAGTTCCAGATTTAATCGTATTGGAAGATGTAAGAAGCCTTTTCTATTGTTAAGAAAAAAGTCAAAAACAAGTTCTCTCGGTCATTTTTCCGGCTGGTTGTACAAAATTATCTGATCAATGATTTTAGCCAAAATATGTCTACGTCTGATAAAGTATGATTAGTTATTATTGATTACCAAGGTAACGATCTGTGTTGTTGAATTCATCTGCACTGGAATCTGCACTAAACTCTGATCTGCATTTCTTCTTGGATTCTCTCCTGGACTACTCGGTGGGTTTTTGCCCTGGTTAGAGCTTTTTCCTTGATTCTTTCCTCCGGGGAGCGGATTCTTCACAGGATTCTTTCCTCGATTATGTCTTGAATTTTGCGAGAGATTCTTCCCTCTATTATGTGATGAATCATTTCTCCATGGCTTCGGATTCTTCCCTGATTTCTTTCCTGAATTATTCCCTGGATTTTTCCTTGAACAATTTCCTTGTCCTTTTAAGAGAACTTTAACATTAACTTTCGAATCCGACATTTCTGAGGGTGTAAAAAAGAGAAAATCATAGAAAAATAGAATTTAGAGCATATAAATTATAATATATTACTTGAAATATGACTTAAATTTGGTGTCAAAATCGAGCTTATGAGTTATGCTTGATCAAACGAAGTGTAATTTTGATCGAAAGGCATAGAAAGGCGTATGGTGATTTACATTCGTGTGGTGTAACGTTAAAAGTAAAGGGTCACTAAAGTATTGTGACATTCTAAACCAAGATTAAAAACATCAATACAGCAATACAACAAAAGGAAAACACAATTTGATAAGCGGTTATCATTTTAGAGCATAAGTACTTAGTACCCCCCTACCAAGAATGCTCAAACGTTGGTCTCATGTAAAGGTATACTATAAGATTACAAAATGGAATAGCTTTGCCAAACATCTCATACATAATAATGACAACTATGTGACAGGGAGCAGTATTAACGAGCCTTTACAACGTGATATGCTTACATAAACACCCTGCACCTGTCTATGAAGTATACTTTGGGTCACGTGACATCATCACACTGTCACATGACGTTACTCCTCGTTATTGGCTTGTTAACGCTTCACTGGAGCAGCATTTATGTTAAATTGCTCTGATATAATTAATAACTGGCTTGTTGATATAAATAAAACAATAAGATAATACAATGACATAATACTAATAATAATAAGAGAAATGCGGTATTATTTTACACATTTAACATGTGACGTCACGTGTTGACGTCACGTGAGCACAGATCAAGTTCTTGGAATAATCTTATAATTTTGTGATCAAGTCAGTAGTGCAATAAAACATACCCACTGTCCAGTGAATTGAATATGGAAATAGTTTTTACTTTTTCCATATTCAAGGATCTAAGGTCAGGTCATCCAAACTGACGGCAGCAAAAGTAAAAATATCTTCAATATTTGGATAAACTCTAAGCTAAGAAGCTACTATGATTCCTAGCAATAAAGCTCATGTTCTCATGCGACAACGCGACCCATTTCTTTAATATTTCCCCACTATTACCTGGCTTCTCATTGATTATAAGTATCATATCTTCTCCTGAAACCCCCATCTCCAACAAATCTAAAAACTGAGTTCCAAATATCTCTCTGTCTGCCCTTATAAACAGTACCACCACAGCTTTGAGACTGTCACAATCACAGGGTAACAAACTGTTAGATAGCTGTAACAGCCGCACTGCCTCCTTAACTGATTTAGTCGCACTCAGATATTCCTTTAACCATTCCAAACTGTACTTCACCAAATCCTTAACTTCGTAAATACTACCAAACTTCAAAACAACCCCAATAGTTTTAACGTTGAACTCCAAATCTCCACCGTGTAAATACCGGATACATTCCAAAACACCCTCCTCAATACCCCCCACATCCACCAACTCCTCAAACATAAGCACTCCGTCATCTTGACGGAACTTTCTCTCCAGTACAGAGCTATGTTGAGCTAACAGAGCCCCGGAACAGTAGACTTGTTTAGACCCCACACTTATTGTTACTGTGTGGGGGAAAGTTGGGTCTTTTATTAACCGTGTGAAATCTCTATCAAGATCCAGCTTCTGTGACATAACTGAAGTATGTTTGAAAAGTTGGAGCAAATTATACTGATGAATCACGTGACGTAGATAGATGTAAAAACTAATGTGTTACTCATGATACGGTTCTGAACATTTTTTTTCATATCATCAAATTTCAAGACATAAATAACGTTATTGTAATGTTCCTAATTATATTTCAAATGTTCAAACAAATAAAAAATAAGACGGTTTTACAACGTAACACGATTATATGTACTGAATAAAACTGTATAGTAATAAGGAGATTGAATGGATAAGGGCACTGAAACAATGTAAGGAACAGGAAAAATAAACTTTATTACTGTATATAGTTATATTACTGTCTTACTTTACTCTATAGGACATTACACAAGTGCATTATTATAATATTATAGACTATGTATAATATTATGATTACATCTCTAAAGCCGTATAATGAAATTTAACACAGTTAGTTGATGATAATACTAATCTGTAGTTATGATTATAAGTTATGCGTAATTTGAACTGGTGGTCAGAGATAGTAACAATCAAGATTTAGATGAAATAAACAATAGGATAATTTATTAATAATATAAATTCTACATCGTCGGTTTTATGACCATGTCGTTGTAGTTATAGTGGAAGTAAATTATGATACAGTAAAAGTTTAACTTTCTATCAGACACACGATTGGCCGATGCCACAAGCTCATTGGTCAATCCCAGTCACGTGTGTAAGCTTGTCCTCTTTTAAAAAGTATTTTATTCCCGTACTACAAGATTTACTTGTTATTCAGATTAAGGGGACGGGGAGGGGGGGGGGGTCTTCATAGCGTCTGATAGATATCAATCCCCAGTCCCCTATATCAGAAAAAACTATAAAGTCAATTTCGAGAGAATTTTGACCTTAACGTCTATGTAAGCTCTATTTTCAGGCATTTACCTCAACATGGGCACTACAACTGGCAGGTTCACTTCTCCAGAACATTCGACTGTTTCTCAAAACTGTGGAAGTTTCAGCAGGTTTCTTATCTTTTTTATTTCCTTAGTTAAATTATTGAGTGACATCTTTGGGTTATATAAGCTTATAAATAAAGTTTAGAATTTAGAAGACAGTGGAATATTGATTTGCGAATTATCTAGACGGAAGGCGAACAATACTCAGCTTCATTTATTTTTTGTTAATATTGACAGCACACTTAAGTTACAAACTTTAAGAATAAACTTACAAAACATTCCTTACATTCCTTACATTCCTTACCCCCCAAATATTTGAAAACCCTGATTTCCACAGGACCACCGGAGCGTGCTGGACACAAAGTATGGACTACAACGCTGGCAGATAGGCGAGATAGCCTCACGGATAGGACAACTTTACTATCATTATTAGTGAGTTACTTTATTGTTTAATGCTATGATAGTGTGGTGACGTCACGTGACAGTGTGGTGACGTCACGTGACAGTAAAATGATGTCACGTGACAGTAAAATAGTCACGTGACAGCAGATAGTCGCGATGCCCACGGATAGGACAACTTACATCTACTAGTGAGTACTTATATCACGTGACAGTAAAATAAGTCACGTGACAGTAAAATGACGTCACGTGACAGTAACATGATGTCACGTGACAGTAAAATAAGTCACGTGACAGTAACATGATGTCACGTGACAGTAAAATAAGTCACGTGACAGTAAAATGATGTCACGTGACAGTAAAATAAGTCACGTGACAGTGTGACGACATAATGTGACAGTTAATGATTACTTCATATTTTCAGTTTGCGTACCAGTGATACTAACTACCTGCACGAAGCACTGATATTCTACCTGGCTATTCGACAAAGAGACTATTACAGCAAATTCGACAGTGAACAGTAAGAGTCTACCATTTATTTTAATAGCTAAATTATTTAATTATTTAATTGCTTAGTTATCTAATAAATTTTAATTGATTGTTTGTTTCTTCTTTGAAAGTTATATACCTACAGACAAATCCGTCTGAAAATCAATTTACCGACACAACCAGCTTACAAAGGATTTTTGAGTTCCACTAGAGCACTAGGTGTCTTTTATGGCTGACCAAATTTTCCGAACTTGTCCAAACTTGTCCACGTCTCTGAAAGGCCACTTTTTGCCATTACTTTACTAGTACCACCTTTCTCGTTTATTTAATATTGTTAGTTATGAAAATGGTAGTTATCTTATCAACGAGAAAACCTTTTGTTCCTAACATTTGTACGTCAGATTATCAGTTGATTGGATAATGGATAATTATCTAATTAGCTAATTAGCTAATTACCAAAAATTGGTATAGAGCTTTGATTGCGAAAGCTTGCAGTTGAGGCATCCAAAATTAGACCATCATGAGATTGGATCATCAGTATTTACATAAAACCCAAACTGCTAACGCCAATGCTGTTAAATACGTAGCGTTTCAAGCAAACGTATGCATACGCAAACGTATTTGTCGCCGAAAATTCGCGTATTTCGATTTCCACTGTGGAGTAAGAACGATTTTTAACAATAAATATTTTACAATATTTGATCTGCGCGTATTTCGGACAAATTTTAGACGTATTCCGGACAAAATTTAACAGGGTCTAAATTCAATTTTTTTCGGGCTTATTGATTGGAAACTTCACGTATTCTTACGTATTTCTCTCGAACATTGAATACGCCGTATTTTGAGCCGATTTTTTGACGTATTTAACAACAATGGCTAACGTTACATTGCCTGTTTCCCTCCCCCTCAGTGATTACGTTATATGTGAACGACCCCTATTCGGGGTGAACACAGCACACAGCAGAATACATGGGTAAGTGCAGTTCATCCCAGTGGTCACTAACCATTTGACAGTATCATTCATTTGATTCCTATTTCTATAGGTAAAATCAGCAACATGAATTGTAAACATGTAATATTTGTGATACAATAATTCAACAATCTCGCTCGAGTACTGTTTTGTGCCAATTTCTGGTACTTTTATTTCTGTCTTATTAGAATAACGTCAAATAAGTCAAGATTTCTTAGAAAATCTTTAAAAATATGAGTTTGGAAAAGTTGGTTATACATAGAGGACAACTAATGGGACCCAAAAATGTCAAAAATACTTTGTAAGCTGGTTGTGTCGGTAAATCGATTTTTTAAGACGAATTAGTCTGCACTAACTACTTATTAATCTAAATTTAAAAAATTTAATCTGATTGCTCCAAAGATTATTCTACTGTGGTTTAAAACCAATGTACCGTGAACACTCTGTAGTTACTAATGCGGACTAATGTAGAATGTAGATACAAATGTGGTTACCAATGTAGTTACCAATGTAATTACTAATACCCTCTTCAGAATCATGGTAAAGAAGCTGCGTTACTATGCTAGGTTCCTCGTTGTTTCTATCATGGTAAACAAGATGGATCTTGTTCTGGAACTAAAAACGGTCAGTTTACAAAAAAATTATCCTATTATTTAATTAGGTAATTAGTTAATTAGGTAATTACCACATAGCTAACGAGACCAACTTGGTTCCAACTCTCAAGACGGCCACTGAGCCAAATAGCAGTGAAGAGAATCAAGTCAAATTATAGAAAAAGTTATAAAAACCTAAAATTAACATAATCTAAACCTAACTTTAGAATTCTTCATTCAGCGTTAATTAATTTCTTGGCACACCTAATTATGCTATTAGTTAATTAGTTAATTGACACACATCTTCAGGAGCTAGCTGTACTGATTGACGAGCTGTCAGGAGCTCACATACCAACTGAGGTGGACGAATGGAAGGGTATCCTGAACGAAGTGACAGCTTTCAGAAGCGCTCTCTGTCATCTTACTGTATCACGGGTTTGTACTTCGTCTCTTTTCTTATCTTTTCTTCTTTTTTCTTCTTTTTTCCTACATTTTGTGATTATTTTGAAGCAATTTTTCTATATTATATATTATATTTATATGTCATATAATTTTTGGAGTAAACATTGGCTAGTAAGCAAAGCTGATCCCCAATCAATCGCCACATTTTGTGTCAAACATGGTGCGGTTCAAGCTCAGGACCAGTTTCACAACATTGTGTAATTTAGAAATTGTAATTTGTAGTACAGCAATAGTAATTTGAATTAATAAAAATATTAAAGAATAATCATGGAATAAGCTTAACGATGCTGGTCATATTTCTGCTGCTCGAAAAGATTTTAAAAATGTAATAAAATTTATATTGATTTATGAATATGATATATTTCAATAATTGGGTAATTCTCATCAATTGTTTACACTGACTCTAGCATATTTGGAACGTATTCTACATATGCTATTGTCGGATCCGTCCTCAGGATAATGAAAAAAGGATTATGAATAATTCAAGAAAGGTTTGAAATCGTCAATGTCTTCAATAACTCGAATCAAATTATTTTTTATCTAGCGCCTTAATTTAATTAATAATAATTGGCCATACCAATTTAATACAGTAAACAATAAACATCTGATGTCATAACAGATTACAATACGCAACACTAAACATCACTAGGTTAATCAAGAATAAAGAGGCTTTTTGCAGAAACATAAAATGGATAATTTTAAAATATTATACCTGATCAGTGATCAAACAGTAAAAAAGATTAATCGCGAATAATCACCTAAACTGTTTGATTCTGTACCAAATCAATTAACCCAATTAACAGACCATTTAATCTTGTAAAGCGATCAAGTAATCAATCACTTACCCTAATGAGTAATTACCCGCACAATTACATACCAATTAATTAAACTAATTAAACTAATTAAACTATTAATTTAACAGGCGGATACCTCCGGAGTGATACTATCTCACCGGTTGATCTCAGAGAACATGGTATTACCTGAGATAACACTCTCACCCAACCCTCTTAAACTGCAGCACGCTCTTATCGTCGGGACTAAGATAGGTAAGAGAGCTTTAGTATCTGTCGTGTGCCGTCATCACACTGTCACGTGGCGTCATCACACTGTCACGTGACGTCATCACACTGTCACGTGACGTCATCACACTGTCACGTGGTGTCATAACAATTTTTAATAACAATATTTTAACTTTTGTAGTGTAATTTAGTGTAATTTTCTAAATTTTTCCTCCAATGACGGGCCCATGTGGTTTTAAAGTGTTAAATCTATCCAGGACAACCAAAGGTAACAGAACTATCCCTTGATATGTACAGAATGGGATCAATACTAGAGAAGAACCCTAAATGTCTGTCTCCCCTCAAAAACCCCATAAAGCAGGTAAATTTAATCTTTTTATGTGTTCATGTAGTAACCGTTATGTATATTATATATTCATAGTTAGTAGTTATATATAAATAAGAAATTAATGCTATTAATACAGACAGTTGTTTACCAAGACGGTGCATAAATGAAATGTTCTCTTTACGAAAGTACCCACTGGAATGTACCAAGTTAATGGAATATAAGGTAAGAATGTTTGCCCTGAGTATTAAATTTCACTCCTAATCAGTATTTGTACAAGCCGTCTGCAAGTGAACTGATGTGCAGTTTATCAGAAATGGGGAGTATTCTTCAGAAGCAGAGTGTACAGCTCATCTACTTATCAGGTAACTTACAATTAAAACAACGAGTTAACAAACTAAAACTTTCATGCTATTATTTATTATTACTAATGCAATTGTCGGTGCTTCAGAACTGCTAAGAAAAGCTTATTTGTTTTGTCAAACTCTCTTTCCAGAACATTATTTTCCGTGTATAAAAGTGAAAACGTACTTTATTTGCAAAGAAAATATGGTATTCTATTTACCATATAATTTCGAAAAAGTCATAAAACGACTGCCCCCACACTCTCTCACGTGACGTCACACTTTCCCTTACGTGACGTCATCACACTGTTGCCAGGTAACAATTTAGCGTACACGGACAGAGGAGGTGGTCAGGACGCGTACACTAGTGACGGCGGAATGCACTTCTCTCACAAGAACACTGTCGACCTCAAGACCTCCAGGTAAAACACGTGAACACGTGGTTAACACGTGGTAAAATAGTGAACACGTGGTTAACACGTGATCAAATAGTGAACACGTGGTTAACACGTGATCAAATAGTGAACACGTGGTTAACACGTGGTAAAATAGTGAACACGTGGTTAACACGTGATAAAATAGTGAACACGTGGTTAACACGTGGTAAAATAGTGAACACGTGGTTAACACGTGGTAAAATAGTAAACACGTGGTTAACACGTGATAAAATAGTGAACACGTGGTTAACACGTGGTAAAATAGTGAACACGTGGTATAATAGTGATCACGTGGTTAACACGTGGTAAAATAGTGAACACGTGGTTAACACGTGATAAAATAGTGAACACGTGGTTAACACGTGGTAAAATAGTGAACACGTGGTTAACACGTGGTATAATAGTGAACACGTGGCTAACACATGGTAAAATAGTGAACACGTGGTTAACACGTGGTAAAATAGTGAACACGTGGTTAACACGTGGTAAAATAGTGAACACGTGGTTAACACGTGGTAAAATAGTGCAGTTAATGAAGTTTGATCATGATATAATTTCTGCGATGAAAAGCATTTCTGCCTGTGAAAAGTTGTCTTGCATCTCCTGTTATATCACCTCGAGCTTGCTAACTTAATGTGAAATAATGATTATAAATTTCTGAATTATTTATTTTTACAGTCGGTATTCGCCGGATTTGCTACACGCTGAAGATATCAACCCATTCCTAAGATACCCAACTCTTCTGATCGTGGAGGGAGAAGATAAGTGAGTTTATCAATTAGTTTCCTATTTACTATCAATAATTATCATAGTTTAAAGAGAGTTTAGATTATGTAGTATTTATAATATGTATGATACTACATAGTATGCAATAAAGAAGATTAAATAAAATAAACAGTCTGCGTATTCTGCATAGTTTGAATTGTTTCAACTAGTCTGTTGTCTAGTTTCAATAAACTGATAACTTGCAATTTAATACGTAATTAGTTAGTCAACTCAAAATCTGGTTTTGAGAAAAATTCGGGAATAACTTGAACTTTTACCTTAAATACATAACATTCCAAACTAAATATCTAACATTCCAAACTAAATATCTAACATTCCAAACTAAGTATTTGTGTTCAGGTCGTTCTTCAACAGTACTTCAGCAGTGTTCAGGCAGCCTGTAGTGGTGCTGCTCAGTCCTAAACTAATACCCCATACTTTAAAAGGTAATTAGCTTTTTTTGGCGTAGATTATCAAAACATAAAATATCCTTACCTCAGCATACTGACTTCATTTATAACTGATTAATTAATGAACTGATGAATTACTAATGAACTAATTAATTACTCCGATCAGGTGATAAGATAGGCTCTCTGATGACCCTGTTTCTGCACTGTCCTATGATGGCAATGACACTACTCTGTAATATAGACCAAATATCAGATACGCAGTGGAGAAAGGGTTTGGCTATAATCAAGGGATTGCTTGCGGAGATACTTACTATTATAAGTAGCAGCAAGAATATACGTGAGTATTTAAAAAACTTACTGTTTATAAAAGTAACATAAATAAAAGTTAGTAAGCTTTATTGTTCACTTTAAGTGTCACTTTATCGTTCAAATTAATTAAGCGGCGGTCTAAAATCGGCAGTTGTTACCCATGGCGATGCATGGTTTTGCTTACGTTGTTGCTTTTAAATTGGAACCCATTTGTTCCTTTTAGATAACCTGATGAAAATGATAACCTTTTAAATTTAAGGTAGTGAGTTTCATGTATTATTGATCAGAGTCCAGTTATAAGTTGCAGAAATAGAAATCACCTTGTAATGTTAGTTCTGATTTCTGAATCGTTTGGTCTGTCCTTCAACTTTAGATTAGCCATTATCAGCTCAAATAAGTTTAATTTAATATGGAAATGAAGCTCTCGAAGCATGATACGCAATGTAACACGATGTCATGAAACTTGATGGTGGTAGACAAGGTGGTATCTACAAAACTCGTGGTCTAACGTATCAGCGTATCATGTTCCACTTAAGACTATCATCACAGAGTAAAAATAATAATAACGCATGCTTGTCAATGTGGACCGGACGGATACGTTGAGCGCATGGACATTTACTATATTAAAGCAAATGCAGGTGGAATATAATCATTTAACTCCGCATGTGTGCGCGGCGTCCCCGCCATTATCTGGCATATGACAGTATACCTTACCATTTTTATCTGATTTTATTGCTGAATTAGGTGCACGTATACGTTTATCAGATGCATATATCTGCAAAATTATCGCATGCAACAGGATGTTCACCAATATGGTTTATAAAAATATAAAAATGCCCCCAAAATTGCATATGAATGTCCGTGAGGATTGGCTAGAGGCTTCCACCTATGTAACGACCCTCGGGTCTGACAACCGCCCAACGTCTGAGACACTAATTAATTAATTTTTTGCACACACATTCTATTTTTTCAGGACCGTTTACACTGAATATAGATTTCGTTTTCTTATTGAAGAATTTCGAGTTTTTGGCGATATTATTATTCAACCGGAAGTGGAAGATTGGTGGTTCGATTCCAGGTGTAACCCACATTAATTTAAACACTGAACTATAAATTGGATGATATCAAATTGGAAATCAGCCGATGATTTAATGGGCAATACTTATCGTATTGTAATTACGAGAACTAGTTCTCAGTTAACTGATCCACAATCCAGTAAAGTCAGTAAATCTATATCTTTTTTTTTCAGATTCCCACATTATTCAACTATTAGACGACCCATTTATTCGACTGATCCTGCTCAGATTCTGTCTATTCACTGCTGTCCTTCAGATGCACACAGCTTTCAAGGTACAACTATTTTACACTAAAATAAATATTAACTTTTTTTAAAAAAGAAGATAAATATTAATAACGAGTGAGTCATAACACATAAGAGCATCTAATTCTAAATAAATTATCACGTAAATAGCCTATATAAATAGGACAGATAACCTATTATAACCCATTCTAATTATAAACCCCTTCTTTCCGTAGACAGAGGAATACTACCCGACCTCGCTACCGAGCCTCAAATTCGCGGAGATCTGCTCAAAACCCGTCGTGAAGCGAGGAATTAACGACATAGCTAACATTTTGGAAAGTGTAGTGCTTTTCTCTGCACCATGAAGTGACGTCATCTTGCAGCATTGTGACGTCATCAGAAGTAACTTGTGACGTCATTTTGTATTTACTGGCTTCAGAGCACGACGACCCACAGACAAACAGTTCAGAATGAGAACGATTATAGACTAAATTAAAATAGGTTTTTGACTACTTCTTGTAGTTGTATTATAATGAGCTGAAATTTCCCCAGTGTGCTTATTTCTTTTTGGTCCCCTGCCTTAGCTGGCATGTAAACAGGGATTGCCATGAAGACAGGGTCCTGTTGGGGGCTTCTAATTATCAAATTGTACTAATATTAATAATTATAATTATAATTAGATTTAGTGATCAATTTTTCTGCCAGAGACTAAAGATTTGACTGTTGAAAATTGTGTATTGAATCTAAATTAACTAGTTTACGCCTATCATGCGGAGATGAAATGATAAAAGTTGGCCATAAGAAATGGTAAATTGATGATAGGCTTAATTATATCATGAAACAATAATTCTAACCAGCGTTTTCAATTTGCAGGCAGCTTTTCAGGGAATATTAAACCTAATTAGGATTAAGATTTGATGTTAATGTATTTTGCGAATATTTGTTACTTGATTATTTTCTATCTGTATAAAAACGAAATAGGCAGTATTGGATTGTTAAAATGTATTAGGTAGTCACCAATACATTTTTAGTGTACAGCGTTGAACCCATGAAATAAACAATACTGCGTTGTTTTAATCGGTGATTTGAGACCATTGAATGTGTCCTATATAGTTTATATTATGTATCTAATCTTTGTATTTTATGTGATATGTAAATAATGTAAATGTGAAATGTATAATTTGGTGATTTATCCATTAGAAAGAGTAATGTGCTCTACATTCAGTGATTCAATACTTTTTCTTCTATTCATTTGCAATTTGATGTTTTATTTTTACAAAAACTATATGCTCCAGGATAATTTGTACCAGGATAATGAAAAACATTTACCTGAAGGAAGCGTTTTGAGAAAAGTAAAATAGCATTTAAATTGATTGAAAATGAAATAAGGTCCACCATAAATCAGTACATAACCAGAGTTGTCACCATAGATTAAAATGACAGAAAGAAACAAACTGTACTTATTTGATATAATTTCACCATCTTAAACACTACTCAAAAACAATACTATATTCCAAGATAAAAATATAAAGAGTATAAAAATCGATCCACATGTATTTACAAGTCGATTAGTCAGTTACAGTTACATCTCAAAGGTCGACAGTCAAATTGACGAAATACATACAATAATATATCAAACATAAAAACAATGAGATCTGTTAAATCGTAAATTCTAACCCAATCTCATCTACACATCTTATTATAACACAGTTACACAGATTAGTAATAATCAAGCTGCACCATCAATAGAGCATTTGTTCATTATTATGTCTCAAAGTCCACTGTCGTTCATGTCCAAGTTTGATAAAGCTCTAATGTCTCGTGTTTCACTGTTTCCAGGTAAGTGGGTATCGTTGCTATGGAAACCGCTGCTAGTGCTGCTGGTTGACGTTGAAACGTGGTTGGTACTCAAGGACCTGTTTCGTAGCAAACTCCTGAAAAAATTAGTTAAATAATTGTAACAAATGTAAGTAAGAATGTTAAGCACGTGAAGAAACACGCGAGATTTTGTAAGCAGACACCGGACAAGAGCCTGGAAGAGGATGCCGTAGGCATTATCGGTCAGGAAGGAGGTAACACGGAGACGGAACCCAGCCAGGATACAAACCACAGTGCAAAATGGAGGACGTCTACGTCTGCAAACTTTAGATCTCACGCAGATCCACCAGAACCGGTAGTTATTAAAACTCGATTAAAACTACCTAAGGCCAATGATATTAGGTGGGACAAGATTGATCAAGACCTCGGTCTAATTGGTCTCCAGTTCACTACACACAGCGACCCTAGTAAGGGTTTGGAGTTACTTGAGAACACCACCTATGATTACCTCGAGTTGATATGCGAAGTTGGTTCAACAAATATTATACCATCGAAGAAAAAACCGAGACTTGATGCTGAGTGCAGACATGGTTGAGGGAAATGAAGAAAGAGAGTAGAAAGGAATGGAAGAGAGTATGCGACTCGAATGATGATGAACAGGTTAAAAGACAGAAGATTTCTTACCTGAAACTAGTACGACTTCATAACAAAGCAAGAAAGACCGCCCAGAAGAAAGAAAGGAAAAAGATGAAAGAGAATAGCTCCAAACTCTTTAGAAAAAACCCTTCTGAGTATGGTAAGAAACTGCTCACGAAGGAAGAGACTAAAGATAAAGAGCCTGAGTTCGACAGTGAAGAAGCATCTAAGTTCTTTGAAAAGGAGTACAAAGATGATGACCGAGAGCGTGAATATGTAAACCCCACAGGACTGAAAGACCTTGACAAACCTGATTGGATCTGCAGTACAGCGCCACCCACATGGGATGAATTCCACCTAAAGCTTAAGTCAAGGAGAAATAAGTCAGCACCTGGGTCAAATGGTGTCAACTACCTGATCTACAAGAAGTGTCGAACTTTCAGTCACCATCTACACCATCTGATATGCAGGATTTGGAAAACAGGAGTTGTCCCCCCACAGTGGAAGGTGGGAGTGAGTACATTAATTCCTAAAACGGATGATCTAAAAGATCCTGGCAAGTTCCGTAACATCACACTCCAAAACTGTAGTGGGAAGCTGTTCTTTGCCATCTGGGGAGACCGTGTACTTGAGCACATGACACGAAATCTGTTCATTGACACCTCAGTGCAGAAAGGTTTCATGAAGAAAACCCCTGGTTGCCTAGAACACACTCAAGCCCTCCTTGAAGAGATTAAAGATGCTAAAAGCCACAGAAGACAAGTCCACGTGATCTGGATTGACCTTATGAATGCGTATGGGAGAGTCCCGCACAGCCTTATTATTTATGCCCTACGCCGGTACCACCTACCTGAAAGCTTCATTAAGCTTATAATTGAGTATTATGGAAGCCTCAGTGTCCTAGTTAAGTGCAGGAAATGGACATCCAGAACATTCTGGTATGAGCTAGGCCTGTTCCAGGGAGACCCACTGTCCGTGATCCTGTTCCTTATAGTATTCAACATCCTACTGGAACTTCTAGCTGTACTGTGCAGTCAAGTTGGGTACGAGCCAAGCTTCAGTGATAGCAAGACCTCAAAGAAAGCATTTGCTGATGACCTAACCCTGCTGTCGAAGAGCGAGAAGGAGATGAAGAAGATGTTGAAGGTAGTAGAAGAGTTCCTGGACTGGTCGAAGAAAATGAAGGCTAAACCATCGAAGTGCCTGTCTATGTCTATGAAGTGTACTGGAGGAAAGTACAATACCTATGATGCAGAGTTTGTACTAAGCGAACAACAGGTGCCGTCCATTATCCAAGCACCAATGAAGTTCCTAGGAATGTACATGTATGTAGATCTTGAGGTGAAGGAAATTCGGTCCATGATTAAGAAGAAGTTAGAGGACCTTTTGGAAACAACATCTAATGATGAAATCACTGGTCCAATGAAGGCGTGGGTGTATAACCACCTCATCATTAGTAAGATGTCATGGGGGTTTACTGTTTATAACCTACCCATCACATTTGTGAGAGAGCTTGAGGCACTGTGTAACAGATACCTTAAGAAGTGGCTAGGGATTGCGCATCCTTGTACCACCACCGTCCTCTACAGGAGTAGAGACCAGAAAGGATTGCAGCTGAAAAACATCTGCACTGAGTACAAAGTCATCCAACTTATTAAGGGACACCAACTTTGTAACTCAAGTGACCCCTACATCAAAAAAGTGTACTCTAACCATAAGGCTATTGCAGACACACAGAAGATGTGGTCTTATCCCAAAGAGCTGAAAGACCGTCAGCGCCAACTTTACTTCCAAGAGTTAGTTGGAAAACCTGCAGTTGGTACAACTGGCCTCGGGTATGGGACAAGATATGAGGACACATCAGAGAGGAAACTGCTAACCAACATGGTGAGGACCTTTGATGAAGAGACACTTATTTGTTCACTTTTTGACAAAAAGCGGCAAAACCTCTTTCTCACATGGGAAAATACAATGACATTTGACACCACGTGGAATAACCTGATCTATCAACTTAGTCCGGAACTGTTAAAGTTTCATGTCAATGCCATCCATGACACTGCGTCAACACCTAGCAACCTAAAGCTTTGGAATAAAGCCGTTTCAGGAAACTGTAAACTCTGCAGCAAACAAGGGACACTCAATCATATCCTCACGTTCTGCAAGGTTGCACTGAGACAGGGACGTTTCAACTGGCGCCATGATCAGGTCCTACGTGAAATCATGAAGACTGTTTCATCACAGATTGAAGAGTTTAATTCCGACATCGCCAAGGAATCGAAGAGGGCACCGTCGGTCTTTCACAAGGCAGGCAATAAGCGCGAGAAGGTTACCTTAGCTGACCCAACTCATCATAAGACCAAAAGATATTTCTTTTCAGATGCCAACGACTGGAAGATAATATTTGATGAGGATGAGAGACAGAGGAACTTCCCGCAGCACATTGCAGCTACACCACTAAGACCTGATGTAGTGATCTATTCAGATAAAGCAAAGAAGGTTTATCTAATGGAGCTGACTTGTGGAAATGAGCAGAACTTTGCTGATCAAGAGAAGCGAAAGATGAAGAGATATCAGCAGCTGACAGAAGAGATAGAAGCCAACGGATGGGCTTGCAAGCTCCAGACAGTAGAAGTGGGAGCTCGAGGCATTTACAACTATAGCCTCCCAACCTTTATGAACCACCTGAACGTAAACAACAAAGAGAAGAAGAAGGCCTGCATGAAGATCGCTGAGATCAGCCTGAGGGCATCGTATACCATCTATTTGTCCAGAAACAATACCATATGGACAGATGATTGGGAGTTAGTCAAGAGACCAGTAATAGCATAGTAGGAGCGTAGAATGTTTGGGCCCAGAAAAACATGTTTAATACCGCTATGAACCCGTCATAAGCCGGGGACTACTATGAAAATGATGATGCTGTGTTGTTGAAAGACCTTCGACCAATCAAAGATGTACCTCATCACGCCAAGCAGTTATGCTTGTAGGTGAATATACACTTATAGAGTACAACAACTTTATAACACTCCTCAAATAAGTTGACTGAGACCTGTCAAGGATTTTAGATAACATTCTACCAACAGCTGGAAACCCTCATTTTCTATTGATATTACTAAAATTAAAAAAATATTCTAAGTGCTAAATATTCTAAATATTCTAAATATTCTAAGTACTTAGTCTTACCCTCGTTTTTTCTTGTGAGCAGCGTTTTCACTGAGTGACCGGTATATTCGCTCCTTCACTGTCTCTTCTACTGTTGCAAAATCACATGGTACCTGTCATATGAATATTGGTTAGCAAAAAGTTTCCAATTTAAATCTATATAAGGGGTCGTTCACATATTACGTAATCACTTTTTGGACAATTTTTAACCCCCTCAGCTGATTACGTAATATGTGAACTCGACCCCTAATTATTAAACAAAAGTGGAACAGGCTAATTCTTGCGGCTGTATTTGCAGAGTTGTATAGGGTTAACTTCTGCCTGCTCTGCAATTAGGTACTACAAACCTGTCAAACTAATTAAGTTATTAGGTACTATAACAAACCTGTTCAACTAGACTTTTAACAGAGTCTACAGCATCACAAGCTATCTTCACCACGTCCTGTCCATATCCATACTTGTTTGTCTCCCTAGAGGGGGAGTCACGTGTTATGGAAATAACCAAACTAGCCAATCACTAGTCGTCTGTTGGACATTATGGACAATCGATCACTGGTTAACTGTTGGACATTATGGACAATCGATCACTGGTTAACTGTTGGACATTATGGACAATCGATCACTGGTTAACTGTTGGACATTATGGACAATCGATCACTAATCGTCTGTTGGACATTATGGACAATCGATCACTGGTTAACTGTTGGACATTATGGACAATCGATCACTAATCGTCTGTTGGACATTATGGACAATCGATCACTGGTTAACTGTTGGACATTATGGACAATCGATCACTAATCGTCTGTTGGACATTATGGACAATCGATCACTGGTCAACTGTTGGACATTATGGACAATCGATCAATGGTCAACTGTTGGACATTATGGACAATCGATCAATGGTCAACTGTTGGACATTATGGACAATCGATCAATGGTCAACTGTTGGACCAATCATGAACCAGATAATTCAATTAAGTACAAATTTGAAGCGGTGTTATTACCAGAAACGAGCGTTTAAATTCCATAAAACAAAACATTTAAACCCGTAAAACACAAACCTCTTGAATTTGAGGGACTCCATGGTCCGTTTGAGTTGCTGTAGCGAGGCTGCTGACTCAGGGCAGTTTATTATCAGTTCAGTAAGTCTCGCTTGTAGCTGGGCTATCACCTTGCTCCGTTCTAACACTTGTATTTGTAGCTCACACAACTGAGATGAAGGAACTGTTATTTGTTATTTAAGAAATAATGAAACGACCAAATATTTGTTATTTTATCACATTGACCCAATACAACTGTTAATCTACGCAGAGTTTGTGAATCTTTAATCTTCGTTTATCTTAAGAATGTGCGCCGCGCGTTGACAGTTGAGGAAATTAAATATCGGAGGGGGTCAGTGATTACCACCACCCCCTCACTTTATTTTGTAAAAAAGTGATACAAAACAATCTGGTAATCACCCATGATGTTGCAGCTGGCAGCAAAGATCACTAATATTCACTATTAACTACATATTTGGCATTACATATAATTATATTTAAATCGGGAAATGACCCAGAAAACCTCATATCACGAATATCAGCTCAGCAATTAATTGTGCTTTTTTTTCCTTACGTGGTAGTCACCCTGTGATCGTCTCAAATATTTCTTTATGTCAAACCCCATCTCTCAGTTTCACTTTCACTCAATCACTTTCACTTTCGATTTGCCTACAGTATTGTGTGTCGTTGTGATTTGTGTCAAACGTGCTACAATTAAGTAGTCCCATTACCCTAGTATTGCTGTACAATTTCTACATAATTAAGGAAATAGTTAACATTAATAATGTTGATGGAGATGATACAAGAGTATTTATCCTCTTATATATTCTCTAAAATACCTCACATGATAATTATAATAAAAACTGCTCAAAAATAGTTTGCGAAATCTACAAGATATTAAAGTATCAAGACAATTAAAATGTCACAGTAAATAGAAATAACTGGCAAGTATAGTTATGCGAAATAGCTTTTATGTTTGAAGCCAGTTTTATAGCAAGTTAATCAAAATTCATGCATGTCTTAATTATATCAATATTTTATATTTTCATAATTTTATATAATGGGAATTTTTGATCTACCCAGAAATTGCACGAAGTTTCTAACAGATTGATTTTGTTGGATTTTTTGGGATCCATATGTTGCAAGTATACTACATAGTATCTAATTTTAAACAGAATATAAACAGAATATAAACAGAATACAGAATACAAAATATCGGTATAATTCCACTTGGTAGACAAAACGAAAATGTAATAGTACTGACGCAACACTTGTAGCCGTAATAGCTTCTGCTGATTAGATACTCAAAATAAACTTTCAAAAATTTCTTCCACTCCACAATAACACACATGTCTGTTAAGAAATAAAGCTATTTTCTATCGCGGTAAGATTAAAACAGTTCCAAAGTATAAAAGAGAGCAGAGTTGAGTCTGTACGAGTAGTACCAGTTACAGGGAAAATACTCCCGCCAATCAGAACGCAGGAAACGTAGCACGTGATTCCAACTAGCCAATCGAAAACGTCGACAAATGAAAGTTGTGGGTTGTAATTGATTGAGTTGCTTATACTGGTGCTAGAATATCTGCATAGTAAAACACCCAACTATAATGTATAGAAACTCTTCAAATTTACGATTCGATTCCAGCTGTCTCATCAGTTTTTGAAAAGAAAAGAAGAAACTTATTCATCCAACATGAGGTTCAGAATCCAGATAACAGTTGATAGTTTAAACAACGAACTAACCAAACCTAAATGAACGCTTCAAGTGTCATACAGTGTAAGTAAACTGTAATTATATTACCATGTAACTTGTAACTGTAAGCTTGCCGAACAATACAGGAAATGAACTTGAGAGCTTAACGTGTCGGAACGCTAATTACGAGCATATTACGCTAATTACGCTAATTATGAGCACATAATTATCGTCTCAATATCATAGTTTAGCGAACATCGTGTTATGTTGTGTTTAGATCTGATTGAAATTCACGATTTTGGAAAGTAGTTTTATTTTTAAGATCGATGTGCTAAGATCGAGGTGCTACAGTTGAGGTGCATAAATTATGTGATGAAACACTTTGTGGCTTGATTAGATAATTTTCCCAGCAAATTTCAGAGGAAACAGTGAAGCATAACACTGCTATGCTTTGCGCTTTTACTGGAAACGTGAGTTGGTTTTAATGAATATCTAAAAAGTGAATCGGTTATTTTTTTCAGCGGCCAGGTAGCGCAGTTGGTTAGAACGCCTGTCTTACAATCGTTAGGTTGCGAGTTCGAAACCCACTGACTGCCTGGTCGCGGGGTGAGCGTCGTCGACACTCGACGTTCAGCTAAGGATCATGAGTGGTCTATGCAGCCCCCCGGTCTACTCAGCCGAATACTCGAGAAATCGGGTGTGAGGGTTAAATGAGGAGCTGCAATTTGCAGCAAAGTCTCGGACGAAGAAAGTATGGTACACACTACCTTAACCGTCACTGGCCAAAAAGATCCTTCGGCTTCCTGTAATTGGCTGGTTGCACTTGTGTAACATTGTGGCTGTTGGAATACACCGAAGTAAAATAAGTGTCTAGATAAAAAAATTTACAAAAAGGTTAGCGATGGGGATTAACAACTAAAAAGAACAATAATATCACATATTTTCAGAGTTATAGTTATACGTACACCGAACACTGAACAGTACATCACTTCAACAGAGAGAGTATAGAATTAGGTGAGGGCAATTAAAGTGGGGTAGTAACTGAAGTGTACCTTAGAGCGAGCTGTATAAAGGGGACCAGGAAATAAGGGACCCAGCTAATTGTAGTGGGCTACCACGTGACACAAACCAACCAATCAGTGCAGAGTATCAGGAGCACGTGACACAAACCAACCAATCAGTGCAGAGTATCAGAAGCACGTGCCACAAACCAACCAATCAGTGCAGAGTATCAGAAGCACGTGCCACAAACCAACCAATCAGTGCAGAGTATCAGAAGCACGTGACACAAACCAACCAAGCAGTGCAGAGTATCAGGAGCACGTGCCACAAACCAACCAATCAGTGCGGAGTATCAGGAGCAATGAGCATGCACCATATATCTTAATCTCAAGCTATTATTCCAATTCTTCCCAATTTAATTGAAAATAAATACTGAAGAAAATAAACTGGCCAAGTGAGAGTAGGTCCCGAACTATAAAAGAGAACAATTTAACTGCTTAAAGATAATAAATTCTATAATCTACGTTGATAAAGTGCTGATTCTCTTTATATGCTATGCTGTAATTGAACAGTAGCCTACAGATAAGATGCAAACCTTTCTCGGTGACACAAAATACGAAACAAATAATGGTGCCAGGAAAAGTGGAAATGTTTAGGATTAAATATTGCAGAGGGGTCGGGCCACACATTCAATGATGAACAGTCAGTGGCGTAATACGTTGCCGAAAAAAGCGCCCCCTGTTGGCGCCCCCTCCCCTTTTGGCGCCCCTCCCTAAAATTGGACAAATTAGGTGATTTTAGAGGATACGCCGGTAAAATCTTTAAAAAAGTGTGTTTCTAGAGCACGGCGGGGTCAGCGGGGCCCTTCGTTACGCCACTGGATCAGGATGAACTCCAAAGTTAAACCTTAATTAATGAAGAAGAAGAAGCTTAACAAGGACTATACAGTTTGGCCCAACGTTAAAATAAACGACTTCAAATTAACGAAACGATCACAACGGATCACGATGGTATTAAGTTTCAAAATTACATCGTCTACATGGTTTACAATATGATACGGTGCTCAAACGACGTGGGGTAGCCTCCAACTCCCTCAATCATTGTTTTGTAATTCAAGAGAGGAATCTAGGACAATACATGTAATAAAGAGCGGTAAACGTACGATCAACAACAATTATACTGGTTTAGGGTATCAACTAACAGGTAAGCGACTAAAAAATGTACGTTGCGAACTAATAATCTTTAATTAATGATACTAATAATCTTTAATTTAAGGATGCGAAAAATTACAGAAAACACTTAAAAAACGCGCACAGTATTACTGCTTTCTACTGTTTCCTAGTTTATTAACATAGTCCAGTGTCCACATGATGTTATTGTCAGTAAGAATACTGGGATTCAAACATCTCCGACTAGCTGTTTAAACCACGTGACCAAAATACAGGTGTCTGATTGGCTGTTCAAACAAAAGTGTTGTCCTGGACAAGAGAAAACGAGAAAGGAGAAACAAAAGAAAAGACTAATAAAATTAATTTAGATACAAAGCAACACTCTATCACATGTATCACCGAGTGACGATTGTTACACTACGCTAGACTTAGTCAGGGAGATGATATCTGGATATCACAAATATTCTGGTATTTCTGGGGTATTAGCCAGGGAAGTGTCGTCATGTAATAAAACCCATCCAATTAGAGTCATGTACTAGTATTGACAAACTAACCAACCAGAGAGCTGTATTCAATCCAAACTAACCAACCAGAGAGCTGTATTCAATCAAAACTAACCAATCAGAGAGCTGTATTCAATCCAAACTAAACAATCAGACAATAGTAATTTTCAAACTAACCACGATTTACGAACCCAACAGGACGCATCACAAAGGTAAAGTACGTCAAAGTGCTGACATATGTCACAAGGATACGGCACAGTGTTTAACCCATGTGTTTCAGATGTACACAAGTAGATACGTCGCAAATGGAAATTTTTAACTTTAATTTTGGAATTAAACACTGTAATTACAAAGAGTTCAACGTTTTACCTGAGATTCTACATCTATACATTCTACATTTGAAATTCTACACCTTAACTTAACATGATACTTAAAACAGTTAATTAGAGTATTATTTAAAAATAATGACTTTAATTTTTGAAATCGGGAGCTCAGGAAACGAAAACAGACAAATAAAAAATGGTAAACCACACAGATATATATATATATAAGAGAGGGCTAACAACAACTCAACAATTTCAACAAATCAACACCCCCCGCGGTGAAAGGTCAGTCACTCCGTTAAATGTGTGTTAAATTGATAGGCGTGAGGGACGTGTGAAGTTCAGGGCAAAGTTCTGGGTTATCAGAGCACGTGACTAGCTTAAAGATCACGTGACTAATATCACGTGACTTAAAGCTTAAAAAGTATTCATCACACAACCAATCATAACACAGTGTCGGTAACATACCAGACAATTAAACTTTAGAAGTGCGAGGAGCGTGTGTTCACAGAACAAAGAAAATTTCTCACCTGAATAAGTCACACACTTAAACATAGCCCAATAAAACTGCATGCCCAGGTCAGATGTGAAGCAACCGTCTTATCAGAATACTGCAATAACATCACGTGACACAAATCAAAGAATCATAATATAGTTTTTGACTCAGGGAAAGGTTGTCAATGACACGCACTTTTTCATGCTATCCTGAAAAGGCCGATTATTGACGTTCCATACCCGTTTACGTAGATAACTTTATCCGTAGTACTAATAATGAAAAAGTAAACAGCAAACAGCAAACAGCAAACAATGACACAGATGTCACCACATGCACCCAGTGAAGATGGAATTTGTTATCTAGAAAAAGAAACTAGATCGAGACTACTCCCGGTCATGAATACCAACTTTATGGGGACTTGAGCATCACACACAAATGAAGTCACACACAATATTGGCGAAGAACTGTTAGGAATTTCAACAATGGTCAATGAAGAATCAAATGATTTCGTATCTTAAACTGTTTTTTGAGACACGAACGTCGAATTGTAATTAAAAAAGTGACTGATAGACAAATACGGGAATCCAATAAAAAGGAATCAGATCAATTAACTTAAATTAATAAATAAAATCAATGAACAGAAAAATTGGAAATTTTATTGGGAGGAGATCCCCATTATTCTGATAAAAGACATCGTTTAGCCGATTAACTTCTAGCAGTAACCAACAAAATTCTTGAATCGCTGTCGAAATAAATGTGGACAACTTGCACCACCACAACTTGCACCACCACTAAATAATGTTGACATCAATAATATACATTTTTTAAAACAACAAAAATAAATACCTTACAAGACATATTTATGTGGATCATAATTCTGGGGATCGGAATTATGGGGGAACGAAAATATGGGGATTTTTTTCAGAAATCCCCAAATTTCGTACCCCAAATTAAATTGTCGCATTTTCACGCTAAATTATTTCAGAGAAATCAAAATCAGTTTTTGATGGAATTTTTAAAAATCGTGAAAAACTAAATGTCAGTGTCGATTTAAGGTTGTCCGTTTTGAAGGATAAACATGCAAGATGGATTGTAGAAATATTTGATAAGTTTCATACAGATCGTGGTAAAACTATCATTAAAAACGGATTTAGGAAATCAGCTATAACTGAGGCAATTGAAATGTTAGAATTTTCGGAGCAGGATCCATTTGTTTAACAACAATGTTTAGCTGTTCAAGTTATTCCATAAGGGTGAAAATTGCATGTCTTCCTTATTCTATTTTGTACTTAATGTTTTTCTAGTGTGAAACTAGTCGTTGTTATAGAAGTCTATATAAAATTATATGTGAGATAATTTTGAATCTGACGCACATTTTTCACGTAACACTGAAAAACCAGTATTTTCTATTCAGTAATTTTTATACTAAGTAACTTTCTTTTTACCTGAGATATGCGTATCCTTGTCTCACAAAACACGTAAAACAAATTATTTGACAAATTCACCTCAAATTAGCCCTATTTAAGCCAATTACATAAAAATTAATGTGTGGGATTTTGAAATGGCGGCCACAATTTTGGTAGTACGAAAATATGGGGATTTTTTCCAAAAATCCCCAAATTTCGTACCATATAAATATGTCTCGTAAGGTACATCGAATAAATAACAAAATTTTAAAAACCACAAACCTTGTCCTTGAAATACTTGTTGGCATCGGGGGGCGCGAACAAATTCGTCTCATTTGATCGTTTGATCTGATTCGAACACCACTTTACGACCTGCAATAGTGATTAACCGTAATATTAGTATTTGTAGTTAACTATTAAGTATACGGATATGATTTGTTTAACGAAGTTAACGCTAAGTTCTCTATTAATTCTATATAGTTCTCTATTATAATTTAAACACATATAACGACCTAACCTGTATAACTATAAACAGGTTCATCAACTTCTTCCTACCGTGCTGGTACGATTTTATCTTATCTTTATTTTGTCATAGGGGTCGTTCACATATTACATAATCAATATCTTAGCAATTTAGACCCCCTCCCCCCTCCGTAATCAACCGTAATCAAGACCCAGCCCGTAATTATGGCCTTACCCCCGCCCCCCCGCCCCCCCCCCCCCCCCCCTTTTTTTACGTTTTTCCCTGGAAACACTTTTCTTTACGTTTGATGCTACCTTGATCATAATGAGCCGAAATCATTGTTATTATATCCGGCCAATCACCCTCTAAACTACTTACTATAGTCGCGTCGGATATCCGATCAATTTCTAATTTTTTCACTATCAGAGTGAAATTGAGTGGAATTTGGATTAAAATGTTGCCAAATTGTTACTATTCTAAAGGGTAAAAATAAAATTTTGATTATGTAATTAACAACCAACCACCCCCCCCCCCCCCCCCCGTAATCAACCGTAAGCATTTGGAAACCCTCCCCCCCCTGGCCCCCTCGGCTGATGATGTAATATGTGAACGACCCCATATTAAACACAGCTCATGTTACACACAGCTCATATTACACACAGCTTTAAAGAATATAATCGACATTATGCAGTGTGTGTTACATTTATATTGTGAGAGCTAGCGCGTAAGGTTGTAAATAACGTGGTTGCCTTTTTTATTTGTATTGTCACTTTGTCTAATTCACAACGATGATGAAAATTCAGTTTGCGTTTTTGTTATACATTGTCTCGATTTTTTGGTATAGAAATATTTAATATTATGTTATATAGTTATATGGAACAAATGAAACAGAGTTCAAATTGCAAGTTCAACTTCAAGTTTCGTACTATTACTATTGTAATTAAACTAAAGCAATATTATGTTATATACCGCCGTTATTCAATAGCTAGACAGTTATTGAATTCGATGTTTGATTTTCTTTGGCTTTTCGCTATTGTTGACAATAATATTGAAGGAAAAATAAAACTAAAAGCACTATTATTAAATTGTCGCCAATGTGCGTGCAACTGCACGGGACTTATCAGTTGTGAGTTGTAACAGGTCTTCTTAAATTCAAAACTTAAATTCAACCTGCCTGTTTCGGTCTAGTAATCTATTTTATCACGACGTGTTTTCATCCATCTTTACACTCGCATTGATACTTCTATTATACAAAACTCACGATCAATTCCCCATCAGATAATTTATGGCTTCACATTCTTGGCTCCTCCGTAAAGAGATTGAGGGAACTGGTAAACAGATTGTGGAAAGATTTTGTCAAAGCATTAATAGAAGGTATGGGGCTACAGGTCCTATCATGATACCTCCAATTCCAGTTTCAAAATTTATAGAAAAGCCCCCCGAAGATCAAGTTTTACAAGGACAGGATGGTTATGAAGCGGAGGTTGAGGTTTTCAGAAGTTTTGAGGAGTTAAATCTAAGAAACGGTATAGTTGTTCATAATCTGGACTATACACATGAGCAGTACTCAGCATTCCGTTCTGAACATGACTGTAACATGAAGAAGTGTAAAAAGAAACCGAAGAAACACGATTGTCACCAAAAACAAAAATACAACGTAGATGGTGAGACTGACTTCGTTGTTATGTGTGATAACTTTGTAGCAGTGTTCGAAGTGAAAGGCACGACATCTGAAGATCACAGTAGACTGAAAGGTTATCAGGAGGACGCTCAAAGGCAAAGGACGATGATTGTGGACCTCATCAGGGCAGTAGGATTCTCATTGGACGTGTACGAGTTTACAGTGTTCAGCAACATATCCAGACTAGAAGTAGGCGAGCCATATATATCAGATCATAAAGATCTGTTGTTTAGTGAGGATTTAGAGGACTTTACTCACTGGTTTGACACTAAGATAACCCCACCGGTCATTAATGAAGATGTTACGATCAGTCATATGGAAACTGTTAGAAGGTGTCTTCTTGGGTTGTGGTGTATGAATCAAAAGAACGAATATGAGTTGTCTGATTGCAGTCTGTCTAAATGCATCATAGATACTGATAGGAAACTGAAAAAAGCGCTAGTTACACAACAGTCATTAGATTTAGACAAAGCGAAACAAGAAGGCTACTCTAAAGAAGGAAGAGTAAGAAATATCTGGAAAATACAGAAATTGTAGAAGCACCAGAACTCTTCAAAAAATACCTTGATATAAGCTGCCTTACAAAAGCTCAGCGACAAGTGTTTGAAAGCAATGAGAGATTCCTGTGGGTAGAGGGCCCCGCTGGTGCAGGAAAAACAATCGTTATGATAGGTAAGATTATTCAGCTTGCTCTGACTACACCACCAGAGAAAAGGATACTTTTAATACTTCCAGGTAGAAGTGGGATCAACAGGTATCCAGCACTAAGTCGTCACCTTGTATTGCTGAAGAAGATTACAACATGTAGCGTGATATTGTACAGGTACAGTGTCAGTAAAGGGGATGGTAATATTGATGATAAATTGGATGAAGCACACACATCGTTATCACAACAACTGTCCGACTGTGACAGTAAAATCATTATACTGCATTTAAGGAAGGGTTTAGGAAAATGTATGTACACCTTCTTGGAGACATTCGAATACGTTTTTATAGACGATTATCAAATGCTACACGATCTAACTATCGCTGACGTTAACATTAACAGAGATCATAATATTATATCTGAGGGACTATTTCCTTTAGTGAAGAACAGTGCAACAAACAACATTAGACTGTGGATATTATGCGATAAAGGACAATCACATGGCCACGTTCTTAATTTTAAGACTCCGTGTGAAACTGAATTAAGAAGTCATTTTGTCGACTCAGAATTAATCCTTGTCAATCTGAGAAATACTTTCGAGATTTCTATCGTGTTATTAATAATCAGAAAACACATCGAGAAGAAAGCTTTAATGGCTGGAACAATTTCTGAAATTTCGCCACAACAAGAGAGAGGTCATTTTCTTCGTGGCACAAAACCAGCCATCTACCTTCTGAAAGCTGACGATGCACCTACATTGGGCAATATTCTGACTAAAGAACTGGATATATTAACATTAAGTGCATTAAGTGGACCTGACAGTAGGCTTGAGAACAAGGATATCGCAGTACTATTTGATCATGCACATGATGTATCTGATAAAACTGAGACATACAAGTACATCGATACTGTTAACAGTGTTTTGGAGACATTCAATACCAAAGACGATAAGATAGCATTTCACTATCCGACAACTTGTATGTCAGCAGAGTGGCCAGCTGTTATCTGTATCCACAACTATACTATTTATAGATCATCATACATTAATCCGTTCTTCTTATATTTAGCACTCTCCCGAGCGAGAGTGCATTTAACAGTGATTATGTACAATTCCAACCCGAACGCTTGGAAATCTGGTGATTCACTTTTAAAGGAACTGAAAGAACGACGCGATGTGTGTAGAGTAATTGAAGTGGGAGAGGATGTCATGTCCACCCAACAAGCAGGAACAAGTGGTGAAGTTGAAGATCAAGCTATGAAGGAGAGGAGAAAAATGTGATACCGTATATTACGAAAAACGAGAACATTAATCTTACGACATGATCTGTATTAATATGTTCAATCAAACTCCGTGGGAATTACACATCAAGAAGAAGATTGAGGAATCTGCTGATACAATTATTATCACTGAATCTGTTAATTTTCTATCAATTTACCCAGCTAACCAATCAGATGCAGAAGTCCACTACTCAAACATGATAACGAAGCAGAATGCAGGAAATCCACATTAAGTATTATAAGTATATATAATTATACTGCTATTTTTGGTGATATTATATTAATTACTGAATAGTGTCAACTGAGCACCACGTTTAATTCTTACTAATTTTGATTTAAAATATTTTGTGTCAGAAAGTTTAATACTAAATTGCTTATGTATAATTGTTTTTTAATTCTTTTTTGTTATATCGAATTAAGAGTGATCAGTATAGAACTCCGTAGTAAGAATAAGGGAATATACGAATAAGTAATAAGCCACGTAACAGAATAAACAAACTAATCATGAAACAAATAATCATGAGGAGTACTGTGCGAATAACACGTGACCAACCTCAGCTTGAAGAGCTGTTCTCTCGTGGATCAGTGACATATCAACTGATCTGATAAAGTCAGTCTCTTTAACTGAAGAGGAAATGTCCTCGCCTTCATCCCCCACCATTCCTATAAGATATGATTAGAAAATACTTAGGGTTTGGGTTTGGGTTTGGGTTTGGGTTAGGGTTAGGGTTAGGATAAGGGTTAGGGTTAGGGTTAGGGTGATGGTTAGGGTTAGGGCGCCGCCCTAAAGTCTCACGCCCTAGAGTCTTACGCCCTAGAGTCCCGGACCCAGAAAATACCATTCCTACGTTGTTTGTTATTTTACATCCTTGTCGCGGGATATTCTTGCCACTTTATTTTCGTGAGTAATTAACATCGGTAGGAGATCGTTTACATATTACGCAATCAGCCGCCGAGGGGGAGGGGGTTTCCAAATGATTACGCTAGTGTAATTTTGACACAATAACTATGTGTAAAACTGATCAAACGGAGCTGGGGGGTCGGGTTAAAAATTGTCCGAACACGAAACAGTGATTACGTAATACTAATATGTGAACGACCCCTATAATGGCTATGTATGTTGTACTACAACATACAACTTGTACTTGTAGGTCAAAGTGGATTGGATTTGGCCAAATCGTAGTATCATTTTCTTGTCTGTTTGACTGCTAATGCTATGCCAAATGCAACCTACAATCGGGTTGAACAATATTAGTAAAAACCAAATTTATGAAATAAAAGTGGCAAATCTAGGACAAGTGTAATCATCATTGTTCGAATTTTGAAAATCTTAGAAGTTCATGTCTTTACAGGCCCACGGGTTTATATTAAGCTTGCTTGCTTGAAAAATGAAATGGCGACTGACTCATTGCTCAAAATTTTGTCCTTATTTTGACACAGCTTTTAGTTTTTATAAATATTTTAGTATTTGATCTCATATCAGCATTTTCACAAAATGTAATTAAAAAATAGAAGACAATATTATTTTCGAAGGTCCCACAATAATTGAGCTAATTAAGGCACCATGAAGGGTTACAAAGTTCATGAAATCAAAACAACATTAGGAGCCTAGAATGAAATTGTCGTATCAGGCTATATCATAAGACAATAGACATGTGATACTTGATCCTGACTTTCAACTTTCAACTTTTGTCTTTATGACTTTATCTCAAAGATCACTCAATTTTAATCAAAGGTCTAATTCAACAAATTATGGTAGAAGTGAGGAAGTAAAACGAAGAAAATATTCAGCGAATAAAAACATTTTATCAGTTACAGGTTCACACGCCAATCAAACGAACAAACACAATATCATCACATACCTCAAGAAAATAAGGTGTATTAGACTTATCATTGTGATAACACCGATCGGATATATAAATCAAATTATTGTTAAATCTATGACAAGAATCACATACAACGGTAACTCCACACTGTGTCGGAAGACAAATCGAGCTGTTTTAGGAAGTTAAAAGTTTGACTTAATGACCGATGGTACGGAACAGAAATGAGTTCTTAGAAAAATGTAGGTTGAAGATTGAAAGGATGGAATGAGCAATGACCATGATTTTTGCTTGAATGACGAAATAAGTGGTCAATTTTACGATGAAAAAATACTTCCTATATAGAGTTGTATTGGGTGTTTCTGAAAGTTATGAATTTCTTAAACGAATTGCTTAAATAAGATAGTAACTAGTAAGAAAAACAAGATACAAATGTTTACAAATGCTAACTGTATTTAATATAAAAACTTAATTTCTGGTTTATGACTAATGAAACCTTCAGTTTAGAGTATAAAAGTGAATATATTGACCTCTAAATCATAAACAACACTAACGATCTAATTATATGCAAAGTTAACAATGAATGATATTTTATGTGTAATAAGATTGTCATTATGCTATACAATAGGAATGTCGCTACATCCTCTTAACACAAACTTGGACAAATAGAACACACACCCAGTACACTGTGCAACATTATATGCAACAAAAGAAATGTTGTTGTTTACAGAATCTTAACCCCACTTCAATCTCTAATCATAATTTCATATAACAGAACTTAACAGAACGTAACAGAACGTAACAGATCTCTCCCGATACCCTAGCTGGCAGTTTTGATAGCTTAAACATCTTAATCCCTATTTATTAAACAAACTTTTTAAAGCTTTATAATAAATAAAATATATGAATCAGCCTAGTCCTGCCAGATATTATAACTTCAATTTGGATGAGCAGATTTAACACGTGACCAAACCAACCAATCAGAACGCAGTACTGTCACCACGTGACCCAAACCAACCAATCAGAACACAGTACTGTCACCACGTGACCCAACCCAACCAATCAGAACACAGTACTGTCACCACGTGACCCAACCAACCAATCAGAACACAATACTGTCTCCACGTGACGTAAACCAACCAATCAGAAAGCCACATGTGACGGCAGAAACTTTTCACAATAACCACCCACCCTAGTCAAACTGACCCAGTAGAGAAACCTGAGGAGTCTCAACTTAACCATACACACAGTGTAGGTGTAGTAGATAACAGCCGTTCTGCGGAGGGAGGTAGATTTGTGAAGTTTGTGAGTGGTGAGCGCGGAGAGACAGTACCGGGCCATGTTGAGGAATGTGCCGACTCCTTGTGTGTTACGGTTTAGCAGCGAGCCTGGGAATAATCATAATTAATTAAATAATTGTAATTGAATATTTTTCCAAAAACAGCAACTCATATATATAACTTATAATAAGATAATATTACATTTTCGTGATGGTAGATAATCAGACAAATCGACTTGTTGTATTCAAGAGTAAAAATCATTGAATGTGATGTTATCATCATAAAGTTAAATATAGAATGTAAGATTGTAAGAAAATAAGAACGTGAGAAAACTATATAATATTAGCGACAAGAGAAACGCCATTTTTGGACGTGAGGAGAGTTAGGACTCTTCAAACTACATTAAATTAATTCCTTCTGTAACGTCGTGAATAAATATAGTTACGAAAACAAAATTGACTTAACATTTTGAAATGATATATCTAGTTTTCTTACATTCTATCCCCCTGAGAAGGTCGTTTGTCTTGAGGATTAGTATGAGCTGTCGTGGTATGTAATTTAATACTTGGGATATTTCCGGTATTTGTCTCACTGCTTCTTCCTACAAGAGGCGGGGGGAAAATTAGATAAAGAATTTTTATTATTGTGGGCACCTATGTAGATAAAATCTTATTTCAGGAGAGCTTTCATACTGAAACTAAAATCATCTGGGCCTCACAACAGAATAAAATTGGGTAAAAATGGAAGCTAATGATTAAAAGTTGTAACTTGTAAGATAACAAGTTGTACCTGAAGCCTGTTCACATCAAGATTAGAGTTCTTATCAGTTATACCACTACCAGTAATATCATCCCAGGTTCTGCTGGCCACCATGCACGCGAATAATCCGTAGTATTTACCCACTCCTAGCCGCTGTGCCTGCTTTTTAATTCGTTCCGTGTCTCCTTTCAGTAGTGCCTGAGTAATTACAGGTGAGCGAACAAATCAAATGCCAGGATTTGATCCGGTAAGAATGGGAATCTGTAGGAATACTGAAATTCGGCCTTAGATTCTGTGTGCAAACTGACTTTTTAACATATTAAAAAACTTTTAAACAGACTTATAAACATTACAAAGCTCGGTGTTACCTGCCAAAGTTTACAGTAGTTAATCCTGAAATCGTCGGTCAGTGTCTGATACAGGCCGTGGTCTAGCAGCACTAAACAAGTTTTACCCTCCACCTTTTGTACCATCACGTTTCCAGGGTGGGGGTCACAGTGGATGTAGCTGTAATATGCGATAAATAGTTGTGTAAAATGTAAAATATGCGATAAATAGTTGTGTAAAATGTAAAATATGCGGTAAATAGTTGTGAGTAAAAACTAAAACTGTTGTTAAGTTGCAGATATGACCCATTAAACAGAGTTTCTGCTGTATAGTTTTGTCTCAGGATCAACAATTATCGACATTACTCCATGCCAAATTGAATAAATCTATTTTTTTAATCACAAGTGGTCGTTTTAAATAAACTCCCATTTCTTAGCACCTGACGTAAGATAATTAAAACTCAAATTGGTATAAAAACACGGGAAGAATATGATAATCTCTTAATCTACAGAGTGGCACTTACCCACGTTCGAAAATCATCTGACTGAATATCTTAGAGAGGTACCCGAGAACTTCGCTTTTGTTGATACCGTTTGCTTTCATGTATTCAGCATCATCCACCATACCCCCTGTAAATTGAGATCATTATCTTAGGTTAACGGGTATTAAACTGACCGAAGATAAAGTCCAGATATTAAGACCGGACAATCTGCACTTAACACCTTAATATGAGCGATTGCCTAACGATAGGAAAATTCCTTAGGAAATATTTCTACCAGGTCAGAAAACCCAGGCCATGCAGACAATGAACCGGTCAAAAGATTATTGCGGCACAAAGCCGGCTCTTAATTTAGGTCCTACATTAAGCTTGTGGCTTAATTCAATGTATTACAACACAGCCATATAGCTGATAGCAGTGCCCCAGTCGGGCTGGCCCCCGCTCTCACATTTTGCAATCCAAAGAGAAGTACAATGTACTCTGTATGTGAAAATAACCATGACAATGCACAAGGTATTGCATTATTTCACGTCAGTCCATCCCCCAAATTGCGAAATCTCCTTCTGTGAGTGATATACAGTTCAACTTGAGTGAAATAGGCCGAATGTTGAGGGATTAAGATTTACGGAGTCAGAAATTTGAGTACGCGCGTGAACTTAATGCTAACACATTGGAAATATGTCATCGCGCGCTACAAAGTTGAGGTCTTCATTTTCGCGGAACGAACGGGACAGAAAGGCCAAGACTCGACAAGAATTTTTCCATTCCATTGAGACTGAGTGTAACATTCTTTAATAGAAACCCACTATTGTTTATAGTAAGACTGAGTTTGTCAAAGAGAGAGAGAGAGAGAGAGAGAGAATTTGAAGTGATCAGTTAAATCTATTAACATGCTAGCATTAGAGCTACAAAAGTCAAAACTACATACATACCAAATAGTTAACAGCAAAGTAATTAAAAGAGAATGAGCATTAATTAAATGGATAAATGTAATGAAAAGATAATTAGTTAATAAACTTCTTACTCTTACCTACAATGTACTCCATACAGAGTACACGTCTACTCGTAAACTCCCAGTATATCTTTGGGACCTGAGATGAAGATATCATTACAACAGATCTTCAATCGATCTTACTAAATTTTGTAGATATTTTACTGTACTATTTTATATCGTATACAATTTTACAGACGAAATGATCCCAGGGGGACTCCCAACCCACTGCTTCAGCGGGTAGTTGCACCGTTCACAAGCAAGAGCCATTTTGGTCTACTTGCTGTGAGGTGTCTCAGCTACATGGGTTGGGGGTCCCCCCTTTAAAAAAAAGAAAGGTGATCTTACTTTACAGTTAGATTCCCAGAAATACAAATTATTTAATTTTCTAAGCTACTCAAACCATACTATTGAACCACTATGGAAACTTATTGTTAGAACATTTTTCCATAAAACGGGAAATACCAACATCGAGATAGTAAATAATAATTAAATAAATAAAGTAAAATTATATACAGCACTTTATCGGTAAATATTTGAGTCAGTAATAATGAATAGATAAACAAATAGTTAAAACCTTCATGAAGGGAGTATCATTAAATAGCATGGAAACGTGTTCACAGTTCTGTCCTTCTTGCACGAAGTCTAGTTCTTTAGGTAGATTTCTCTTTATCGTGTCGATCAACCAATCAAACTCAAATTCCGGAAATACTTTGTCCATCAGTTTTGCCAGGAACTGTGTAGAGAAGTATATATAAAACATGAAAACAAAAATAAATTGTTACGCATATTTGAATTTTAAAACTTTATCATGCAAAATTATTGAATAATGACACAACATTTATGGATCCATAACTTTAAACTTTTTCCTAAACAGCATTGAAACTATAAGCGCTAAAACATAAAAGGGGCTACACCCCTAAACTGTATTATAATTTATAAACAGCTTCACGAGTAAAGGGTCGCCTCAATAACAACAGTGTCAATCTTTGTAGATTTGTAGTGTTGTAATTAGTTGTAATTAGTAGTAATTAGTGTTGTAATTAGTTGTAATTAGAGTAAACGGTAACCTCGATAACAACAGTGTCAATCTTTGAGTGCTCATGGACGGTACTGTGCTGCACCTTCACTGCTACCTCCTTGTTGGAGCTCCGCAGCACTGCGCGGTGCACTTGCGCTAAACTAGCTGACCCTGTGATAGGTTTATTTAGGTTTTTATACCCACAGTTGCAGTAGACTGTACTTATAAAACGGACTTATACTGGAATAAATTCGATTACATAACATAAATTCACAAATTTTTTATGAGGTCGTCTAATGCCTAATTTGCAATTGAAATGGTGCCCAAGATGGTCACTGAACTTCCTGTGAAGTCATTTGGGCTGGACGACACTAAACCCTGTTTTGGTGTACCTGGGTCCTTAATTGAACACAACTGAACTAAACAAAGGCCAGAATAAACACTAAACCTATAGGAGAAGGGTCGAACTCTGAGAAGACATCTTCAAGCTTGGCACCCAGCTCCGCAGCTACAACTTTCTTTACTGAGTCTAGTGAGGATTCAGGGGCTCCTGCATGCAAGATCTGTAGGTGTTCGGGTATTGAGCTACAGTTTTGGTTTAAAAGTTAATAAGTTACAATTTAACTATATATCCTGTTGGAATATCTGGAATGTTGATTTTCAAGAGGGGACAGAATATCTGACAAAAGACATGTGAATAAATAGTAATAGTTCAATATTTCTAGAAGATTATGGAATGAGAATAAAATAAAATCGGACAGATTTGCTGAAAAATATTCTATAAAAGTATGTAAAAAAAAACATGAAATTGAGAAACACAGTTATATCAAAATTTCCAACCTTAAACGCCTGGACGTATTCTTTAGGGAGGAGATAATCAAGAGTACCAATGTGTTGCCCCACCTTGATGAACAATCCGCCATTCACTGAGCATAGGTCACAAATTGCTTCTGCTGTTTTCTTATGAATCTGCGGTACATCACCAATAAGTCACATGTATGAGGTAGTAAAAACGATGGAATGACGGTAAAAATTATAAATTTGGACTGGACAACCAATTTGAATACATATCTGGTCAGCATTCTGACTTCATGTTAGGAGGGTTGTTACCAACAATTAACATAAGATAGTAAAGTAATAATATAGTATAGTACTTTGTCTACAATACGTGACTATGTAGATTGTAGAATGTACTACACTACAGTATGTACACTACACTACTGTATAATGTATAATGTAGATGTATACGTGATGTGGTCACGTGATGTATACCTCGGACATTGTCTCCTTATCATCCTCAGCTACTCCCCAAGTTCTGTATTTGTACAGTGACGCTGCTTTCAGTACATAACCTGATAAACATTAAATCAGACCTCCTAAGTATATTAGCGACAAGAGAAACGCAATTGTTGGACGTGTGGAGAATGAGGACTCCTCATACTGGTGGAATATCTCATCTTCAAACACGTGACAGCGATTAACCAATCAGCTGTCAGCCTTAACAATTCCAACCCCAGTAACACTGTTAACTTATACAATATTAGCTAATTAGCTAATAGGTTAAAGTGGAAGTTAAATCATGTATGGTGACGGGGAGGGGGTCTCTGATATGTATGCTCTTCTATACAGTAAAAATACCTGTAGTCAATAAATTCACCACGGTTATTATAATGAAAGTTAAGATTGAGCCTTTACATAGTAGACGGTCGGTGGGGATTAGGACCCATTCAAATCACGTTATCTGATGTAACCTATAAAAAGTAACCATTAAGAATGTTAAGAATGTTAAGAATGTTAAGCACATACCACCGGCTCGTCCAGTGCGTACAAGAGCAGTTGCTACCTTTACTGGGCTGACTTTAGCGTTGTAGCCGTAGATTATTATACATGCTGTCCCGCCTATGAAACCAGTTCGTACCTGTATTTATAAAAAGGTGGAAATTAGTTCTACTGAGTATTTATATTGATAGGTTATTAAAAAGTTACGATTTAAAAAATAGATTTACTATTCCAATTGTTTTAACAATTTGTAACGTAAGAAACAAAATACAAATTGTTATAATATATTTAAATAATTTAAATGACGAATTGACGATTCATGCGTTTGGATTATTATTCTCAGGGTAGTACATCTTGAATGTCAGTAATACATTCTTCTTGTATAATTGCCTTCTAATCCTTACAATTCAATCACAGGTACTGTATGACGAAATCAAGTATTCTAATCTAATGACAGACATTTGGTAATAAAAGCTCAATTATTAAGTGATCCCCACATTAAAGCCACCTCATCATCTGATTGGCGGATCTATGGTCACGTGACCAACATAAGACCACCTCATTGGCTCACACACAGTGCAATATGATCACGTGGCCGACACGTGGGTGACACTACAGTGTTGTTTGTACAATACAAGAAGAGTATTATATGTAACACAACTCTTTATAAGGCATGATGTTATAAAACCTATGAAACCTGGGACCAACAATGAGAATCATATTGTCCACATGTTTAATATGTCTCATTGGAGTAGCCCGTGGTTTTATAACATTTGCACTTCATAGTTTCTACCAAGACGTATTCTTATATCCGTGATTTCTGTGTCCGAGAAAAATCATAATTATGATTAAGGTTCTAGAAAATATCCAGTATTTTATACATACTTTAGTGTATGCGTACGCGTAAGCCGTATTGCATTCTATCATGGTCAAATGAGGATTACGTGTTCAGATGATAATCACGTGTTCAGATGATAATCACGTGTCCAGATGATAATCACGTGTTCAGATGATAATCACGTGTCCAGATGATGATCACGTGTTCAGATGATAATCACGTGTCCAGATGATAATCACGTGTTCAGATGATAATCACGTGTCCAGATGATAATCACGTGTGCAGATGATAATTACGTGTTCAGATGATAATCACGTGTTCAGATGATAATCACGTGTCCAGATGATGATCACGTGTTCAGATGATAATCACGTGTTCAGATGATAATCACGTGTTCAGATGATAATCACGTGTCCAGATGATAATCACGTGTTCAGATGATAATCACGTGTCCAGATGATGATCACGTGTTCAGATGATAATCACGTGTTCAGATGATAATCACGTGTCCAGATGATAATCACGTGTGCAGATGATAATTACGTGTTCAGATGATAATCACGTGTTCAGATGATAATCACGTGTCCAGATGATGATCGCGTGTTCAGATGATAATCACGTGTTCAGATGATAATCACGTGTTCAGATGATAATCACGTGTCCAGATGATAATCACGTGTCCAGATGATAATCACGTGTCCAGATGATAATCACGTGTCCAGATGATAATCACGTGTCCAGATGATAATCACGTGTCCAGATGATAATCACGTGTTCAGATGATAATCACGTGTTCAGATGATAATCACGTGTCCAGATGATAATCACGTGTTCAGATGATAATCACGTGTTCAGATGATAATCACGTGTCCAGATGATGAGATGATCACGTAACTAACCTTGTTTTTTCTGATGTGATGCAGAGTCTTGAGCAAAAGTTGTCGCATCCCTCATCAGAGGAATCCTTGTTCTCCCCTTCCTACTTCTTCTTCACAGACAGATGTCACGTGATTACTGGAGTTATAAGGTGTGATTACTGGAGTTATAAGGTGTGATTACTGGAGTTACAAGTGTGATTACTGGAGTTACAAGTGTGATTACTGGAGTTACAAGTGTGATTACTGGAGTAACAAGTGTGATTACTGGAGTTACAAGTGTGATTACTGGAGTTACAAGTGTGATTACTGGAGTTACAAGTGTGATTACTGGAGTTACAAGTGTGTTTACTGGAGTTACAAGTGTGATTAATGGAGTTACAGGTGTGATAACTGGAGTTACAAGTGTGATTACTGGAGTTACAAGTGTGATTACTGGAGTTACAAGTGTGTTTACTGGAGTTACAAGTGTGATTACTGGAGTTACAAGTGTGATTACTGGAGTTACAAGTGTGATTACTGGAGTTACAAGTGTGTTTACTGGAGTTACAAGTGTGATTAATGGAGTTACAGGTGTGATAACTGGAGTTACAAGTGTGATTACTGGAGTTACAAGTGTGATTACTGGAGTTACAAGTGTGTTTACTGGAGTTACAAGTGTGATTAATGGAGTTACAAGTGTGATTACTGGAGTTACAAGTGTGATTACTGGAGTTACAAGTGTGATTACTGGAGTTACAGGTGTGATTACTGGAGTAACAAGTGTGATTACTGGAGTTACAAGTGTGATTACTGGAGTTACAAGTGAGATTACTGGAGTTACAATTATGATTACTGGAATTACAAGTGTGATTACTGAAGTTACAACTTTACAAGTGCGATTACTGGAGTTATAAGTGTGATTACTGATACAGAATATTGTGTAAAGGTTTAAGTAGGTACGGAACTGTTCTTTACAGATCTACTAAAAGTACTTAGTGTCATGATGATATTTTCTTAATCTTAGCAGCGTTATACTGTAACCATGATCAACAGAGATCACCTGAAAAAAATAACTACCTTACTCGGGAATATTATAGCGGGTTAATTTATGACTGGGAAAATTAATAACCGGGAAAAATATGGCGGAATTTCCCAAAACCCGCCAAATTATCCCGGTCATGTATTTACCGGTGGCCGACCTTTCAAGTTTTTTTTCAGAGGTCAACAAATTTTCAACCGAAATTTCTGTTTTTGTTACTTGTTAAAGAAGTTATTTCAATTTACAGTTACTGATATTACTCAGAAATAGAAAAAAAAGATAAAGGAAAATAAATCTATAGCAATAATAAGTCAAATCTTCATTAAAGCGTATTCTCATTCTCATTATCGCTAATGTCCCCTCCATTATCATTATTGATATCCCCCTGCTGCTGACCGTCAAATTCGAAGTTGTATTGTTGTCTTAACAAGACTTTCATTTTGTCCGCTAATGGGGCTACTGCTCTGAAGGTCAGCTGGAGCTTAATTTCCTGCCCACCGCTTGGTATTGGGGAACGTCTTGGCTTTGCATCTTCAACTGCTCCAGTAATCAATCCACCGTGGACCATGAAATAGTGGCACAGTTTACTCACTTCATGGGCAAGAAAAGTGAAAATCACGGTCCACCCTGAAATCTGATTTCTATAACCAAATTGTGATTTTTATAACGAAATTATGGTAGCAACCGCCAATAAAGTTACAGCCCTCCATCCACTGCTTCAAAAGTCTTCTCTAGAACATATGAGACTTCAGGTAAAATATGATGATCACCACCCCCTTGGAACCCCATAATCTGAGTCGGCGGGTTTTTTTATGACTGGTAAAATTTTTGACCGGGAAAAATATGGCGGAATCTTCCAAAACCCACCACTTTATCCCGGTTATAATAATCCCGAGTAAGGTAAACTCACAATAATATTAAAACTCAAGAACTTACTAATGACTCAGATGTAGGGTAAAGTCTTTACTCTGAACCTCCTTGAAAGTTAAATTCGGATGTGAGTTGAAAGCACTGTGTCGGGCGGCAGTTAGCGATCAATGCTCATTGATTTGCCCTTTAGCTGTATATAGTTTTACATTATAGACATTATTTACTGGATAATACAAATAGAGATACGAAAAATATAATCATCTAGAATTAGGATCAATCAGAAATATGATTTATCAAATTTCGACTTTTATAACATTTTCTCCGATAAAGTAAACAATCAAACAAACGTTAGAATGTCTGAATAATTTTAAAGTCAAAACTCAATGTACTGAATTAACTAAATAGAATGAACTAAATGAACTCAATGAACTGAATAGATGCCATAATCTAAAGAATGTTTAGGTAAGAATAATAATAATAACCAGCAAATTATCAAGATGATGTCCTTCATAAAATATTGTTGTGTGAATCTTATTGCTATACCATGTAGCAAATTCGCGAGGCAAACGTTTGATTTATTTCTAATTTCTATCATGTGTTTTGTTGGTATAGTAGCTTTGTGACCTTAAAAGATCAAAATTAAAGTTTACATTTTTATAATCAGCACACTCAATGCTAATAGGCTTTGAAGAATGAAATGGCATGAACAGAATCTACAGAATTTACAGAATGGATATTACGAGTATAATATACTATGAAGCTATGATGAGTTAGAATATTGCATATTAAAACTTTTAAAACTTCAAAATAAACAGCCTCGTATTTCACAGTGTTTTAAAATGTCATAGTATTATATAGTTACAGTAGAGGGATTGGGTGAGTGTCATTTCATTGTCTGTGAAAATTGGGGTTATTTATCTAAATAATTTGCTAATTACATCATTAAACCTGTACTGATTAATTATCACACACAACCTGTTCAATCTTATACACTCAAAAGTCTGAAATAATTTACCAAATTTACATCTGAAATTTACGACGTACTAAAAGTAGGTAGTCTTGCACAAACACAACACAAAATACCAAAAGTGTCACATGGTGAGGAGGGGGGGGGGGTATTACCAAGATAAACATCAAGTAAAATAACATAAGTTTATTGTAAATACTTTCATTATTTGATCATAATAGCATGTTATGACTATCATTGATCCCAAGAAGGGTAAAATATTTCGAAAACATTAAACTCATCAGAAAACACGTGAGGAATGTGAAACATGCGAGGAATGGCAAATAGTAATCACGGTTTAAACTTTACTTAATGAACTTATAGACGATTAATACTCGCTAACTTCCAACTTTAGTGCATGCTCCTCTGTACATGGCATCCATTAAGTGGGTTTGTTTCTTCTTTATTTAAATTTATTTTACCTCACGTTGCCATGTAAACCCAAAGGGCAACAAGTGAGTCAAGGAATAAGTAAAACAGTGTCTCCGGTCACGTGACGAATACGAAGCATTGCTCACATTCCCGTTGTTCTCGACACTGAAAGAGAAGTTCTAGGTCCTTCAACCGACGATATTATTTATATCCCAGCAAGTGGTTTAAATCCTGGCAGTATCCAAGAAGCCCGACCCAGTCACCATACTACTACTTTTGGCTTTATATGGTAAGCAGATCATTATATATCCTCATACCAGTCTTGGATACTGCCAAAATCTTAATTTTATCTCTAAAATTTTTGCAAAATGGATTTATATTTTATAATTTAGTCGATGAATTTTTTAATGCTGACCCATTTTTTATAAATATTTATCCTCCTATTCTATTTACATAATATTATGTTTAGTTATCTATCACCAACTTAAAATAAATCAACAAAATAATACATAATTTCACCCGTCAATTTTATTTTCATATCTTTTCACTTTATCCAAACTAAACCTAGATGTCTAAGAACCAATGACCTTATCTAACCAACAATTAGCTGTTAAATAGTTAATTAGTCTATTAGCCAATAAGTCAATTACATGTTAATGAGTTTGTGCAAGTTAAATAGCTCTGCGATCCACAGCTGGAAAATATTCATCAGATTGTGTATGGTAGGGCAGTCAAGGTGTTCACCATCGTCCGTTAACTTGTGCCATTGAGGAGGAAAAGGAGTTGAGATCAGGTGCACTATGTCTACAAAACCTGAAATAGAGTTGAGATTCATGTTATACGAGTTCAAGAGACCACTATACTAGCTAAAAGTAGAGCACCTAAAACCTGGGTTTTGGACATGTTCAGGGGATTCGGCCAAATTGGGATCAAATATGGGCGTGGCTGCCCCACGGCCACCGGTGGGAGGTTGGGGTCAGGGACCTCCTCAAAAGTTCAGTCACCAGTCCTAGTTTTTTGGTCATTGCTATCTCGAAATCAAGTTTCACAAAAAAACCCTTGTCCCCTCCCCCCCCCCTAATTGTGCTTTTTTACTAGTTGTTACCTCTATTTTGAAAGGGTTTATGGTCATCTTCTATCCCCCAACTATTGCCTTTCTCCTTGAAGTACATTTTACCTTCGACTTTGTCAGCAAACAAGCCCAAACCTTGCAATTCCTTTTCTGAAATGAAGTATCGTTAAAGAAGTACATAACTTCAGTAAAATAATGGAAATTAACACTACGTATTGAACTTTAATATATATTTGTAATTTGGATGTAATTAGAATTGAAAGGTTTACTCCGCCTTATACTAAATTATCAATAATTATTAAAAATAAGTTAATTAATAAAAATAAATAAAATTACCAAGTTGGAACATCCGTTGGAAGTGGTGTTGTGTGGAAGTGAAAGAGCTTAGAAACGAGGGGTTTTTAGCTCCAATTAGATCCAACAACACGAACAACTCCTGCAGCACAATGATAGTATATAATGTATTTTTTAGAACTGTAGTTATTAGTTACACATGTAATTATATAGCAGTTAGTGATTTGTTTAGAATAAATCAAGTTTTAATAAACTGATTGATTAATTAGCAAGTACTTTTTTGAGAGTAACTGCCTAGAGAATTTCTCAGAAATAATCACTCAATAACCTACGAAAAAGAACATCCCATTATAACAATATAACGCACCATTTTCTCAAAAAATCCCTCGTTTTTCCATTTCTCGGCCAAATGAGTAGAACCATAAATACTGTCCGTCTTGGTCCAGTCTTTAAATGCCTCCTCACCATCAAAGAAAACTACAATAATTCCTCTGTCCGGATCCTATAAAAGTGATATTAAGCTTTACTCTTTTTAACGCTTAATTAACACTTAGTAGTTAACAAGTTTAATTAACTGCGACTTAATTAAAATTTTTAATTACGTGCGACTTAATTAATTGTGATTGGGCTAAGTTCATAGTATTCACTGGTTATATTAGTGTATAATATTAGTGTTATCTATCTTATGAATTGGTTCCACAATTCCAGGACACCATTATTTACTGTTGAGTGTTAAGTGTTTATACTCAGCGACCCTGTCATTGACTAGTGACTACTCCTTATTATTAAGGGTGATCTGTTAAATATAATTATATATAATTATATAATATTATATAACATTATATATAATATTATATAACATTATATATAATATTATATAATATTATATAACATTATACAATATTATATAATTATAATTGTCTTAGTGGGACTGCTTAACTAGTTCACTTTAATGCTCGTTAATAAAACTTTAACACCAAGCAGACGAATAAATTAATAGATATATAAATGAATATGTTTATGAGTTCAAAACTATAAAATTAATTGTTAATAAAATTTACATGGTGAATCAATTGCAGACGCATAGGTTATAAGTTTAAGTCACTTATAACCTTTTAACTTATATGAGGAGATATAATTAAATAAAGAAAAATAACTCCGAACCTAGTAAATTAAATTTACTAACAAAAAACACAAAACAAAAGACTTTCAAGTATTGCAAATTCGGGATGCTTCACGAATCGCGTTGGATGAAGGCCGGGTTTTCCAAGAAACTGAGGAGATCTCAAAGGTGAAACCGAGTGTTATTTCCTTTTTGAAAGGTAAGTTCGTGCAACTAATTAATAACAACTTGACAAGATATATAAAGTAGACAAACCGTTTGTTGTCTCTTCATTAACAGCTTGTTAAGGTTATCCATCATGCTTAGTATCATAGCGCAGGGAACCGCTGAATCAACAGCACCTGAAACAGTTTTAATTAATTTAATTAATTAATTAATTAATCAAATTTACAATTAAACCAACAGTAGAGTTTTAGAAATTACGTGAAAGTCACGTTAATATTCCCTGACCTGATTTTAACTATAACATGAATATGATTAATTAAGGGGGGGGGGGGGGGGGGGGGGGGGTGGAGGGGGTTTCAGGCTGAACCCCCCACCCCCTTAATGATCATGTTTGTCATATTTACTCAAGATACTCCAAAACTATAGGTACAAAACTAGTAGACTCAATATTTAAGGTGTGAATAATTCGAAGGTGTTTCAGGTTCGACAAAACTTCAAAGTTTGATTCCTTTATTCCAGTCTTTGGTTAAGTTTTACTTTACTGGCTGTATATATCAAGTTTTACTGGCTGTATATCTAGTTTTACTGGCTGCATATCTAGTTTTACTGGCTGTATATCTAGTTTGACTGGCTGTATATCTAGTTTTACTGGCAGTACATCTAGTTTTACTGGCTGTATATCTAGTTTTACTGGCTGTATATCTAGTTTTACTTTACTGGCTGTATATATAGTTTTACTGGCTGTATATCTAGTTTTACTGGCTGTACATCTAGTTTTACTGGCTGTATATCTAGTTTTAACTTTTACTGGCTGTATATCTAGTTTTTCTTTACTGGCTGTATATCTAGTTTTACTGGCTGCATATCTAGTTTTACTTGCTGTACATCTAGTTTTACTGGCTGTATATCTAGTTTTACTGGCATGCCACGCATAAATGTACCTACCTAGTACCTTCTCACCTGACACCTATATACCTAGAATCCTTCACACCACGTGTCATGACGTCACACCACGTGTCATGACGTCACACCACGTACCTAGATTCCTTCCTACCAACTCACCTAGAAAATATTTGCCATTTACTGGCTCCATTATCTTAGAGTCGTAGTGAGCTGTGATGACCACGTGTTTCTTTGCACTGGGGTTACTGTAACCAATAACATTACTGAACTCCGTCTCACCTGAGTAGAGACAGGTGTTAAGTTGGGGTTACTGGGGTTACTGGGGTTACTGGGGTTACTCAGTTACCGGGGTTACTGGGGTTACTCAGTTACCGGGGTTACTGGGGTTACTCAGTTACCGGGGTTACCGGGGTTACTGGGGTTACTCAGTTACCGGGGTTACTGGGGTTACTCAGTTACCGGGGTTACTGGGGTTACTCAGTTACCGGGGTTACTGGGGTTACTCAGTTACCGGGGTTACCGGGGTTACTGGGGTTACTCAGTTACCGGGGTTACTGGGGTTACTCAGTTACCGGGGTTACTGGGGTTACTCAGTTACTGGGGTTACTGGGGTTACTCAGTTACCGGGGTTACTCAGTTACCGGGGTTACTGGGGTTACTCAGTTACCGGGGTTACTCAGTTACTGGGGTTACTCAGTTACCGGGGTTACTGGGGTTACTGAGTTACCGGGGTTACTGGGGTTACTCAGTTACCGGGGTTACTGGAGTTACTCAGTTACCGGGGTTACTGGGGTTACTCAGTTACCGGGGTTACCGGGGTTACTGGGGTTACTCAGTTACCGGGGTTACTGGGGTTACTCAGTTACCGGGGTTACCGGGGTTACTGGGGTTACTGGGGTTACTGGGGTTACCGTGGGGTTTTAAACAGCACTTTATCGGTAAATATTTGAGTCAGCTATATAAGAAACTATATTAGAGTATAGATGATGCTGTAAAAGATGCAGCAAATAAAAACGTTTGTGTAGTTATCATCCCAGTGCTTCTTTTACTCTTTTACAGTGCAACAGAGATCTTTAACTGTAACAAATAATGTAAAAGTTACAACATTTTGTCTCATTTGTTAGTCATGAGTGGCACTCAAGTCTCAATACAGTGGCACTCAATGTGGCTCTCAATGTGGCACTCAAGTCTCAATGTCTGAGTCTTGAGATATACCCTAGTAGAGGGTGTATAGTTATAGAGTATGAAGGACCTCTATTATCTATACACTATACTCTATAACTAACACTACACACTACAGAGTACATAGTAACTTGTAAGATTCTCATTACTGGGGTTACTGGGGTTATGGGGGTTATGGGGTTACTCAGAGGACCTATATTCTCTATTATAACTACACAGTACAATGTAAGATTGTCTTTACCAATAATAGTGTTCTGGGTGAATGTGTCCAGTTCCACAGTCCAACCTAAACGTTTTACTCTCTTCACCAGGTACTGAAAAACAATTGAAAATTTAATAATCGAAACTGTAGCATAATATCAAATATATTGATTGAATTAATTGCATAGAATCCTCTCAATCTTGTATAATGGACAACATATATATAATGGGTTTCCCTTAAAACTAGGTTTCTCACAGAATTGCTGTTTTAACCATCAAGTTGTTCTTAGAGAAAAAACTTAAAAATCTTCCATTACCCAAGCTAAAACTTACATCCCTGACAGCCCTATTAGCAGGAGTTCCAGGAACACGTACAACTAGAATCTCATCAAGACCTTCTAATTTACAAGTGTCTTCACTGCTAGGGTGGTTGTTGTAAGCTAGTCCCGCTATTTCTGCTCCGCGGACATCCTGTTTTATATTGAGATTTACTATTCTGAAGATCAGTCAAATGCTTAGTTGGTAAAGATTGTTTGTATTGTGCCCCAAACTGTGTCCAAGAGTGCCCCAGGAATTTCAATTTCGTGCCCCAAGTGTGCCTAACTAGATTACCAAATTCTCATACATTCAAGTAGAAAGAGTTTTATTTTCATCTTGATAGTACCAATCTTGAGAATTTTGGAAGATGTATTAAATAAGGTAAGTTAACTTGACAAATAATTCTTAGTTTATAGAATAGGTTCAATAACATTTCAAAGTATGCGACCAAATGAAATGCAATTCTAAAGTAAAGTATTTAAATAGCAACTAACACGTTTCTGTTGGGGTGTAAGTCTTTTCTTTTTCTGCACTACTTCAGACGAACCACTAGTTGTGATAAACAGAACTGTGGTTATGATACCTGTGGATATAGGTCTCGTTGTCACATCAACAGTTACAGAAACGTTATTTGTTATAGGTTGGTTTTAACTAGTTTGTTGCAATTGTAAGCTCGACAATTTTGAAATTTCTTTGTTATGACAGCACATAGCTGATGTAATGTTGTATGGGTGGGTCAACACTCAACTTGCTGAATAGAAGGTATGTCATAAACAACAGTCATCAATATAATTATAGAATAAAGATCTGCAATCATTGACATCAATACAATTATCATATTTAATGCTGTATTTGTACATCGCACCAGTATTTAAGTTTCAAGCAAATCTTATAATATATTAGGTCACACATCCGGATCCCGATGGCACTGTCTCAACACTATGGCAGCACTATGGTCTCGAGAGTGCCGCGAGAGTGGTACGAGAGTGGTACGAGAGTGGTACGAGAGTGGTACGAGAGTGCCGCAAGAGTGGTACGAGAGTGGTACGAGAGTGGTACGAGAGTGGTACGAGAGTGCCGCAAGAGTGGTACGAGAGTGCCGCGACAGTGCCATCGGGATCTGGATGTATGACCTATATCTGGTTCATTTTACATTGAAATTGTACCAACCAAAAATAGTGATCATCATGATAAAATCGAATGAACTGAATCCTCTACTTCTCATAACCCATCACACCATTTCGCTGAACCTGCTCAGAATTAAATTAGGTTTACATTATTATTATTCAACAAATACCTTATAGAATGTAGTGGCTGCTTTTTTAACTAAATAAATTATTCATTTTTCAGTGGCAAATTGCTTTGAAAACTTTTGATTCGGTTGATAGTAAAGTTTTTAAGATTTTGATGGATAAGTTTAAAATTGTAATATAAATTGTGACTTATGATTTCAATAAAAGACTGCATAAAACATTACAGTACAGTTGCAACGTCTAAAAGTCAACATGTTACATTGTAAGTTGTGCCAGAGATACAGGAAACACTAGTGACATAAAAATATGATAAAATAAAATAAATAACATTAAAAAATAAGCCAGTCTCCGGTAACAAATTAAATGACAAGTCTATAAGTAACATATCTCCCAGCAGTTTCGCTGTTCCTTACAATTCTCACAACCTGACCACGCCTCAATCCAAAATATCTCGCAACAGGATCTGATGTTTGAATACGTGGCAACTGTGCTTCCTTCAGCCTATATCTCTGCATTAGCTCTTTCTTCTCGTCGTCAGTCATCACACTATGTTCTGGCACAAGAGAATGCTCTGTAATGTTGATAAGAAGCTCTGTTTCAAGAAACATCTCCATGATGTACTTAGGGGCCATGTCTACAATCCCACCTTTGGCAGATGGTGTCATACCACCTCGCACAACTATTATCGATCTCATTATATTTTCTTGCTGCATCTTCGTAAAATAAGCTTTGACAGTTTTAACCCCTACTTTTTCATCATCAGGAAAAAAGACAAACATCTGATCAGTGGGATCATCATTGTGAGCAACCAATATAGATAAACTACTCCTTGATGGTTTTCCCTCACTGGGTCTGTCACCGAATTGTTCTTTAAACTGGTCTAAAGTAAAGTCCAGTTCATCTTGAGTGACAAGATAGCCTCTGTCGTGACAAAGGTGCATCAATGTCTTTCTTACCCTCCACAGTTTGTACGTTTCTGCGTCATCATCTGCCATGATCTGATAAGATTTGATTTTTAACTTCTTCTGTATATAGAACTCGTATATAATATATTTGTCTTGTATCAGATACAAGTTGTATATTTTATAATACCTATAATATTGTATCTACATATTATATTAACAAAAAATGAACAGTCCAAGATAAAATTGATTGACACCAACTAAAACTGGAATTTTCACAGCATGATACAAATATAATTCCTCTGTTAAAAATTTGGTAAACAATTAGTATGCACTTCAGATAAATGACATCGAGGAAATTGAACACAACCCACAGATTGAGCAGATCAGATGCAGATATCATAATATCTAAAAGATGGCAGAAATTTAAAGATGTGCCTTGACATACAATGAAAACTTGAACATTGAGGAAAAAAGGAAGCTAGCCTTGCAATCCATTCAATCAGAATTCCAGAGTCACAATTTGGTTTTGCATCAAGACAGTAGCATAAACCACAGTCGGGACACAACCCAACATTTAATCCTGTAATCGGAGCCTCAACCACCCACACCATACCATTTAACCATGGTGGTCAGGGGTGTAGAATCATTCCTACACCCCTGATGGTGGTTGATGAAGGACCTTCGAGATTAAGTCTAATTTAGTCTATCGAATTTAACCTTATTTTATTAAAAATTCATTTATTTGAAAACGAGTCAATTACCTCGACACATCAGACAAAATCTATTTAAAATTTAAAAGATGTTTTAGAATAAGAGAACAGTAGTATTATTTTCACAGATAATAATATATATATAATGATATGAAGAACATGATAACAGTAGTATTATTTTCTCAAATCTTGATATAATTTAAAATCATTAATAAAAGAATTTCAAATGTTGGAGTAGTTTGCTGTTTATTAGTCTCATGATTGAAATACTGATAGCTGGATAATATCTGGTTGGAATTTCACAATAGCACCATTAAACGAAAAGTGACAGAAGCCTACTACTAATTTATTTAAACCTAATATCAATAACAAGGAAGAGTGCGAGCAGCTTAAGGGATTTCTTTCACAATATATTCAGAGACAAATTTAAACATTAAACAAATAGCACACGACCCTCATGTTCGGTAGATATATGTCCATTGTCCTTGGACAGAGTGTAAAACGTGTGTACATTACCATCTTGTGTAATATTTAAGACCACTTGATGTAATTACATCAAATGGTTAAAAAATATTAATGTGTATTCAGTGTTTAGAATTTTAGCATTTTACCTAATATTGTAGAACCATTTATAATTATATTAGAATTTTATACTAACATTTGTACCAATTATAGCCTGAAGACGGCGTTGATGCCGAAAATTTGCCTACATTCCTAACTTCCTGTTTCATTTGTTCTTGTCTCTTCAAACCGGATATTATTCAGCTATCAATAAAATAATTGATTAAAATAGATAAAAATAAATAAAAATAGATAAAATCTGATAAAAACAGAACGGTCACATATTGACCTTTTCAGCTTAATTTAAAACATCGAGCTATTTCTGACATGGCAATAATGATAAATTGTCTAAAAGATATATCGTATAATTTATAATATATAAAGCTGCAATAAATTATGAAACATTACATAATGATATTAGAAGAATAAGATAACAGTAGTAATATTATTCCAAATGTACATTAAATATATAATCATTTAGAATAATTGATTTAAAAATTGATGATATATCGTATAATTTATAATAAACAAAGCTGGATTAAATTATGAAACATTACATAATGATATTATGAAGAATAAGATAACAGTAGTTATATTATTCCAAATGTACATTAAAGGGGGGGGGGTGACATGTCTCCAATGTCTCCAATGTCTTTTGTCTTTTTTGAAAAGATAGGGTGCAGAGACATGTCCTGGAGACATTGGAGACATTGGAGACACAGCTTCTGGAGACATTGGAGACATTGGAGACATTGGGGACATTGGAGACATTGGAGACAAAGCTTTTGGAGACATTGGAGACATTGGAGACACTGGAGACGTAGATGTATGATTGGAGAAGGAGGAGGATCTAGGAGGAGGATGACCCAGGAGGAGGACTCAGGAGGAGAAGGAGGAGGATGAGGACTCAGGAAGAGGACTGAGGAGGACTGAGAAGGAGGAGGACTGAGGAGTACTGAGGAGGATGGCTGAGGAGGATGGCTGAGGAGGATGGCTGTGGAGGATGGCTGAGGAGGATGGCTGAGGAGGATGACTGAGGAGGAGGACCTAGGAGGAGGAGGACCCAGGAGGAGGACTCAGGAGGAGGAGGACTCAGGAGGAGGACTCAGGAAGAGGACTGAGGAGGACAGAGAAGGAGGAGGACTGAGGAGTACTGAGGAGAATGGCTGAGGAGGATGACTGAGGAGGATGACTGAGAGGGAGGAGGAGGAGAAGAAGGACTGAGGAGAAGGAGAAGGAGGAGGATCTAGGAGGAGGATGACCCAGGAGGAGGACTCAGGAGGAGAAGGAGGAGGATGAGGACTCAGGAAGAGGACTGAGGAGGACTGAGAAGGAGGAGGACTGAGGAGTACTGAGGAGGATGGCTGAGGAGGATGGCTGAGGAGGATGGCTGTGGAGGATGGCTGAGGAGGATGGCTGAGGAGGATGACTGAGGAGGAGGACCTAGGAGGAGGAGGACCCAGGAGGAGGACTCAGGAGGAGGAGGACTCAGGAGGAGGACTCAGGAAGAGGACTGAGGAGGACAGAGAAGGAGGAGGACTGAGGAGTACTGAGGAGAATGGCTGAGGAGGATGACTGAGGAGGATGACTGAGAGGGAGGAGGAGGAGAAGAAGGACTGAGGAGAAGGAGAAGGAGGAGGACCTAGGAGGATGAGGACCCAGGTGGAGGACTCAGGAGGAAGAGGAGGACTCAGGAGGACTGAATAGGAAGAGGACTGAGGAGAAATGAGGAGGAGGAGGACTGAATAGGAGGAGGAGGAGGGGGACTGGGGGAGGACTGAGGATGAACAAGACTGACGAGAAGGATGAGGAGGAGGACTGAGGAGGATGAAAAGGAGGAAGACCCAGGAGGAGGAGGGATGAGGACTGAGGAGGATGGCTGAGGAGAATGGCTGAGGAGGATGACTGAGAGGGAGGAGGAGGAGGAGGAGGAAGAAGACTGAGGAGGAGGAGTAGGACTGAGGAGGAGAAGGAGGAGGACCTAAGAGGAGGAGGACCCAGAAGGAGGAATCAGGAGGAGGAGGAGGAGGAGGACTCAGGAAGAGGACTGAGGAGGACTGAGAAGGAGGAGGACTCAGGAGTACTGAAGAGGATGACTGAGGAGGAGGAGGAGGAGGAGAAGGACTGAGGAGGAGAAGGAGAAGGTGGAGGAACTAGGAGGAGGATGAACCAGGAGGACTCAGGAGGAAGAGGAGGAGGACTGAGGAGGAGGACTTAGGAGGAAGAGGGGGAGGACTGAAGAGAACTGAGGAGGAGGAGGACTGAATAGGAGGAGGAGGAGGGGGACTGGGGAGGACTGAGGAGGAGGAGGACTGACGAGAAGGATGAGGAGGAGGACTGAGGACTGAGGAGGAAGAGGAGGAGGATGAAGAGGAGGACGAGGACCCAGGAGGAGGAGGACTGAAGAGGAGGATGAGGATGAGGACTGAGGAGGAGGAGGACTGAGAAGGACTGAGGAGGATGGCTGAGGAGGATGACTGAGAGGGAGGAGGAGGAGGACATATGAGGAGGAGGAGAAGGACTGAGGAGGAGAAGGAGGAGGACCTAGGAGGAGGACCCAGGAGGACTCAGGAGGAGGACTCAGGAGGAGGAGGAGGACTCAGGAGAAGGACTCAGGAAAACTGAGGAGGAGTGAATAGGAGGAGGAGGGGGAGGACCTATAAGGAGGAGGACCCAGAAGGAGGACTGAGGAGGAGGAGGAGGAGGAGAACTCAGGAAGAGGACTCAGGAGGACTGAGAAGGAGGAGGACTGAGGAGTACTGAAGAGGATGACTGAGGAGGAGGAGGAGGAGGAGAAGGACTGAGGAGGAGAAAGAGAAGGTGGAGGAACTAGGAGGAGGATGAACCAGGAGGAGGACTCAGGAGGAAGAGGGGGAGGACTCAGGAGGAGGACTTAGGAGGAATGAGAAGGAGGAGGACTGAGGAGAACTGAGGAGGAGGAGGAGGACTGAATAGGAGGAGGAGGAGGGGGACTGGGGAGGACTGAGGAGGAGGAGGACTGACGAGAAGGATGAGGAGGAGGACTGAGGACTGAGGAGGAAGAGGAGGAGGATGAAGAGGAGGAAGAGGATCCAGGAGGAGGAGGACTGAAGAGGAGGATGAGGATGAGGACTGAGGAGGAGGAGTAGAACTGAGGAGGACTGAGGAGGATGGCTGAGGAGGATGACTGAGAGGGAGGAGGAGGACTGAGGAGGAGGAGGATAAGGACTGAGGAGGAGAAGGAGGAGGACCTAGGAGGAGGAGGACCCAGGAGGAGGACTCAGGAGGAGGACTCAGGAGGAGGAGGAGGACTCAGGAGGAGGAGGACTCAGGAGGAAGACTCAGGAAAACTGAGGATGAGGAGGAGGAGTGAATGGGAGGAGGAGGGAGACTGGGGAGGACTGAGGAGGAGGAGGAGTAAGGAGAAGGATGAGGAGGAGGACTGAGGAGGAGGATGAGGACTGAGGAGGAGGAGAGTAAGGAGAAGGATGAGGAGGAGGACTGATGAGGATGGCTGAGGAGGATGGCTGAGGAGGATGGCTGAGGAGGACGGCTGAGGAGGATGGCTGAGGAGGATGACTGAGGAGGATGACTGAGAGGGAGGAGGAGGAGGAGAAGGACTGAGGAGGAGGAGGAGGAGGAGGAGAAGGAGGAGGACCTAGGAGGAGGAGGACTCAGGAAGAGGAGGAGGACTCAGGAAGAGGACTCAGGAGGAGGACTGAGAAGGAGGAGGACTGAGGAGAACTGAGGAGGAGGAGGATGAGGACTGAATAGGAGGAGGAGGGGGACTGGGGATGACTGAGGAGGAGGGGGACTTGGGGAGGACTGAGGAGGAGGAGGAGGAAGACTGACGAGAAG